AAATGACTGCCAAAAATTCACATCACTTTTTTAAATGCTGTTTGAAGCTAGATGTGACCAAATCTCGCTGTTGTTTTTATAATAGGCTGCTTTACAAACGGCGCCCCATAGTTCGGAAGGAAAAACCCAAACATACAAATTCAAGACAAAGTACAGTACAAATCTGTTGTCATGAAAGGATATGAGATTAGATTGAATAGACAGGAACATGCTCACTTTCTCGTATTGTCTGTAAAGCTTACATGTTTATTCAGGAAGATCAAAATTGGTGTAACTGTTGCAGTAAATATGTGAAGTTAAAAGGAAAAATCTGTGTACAACAACATTTAAATACTAAAACTAAATGTTAAATGCTAAATATATATGTTTAATCTAAATGTTAAATCTTAATCTAAATGTTAAATATAAATGTTAACTATAAATGTTAAATATAAATCTAAATGTTAAATGTAAATGTTAAATCTAAGTGTGTTTGGCGAAACTAAATATTTAGCTAATATGCAAATTCACGGTTGGAAACCGGAAGTGCCAAAATAAAAGCTCCAGAAGGTCATTTTGATGATTCTTGTGTCGAAGAAAATGAATTAAAACCAATTTAAGGGGGGAACAAATACTTGGGGTGACATTTCGTGTTAATAACTACCTACAATAGCAACAACAAAAACTTTATTTGAAAAACTCGAGTTTTCAGTGTCTCTTCTCCGTGAGGCGCGGACACTGTACGAACAAACGCACACACACATGTAGGCGCACACATGATACTGCTCCTTGGCACATTCATATTTAACATTTACATTTAACATTTATACTTTACATTTAGATTTATATTTAACATTTAGATTTAACATTTATATTTAGATTTAACATTTAGATTTAGATTTAACATTTAGATTTAGATTTAACATTTAGATTTAAATTTAACATTTACATTAACACATTTATATTTAACATTTATATTTAGCATTTTAATTTAACATTTAGATTTAACATTTAGATTTAACATTTACATTTAACATTTATATTTAACATTTAGAATTAGATTTAATATTTAGATTTAACATTAGATTTAGATTTAACATTTAGATTAAACATATATATTTAACATTTAGATTTAGCATTTAGATTTAACATTTAACATTTAGTTTTAGTATTTAAATGTAGTTGTAAATGTGCAAAAAAATGACTGCCAAAAATTCACGTCACTTTTTTAAATGCTGTTTGAAGCTAGATGTGACCAAATCTCGCTGTTGTTTTTATAATGGGCTGCTTTACAAACGGCGCCCCATAGTTCGGAAGGAAAAACCCAAACATACAAATTCAAGACAAAGTACAGTACAAATCTGTTGTCATGAAAGGATATGAGATTAGATTGAATAGACAGGAACATGCTCACTTTCTCGTATTGTCTGTAAAGCTTACATGTTTATTCAGGAAGATCAAAATTGGTGTAACTGTTGCAGTAAATATGTGAAGTTACAAGGAAATTTGTACAACAACATTTAAATACTAAAACTAAATGTTAAATGCTAAATATATATGTTTAATCTAAATGTTAAATCTTAATCTAAATGTTAAATCTAAATGTTAAATATAAATCTAAATGTTAAATGTAAATGTTAAATCTAAATGTGTTGGGCGAAACTAAATATCTAGCTAATGTGCAAATTCACGGTCGGAAACTGGAAGTGCCAAAATAAAAGCTCCAGAAGGTCATTTTGATGATTCCTGTGTCGAAGAAAATGAATTTAAACCAATTTAAGGGGGGAACAAATACTTGGGGTGACATTTCGTGTTAATAACTACCTACAATAGCAACAACAAAAACTTTATTAGAAAAACTCGAGTTTTCAGTGTCTCTTCTCCGTGTGGCGCGGACACGGTACGAACAAACGCACACACACATGTAGGCGCACACATGATACTGCTCCTTGGCACATTTATATTAAACATTTACATTTAACATTTATATTTAACATTTAGATTTAGATTTAACATTTAGATTTAACATTTAGATTTAGATTTAACATTTAGATTTAGATTTAACATTTAGATTTAAATTTAACATTTAGATTAAACATATATATTTAACATTTAGATTTAGCATTTAGATTTAACATTTATATTTAGATTTAACATTTACATTAAACATTTATATTTAAACATTTAGAATTATATTTAACATTTAGATTTAACATTTAGATTTAGATTTAACATTTAGATTAAACATATATATTTAACATTTAGATTTAGCATTTAGATTTAACATTTAACATTTAGTTTTAGTATTTAAATGTAGTTGTAAATGTGCAAAAAAATGCTGTTTGAAGCTAAATGTGACCAAATCCTGCTGTTGTTTTTTATAATGGGCTGCTTTACAAACGGCAACCCATAGTTTGGAAGGAAAAACCCAAACATACAAATTCAAGACAAAGTACAGTACAAATCTGTTGTCATGAAAGGATAGATTAGATTGAATAGACAGGAACATGCTCACTTTCTCGTATTGTCTGAAAAGCTTACATGTATATTCAGGAAGATCAAAATTGGTGTAACTGTTGCAGTAAATACATGAAGTTACAAGGAAAAATCTGTGTTTGACACTCAGCATGGCCACCTTCAGTGAAGCTTTGTGGTTACACCTTCCTGTCATGGTGGAACCATCTCTCAAATGTGGACATGGCTGCAATCACAAATTTTAATTTATTACACTGATGCCATTAATCAAAAAAAGGTAATCTTTTGAAACCTGCTCAGCATCGGGCTGTTTATGATTACCGCCTGAGCAGGATTACTTTCTAAGAGGGATGATAAAAGATTTTAGAGTTTAACAAGGAGGCTGGGAGCACCCATGCATTAGGGGTAAGACAGTAGAAGCCGCAGTTCAGCAGAGAGAGATTTGTCACTGCAGGTTGGCAAAGCTGCTTCTCAACTTATAAAACCAAAGCAGCTTAATTATTAGGTCAAAGGAGAAATGGACAGGAGCTGTGGGAGGGCAGGGCTTGATGGGGTTGTTTCAGGGTTCAACATGTCATTATCTCTGCATTTGTTTGGGGTGTCATGGGAAAGCAAAGAGGTTTTATTATTTCAATGAGCATTAATACACAAATACATCCAAACATGTAAACAGCATTGTTGTTATTGAGGAACATGTTACACTTGTTTATACTGGCCTAAACCCTAATCCTACTTCTAACCCTGGTTACTTCAGAAATATTTTTACTTATTCTGAGATAGAAATCAGAATTATAACTTTTCTCAGGACTCTGAGATTAAAGGTCCAGTAAGGAACTTTTTGTTCATGTCAATTTGGTCCCTTGCGGGTAAAGCTGTCATTGTTCATCTCGTCTCTTCCATATCTAAGCTCTGTCTTCTTTTGACAAGCAAATATTTGTATTTATTTTGAATTTCAAGAGTGGAAATCGTCAAATCAGTGCTGTTTCTTCAGCTGCTCAGCTGACACATACCCCCTCGCAATGTTTTCAAGCCTTTAGAATTATGGTGTAACAATCATCAATCTTGTGCCTGGTGTTTTTTGTTTGTTTTTTGTTTTGCTTTTGTAAATCACAACTAGACATCCATATGAATTTCAGTCCATTTCATAACCATCAAAAACTCCTCACAAGAGCTTTCAAGTCAAAACTCTGACTTCAATGGGAGGAAAAAAATCAGACTTCACTTTTTTTTTTTTTTAATAAAAACAAAAAACAAAATAAACATTTGCAAATGTGACTTATTCCTTCACATGTCACGTTCCTTCTTGCTTTGACATACGCAGATGTCCAAACGAGCGGTGAGATAATCTTTGAAGAAATGTCACGGGTCATCCAGGAAACTGATTTTGCCCGCTATGGGCATGGTTTATGAAACCACGCAGTCTTCTTTATGTCTATTTGATAGAGGAGTAACACTAATTAAAAAACATATGTGCAGCAGACCTTGTACATTACGCCTCATTATATGAAAGCACCCTGGCCTGTGTTCTACTTTCAGTATTTTTGCATTCAGCTGGTATTCAAACACACGAGCTGAAGTCCTGAAGGCAACATGCCTGATGGTGTACTGCCAAGTCGCTGCAGCAATATGTCATAAGTGAAATATCGAAGCGGGCATTAATGTTGACATGTGCTCTGGCTTGACCTTTCAAACTGACTCATTGGCCTGAGTGTTTTTCAGGTACAGACTAGATCTAAAGCTGCATCAATGTGCAAACAGTATTATTTTCAAGCTCAGCTGTGAGGAAACATTCAAAAGCCATCAAAGTGAAAAGCATAAAATAAAGAATTATCCACAGCATGGCAATTATTCAATAAGGCAGGGGTTATATCAATTCCAAGCACAAAGAGAGAGTTCAAATGTTATCTGACGTTGAGTTTAATTGCATTTAATTACTTAATGCTTCATACACAAATATGCTGCAGTAACAAGGGAATGACAGTAATGCTGTTTTACAAGAAAAGATGGCAACGGAATTGGTTATCGTGATGAAAGCAAAGCAAACGCTGAAGAAGAAAAAGTCAGCTGTGCCTCAGGGACAAGACACGAATGAAATCTTAATTTAAAGAGTTTGCATTTCCATATTGCCTCGCCTCTACACTCTGGTTCATTCCACGCAGCAAATGTCATCTTTGTTCTTGTGCAGTGAAAGCAGTGTCAGTTACCATACAGACTCCAGCTGCAAACATAAAAAGGTCCGACTTTTGATTCAGCTGCTGCACACAACATCAAAGATTCAGCTATAACTATCTACCGCAGTATTTACAGCTATCTACAAAGAAAGATACGCCTGTTCCTCCTGTGCAATCTTAGGGGCCTTAATCTCAGTGCCATTACTCTCTCTTCTCCTCTCTCTCTCTCTCTCTCTCTTTCTCTTTCTCTCTCATCTGCCCTCCCTAAGTTTTTGCCCAATTCCCCCTCGGTTCAGCAGCAGGGCACTGGGTCACGGCACAGGCTTGATTTTCACACTGTTCCCTCCACCAAGCGACGCATCAAGTTAATCAGGGTTAACAATTGTGGCGGTGCCTTGCTGAGCAGGGCTCCCATCGGCTTAGCCCCAGCCTGGCTCTGGCGATGCAGATGGGCTCGTAATCTCTGTTCTGGGAGCGAAGAGGACGGATAAGGGTGGAGGTACATTGAGGGTGCGTGGGCGGGTGCTGGGTGTGGATAGGTCGCACAATCAAAGCAGCAAAGCGGCAAAGGACGAGGACAAAGTTTGTGATAGGAGGGAGTAGTATCTGGATATTCCCTGAAGTCAGAGCAGAAGGACTGCTGTAAGAAAGTTCTCTAGAACTGAAGAAAGTCCTGGAAAAAAGAGGGCACTTTTATATTCAACCAAGCTGGCAGGATATGCATTTTTTTTAATATTGTAGTGATAATGAAAAGAAAGATAGGGACATGAATGTTTAAAAGTTCATTCAAACTGTCACTTCTTGTGCCTTTGTACAGTTTTTCATGTTTAACACCGTATCTGTATGTCAGCCCCTGAATCCCCCAAAATGCAAAAAAACATCATTCAAACCTTTCAATAAGCAGTAATTAATTTGTAAATAGCTTCTGGTTATGTTGAGCTTAATCTGCCTGCATCAATATGGAGTGAAAGCATCAGCAATACACTCAGGCCTCTATTAATGATGAAACGTTCCTACGCAAAATGAAAAAGCAATGTTTTCATCTTTACTTTTTGATAAATTTCTGTGGTACGTTTATTCTCTTATTGTGGCAGTGATGAAATTGAAATATATCCTACATCCGCTCCTACTCTTCGCCTTAATTCTGTTCCAAAATGCTTTGCAGAAAAGTCATTTATGTAGCCTTTATATACCGATACCTACTGAAAAAGTATGTCTGACAAAAGTAAATAAATAAATACGAGTAAATGGAAGGAAATTGAGTCTCAAGTTTGACCATGATTCATTGAAAAATGGAGGGAAAAGGACTTCTATTGCTACAAAGCCGGGCACAAATTAGTATTCTCCCAGAGTTTCAAACCCAACCAAATTAAATGTTTTGAAAAGCTTCCAAGTTAAAAGTTTGAAAAGGTGTAAAATGTGACATTAAGTATCCTTAATCCCTCCTGTGCCGCTCTTCTCTCATGGACCACACAGGTCAGGACATGAAACAGAAGCAGCGCGGTGTCAGGAGGTCAAAAAGACCATAAGAATTACAAATCCACAGTAAGTGTATGATGTTTTAAGATCAAAGAGAGACAGAGGGATGGATGTTGTTGGAAGAAAAACTTCCAGCGCTAAGGATGACTGAGGCGTGACCTAATTGGCTAAACAGAACCCTCAAAAGCGATAGCAGCTGGCTAGCTTCTTGCACAACACAGCCCGGGGTGCCCCGGCTAAAGGCTACGCGCACTTAATTATTCATTCACTCAGAAGAAGAAGAAGTAGAATTACACAACTGAGCTTTCCTGTTAGGAAGCATGAAGAGGAAACAAAAAATCTGCTGCTTGTCACGCAGCCTCAGGTGACAGAAATAGAGCCCTTCTGGAGGAGGCTCGAACAAAACCAGACTCTTCAGATGACCTTTTCATCTAAAAAGAGCGGTCAACACTCGAACTTCGATGTGAGATCATCTCGGCTTTAAGCTGAACTTTTTGTCGCATCCTTTCACTCCTCAATTATACAACAACTTAAGCACTCTGCCTCTCTCTCTCTTTTCCTTTCCATAACCATCTCGCTTTCGAGATGTCGCACTTCTTCCAAGTGACATGTATTATTTACAGCAGGTTCAAGTGCTACCCATGCAGTGACACTCTTATACTTTCACAGGTCTCTGTAGATGCCACCGTTTTGATTCGCCCGTGGCCTGAGCTGCTTTTGCTAAAACATTAAGGATCCTTGACACCAGTGCACAAACTGAATATTTCATATGCTACCCAGCTCAAAAGCACCAAAGTTCAGGCCGGAGAGCACTCCTGTCCATTTATTACCCATCGCAGCTTGCTTCATGAAAGTCTTATAATGACCAAGTTGATGGTATTTATTCTTGAACTGTGAGGTCCTCTGAACAGGTCAGGGGTCTTGTAAAGTGCACGTAAAAGAGGAAGAAAAGGGGAACGCCTTAGAGGACTGATTGCTGATGCTGCTGTGTTGCATGTAAAATATGCATGTTCGTTTAAGCAGCCATGTCCCACAAGCCGCGGTGTCAAAGTACATCTGTCAAATTCTTCCTAACACGTTCACAAATCTAATCAGTGATAAAGCCCGAAGGAACGAGATTTGAAAAAAAGGATGATAAAAATTGGAGTCCCACTGTTCTGCCCTTGCTGACCTCTTCTGTTGTGGAAAAAAAAAAAAACACTGAGTTCACCACGAGTTCACCAAGAGTTCACGTCCACTGCCATCATGGCATTTGGCCGATATGTCTCGTAACCAATCCCTGCCATAAGTAAGGAAGGAGGAGAGGCAAGTCAACCAAACTTAGCCCAACGACTACTGCTGATATGACACACGACGTGTTCCACCACTCTGACCCTGATACGCAGGGTCGCTGTTCGGTCAGACCGCTGCTGCGGGCTGTGTTTGAGTATGTGTTTGAGTGTGTGGGTGAGTGTGTGTGGGTGTTGAGGGGGATAGGTTGGAGCAAAGGGTGGTTAAGAAAAAAAAAAGCAAAACCCCAAAATATCTCTGTCACTGGCCCTGTGTCATAACATATCACAACCCCGCCCAGTATCAAAACGGGTTCATGTAGAGTTCAGCTGTGAGGCCACACCCCCTCGCCACCACATCACCATGCAGACAAAGTGACGTCACCGGTGAGAAAAACCCTCTTCTCTGGATGTCTGCGAAGTCACAGCAGCACCTAGCGTTGGTTACCAACTGTGCTAAACATCATGAACACCAGTTGGTTTTGCATTTCTGTACTTTTCTGTGATCTAAACTCATCTAAAGTCTAAAGTCATCTGCGAACAAGAACAGCAATAATTATGATGTCATGTTATTTTGGGGTATCGGCAGTTTTCGTTGCTAATTTGGTGATTCTAGATGTTATTAATTTTGAACTTAACAAATATTATTAAAAATTTATGAAAAAATAAATAAAATTGAAATACATTAGAATAAATAAAAACACATTTGCTTTTTCACAAGGATTGTTAATCATTCAATGAAAACATTACCAAAATATTATTCAGTATTCTGAAAATAAGACTGAGTATTTTATTTATATAAAACATTTAAATATTCTGTACGAAATAAACAAAAATAAAGTTAACAAGACTTTTTTCAGGACTTACCTTTTTTGTAATTCAAAGCCATGTCATTTCAGGGTAAATATTTACACAATAATCCTTTTTACAATTTATAAATAAAAATAGATCCATACCCTTCATCAATATTTCTCTACATCTTTTGGTTTGATACACATTTTAATATATATTTAATGAATCAAATGTTTTACATGTTAGTGTATGAAATATATCTATTTTATTTAAGCAATATCCAAATTAAATCAACTTTGTAATCAATGAATACTGGCCTAAATGATGTATAATTTCATGTATGAGGGGAATAAACTTTTAGAAATGGTTTGATTTTAGGTGTAATAATTGTTTAAAGATAAAACCCCATGAGCTTTTTAAAAATCCAACCTGAGTTAAAATGTTAAAAAATTACATTCAGAAACAAAAATGTATTTATCTCATACGTATTTATGTAATATGAATCTGATTTAATATGAATTCAGTCATTGCAGGGATAAATAGAGTATGGCTTAATTCCCCCCAAATAAAGCATTCGGATCTATATTACAGAAGTACATATTAAATAAAGCATGTGCGGTTATTTACTTCATGTATTTAGTGCACACATTTTTCAACCATGATTCAAATATTTTTGATGTAAATATATATATATGATTGATTTCTTATAGAAACTACACCGTAACAACACAACTTCACTTGTTTTATTATAATTTATTTATTTATTTGTTGATCATTATCATTCAAAAAAGTATATCCCTGAAAAAAAAACTCTGTTATACTTCCAGTAAAAAAAAGTGGGTGTGCTGTTTTTCAATCTTTGAATATAAATTTTAAAAAATTACATAAATTAAATTGAATGTTACAGTAAGCTCTACTTGCCTCTTGCTGATCCTTGTAAATGATCCTTGAGGCATATTGTTCTATTGCATGTAATCTACAAAATAGCATGTTTTTTTTCTTTATAATTTACTATACTTCAACATGATTTTTAAAAGGTTCAGTATTATTTTAGCAGTATTCTTATATATGTTACACACACACATACACGCACACTTTTTCAGAGAATGACCTGAGGCCTCTGGAGTGTGCTTTAGATTTATCTTTTACGTATGATGACAGTGAATACAAAATTTAATGTACATGTCAGATACCAAAAAAAAAACCAGATAAATAAATGCAAAATAAATTAATAATTATCACAATAATAAATATCTGCATAGATCATAAAGCTCTCTTGGTGTTTGTGAGTATAAAATTCTGCAAAAAATAAAGGCCAAAAAATTACACGACAAACACAACATTATGATTTTTTTTGTTTAAAGCAGTAGTGAGTGAAGCTCTTTGACAGATATCTATTACTTATTCCGCTTTTAACCTAAAGTAATTATATGCCTGTTTGTAATTCACACAAACTATCAGACTCAGCAGTAATGACGCACTAACACTACAGTATAAAGACTTGGAGCGCCCACTAGTGTTAGAAATACATCATACAGCTTTAAACTATGACCGTGGGTTCACTTTTCTGTTCTTGTTTTGTTCCTAGATTTCTTAATTATTATTAAGTACATTATTTATATTGTGTTGTTTAAAATCCATCATTATGGGATGACTCTCTTTGACTTGATAAACCTGCAGTAATAGGCTCAAAGGTTAAATTTATTTATTTCTTGAAAACAAAATTAGACATTTTTGTAAATAATTTGTTGTGCTCAAGAGGAGATTTTTTATCAAACAATTGAATGGAAGTGAATAAAGTGGACTAAATAATATTTTATGAAGGCCAACACCCTTTGAATATATCAGTAAAGTAAAAATGTGGATTCATGGTTTTACCTGCAGATAAATTATTACACATAGAAATATTTCTTTGGGGAATTTCAAGTGTTTTGACTTTAGTGAGCTGATAAATAATGATATACCTCCCTTCTAGAAAACTAGGTATAACATATCAAGCTGAATGGCTCACTTCTTGTCTAGCATGAGGACATAAGTCAGCAAAATCCACAACCATTAGTTCCTCAATAGAACAATGAGTCTTTGACTGCATGTGCTGAGACACGGGCAGAATAATGCACTGCTCAGTCCTCAGTGTAAATAACAAAATGACAGAGACAATTTTCATCCAAAGCCTGCCCACGCTGTATAAGCAGGATCCTATATTTCCATAGGAAATATACATTTACATCATTTCAGTAACTTCCTCATCCTTTGTAACCAAAAGCTGACAGATCCAAGCTTCAGTTAAGCACCCAGGAGACGTTGAGGTGTGGAGTTGTTGGAGTGTGTGATTCCCCTACATGCTGGTCCCAGTGCAGAAAGTGTGGAGGGACTTCCAGGGAGCAGGATGAGGAACCTCCCACCATGCACTGAGAAAAACAAAAAAAACACAATAAAAGTATCTGACAAATCCTCTTTTCAGCATATAAATCAATAACTTTTAGTTAATACAAGAATCTCCTAAAATGTAAAGCATTACCCACATTTAACTTAATGTATCATACTATTCTATAAGTCACCTTTACTCTGACTGCATCCACTGTCTGCTGTTTACGCCCGGTTTTCAGAGTCATCCTCATGCTCCTCTGTAGCAGGTGCAACCAGCCGGTCATATGAAAACGCCAACATCAGCTGCAACAGAAAATATGAGGTTAGTATTGCTACAAAAACAACCATGAAAAAGGAGACTGTAAATGAAGTGTCCACAAAGAGCCCTGGGACAAAACACAAAGTGAACTCTTGGTAATAATTTCCTTAATATAGCTAAATACAGTATAGTCTCTCTTTACAGATAAGTCACAAAAGAAATTTCAAAACAAAGTTTATAGAAAAAAAGGGATTACTCACAAATAAAGAAATTAACAATGATGCTATAGGTATATTAAAAATGTCAGAAATCAGTAAGCCCTGAAGATCACCCTTACACATTTATTTGAACTTGTTTGCTCAATACTCTTTTATTTAACATAGTGAATCCTTAATACTGACGCATTTGAAGCACTTTGGCCCTTTTTTTTTTGCGTGGTCACTGTGAATCCTGAGCACCTGCTTCAGACCTAACAGCCTGTCCTTTACAGTGGCAATAATGAAGGGAAAGAAAAGACAGGGCTGTCCTTTATGGAGCCAATTTAGTTAAAGACATGCAGATTGAATCCTTTTTACCTGTTAGGAAGAGCACACAGAGTCCTCCCCTCACAGGCACACAGCCTGTTGTTTTTCTTTTTTCCCTCTTTCTTACTGATCCTGAAAATATTTGGTTGCTGGGCCACAGTTTGCACATGCTTCATTACAGGCATTACGACTGTTTTCTTATTTTTGTTTGTTCCCGGACCCAGGAGGAGCTGCTGGCTATGAGATGTCAACTCCCATTTCCTATTCCTTACTTTAAACCCTTTTCTGTGGTTTGTTTGTCGCTTATTTGTTCCAATTAGATTTGCAGTGCTAACAGGAAAAAAAAAAATCCCAAGGCAATTTTTGGCTTTAAACAGTAATGAGGCCCACATTTCTACAAATTACAGGGCCAGATTTTAACCATTGCAAGCCCTCTGTCTCATGTAAGTGGACGATGAGAGTTAACGGAAAGTAAATGCTTTTTTTATTCATACAATTTCATGTTGAAGGTTTGACAGAATCGAGCGCAGTTAGGGTTTTATCACACGAGTGCTCATCCTCATCTGGCCAAATTGACAGGGGAATTTAGAGGTTAAACAAATTCAGATTTTTTAAGATTTTTTAATGCACCTGTTGTCTTAAGGACTATAAAATATTTTTAAAACGCGTCTGGGTTTGCTGGAGAGCAGTAAATCTACACAAAATTCTCGAAGCTCAGGGGTCGAACACACTTGTGTTCACAATTGTGATGCAATGTATAAACAGCCCTCACTATAAAAGGCTCTACTTAATGAGATTTGATTTAATTTGTACACAGCAACGATACTTCGAAAACCACGACTGTGGCCAAAATTCCTGAAAGGGCCTTTTTCAAACTTGACCCACACCATCATAGACTGTGATCTGTTTGTAGTAGGGATTAGATTATACAAAAAAAAAAAAAAAAACACTTGATTAAAAAGTGGATTACAAAATACAGGAGAAACTTTTGTAATTTTTTGGTGTAAACATGATTTCATATCACACCAACCTTATTTTGTGGCGTTTGTTTTGATTTTGTTCCGATGTCTTCCTGTTACTGAGCTGTCTACTGTGGGAAACTATTCAATCAAATATGCAACACTTGAAAATCAGAGCCCTTCACTTATTTGATAAAAAAGAAGCGTATTCTTGATTCCTAACATACTGTTATCTTTTAAGTGTTAAAAGTATCTTGCATTTGTGTGATATGTCTTCTTTAACTGACACAAGGGGGTGTTGCACATGATCATGGGTTTTATTATCCACTCCCACCCAATGTCTTGGAGCCTCTTCAGAAGCTTGAAAGTGGCATATTTGAGGGGTCCTATGCCTCCTTTTTACATACCGTTAGCAGTGCCAGCAGTGCCATCATCACCCCCATCATGATATACATGTTCTCAGTGAGGCCACCCGCCCAGAGAGGGCCCAGGATGGTAGCCAGACCTCCAACTGAGCGACGCACTCCCTGACTAAAACCTGCAATACAAGAAAAAACAAGTGTAAGGCTCAAGTGTTGAGGTCATGTTAGTCACAAAAGCCTGAATCAGTCAGTTGGAAAAAGCAGTGCAGTTTGTTTTCTTCTCCACTAGAGGGCGCAGTTTGGTACCTTGTGTTTTCTCTGCAGTAACTTTGGAGAAGAGGGAAACCTGAGCCACAGCAACAAATGGCAAACCCAGAACCTGCAGAAACACCCCGATGATGAACTCAGTCAGCTGCCATGGAAACCCTCCTGGAGAGAAAAAAAGACATCAAGGTGTCAGGATAAAGCCACTTTCCAAGTTATTTCCTTTTACTCGCTCTCCAATCAAACTTGATGTCAGAATTTGGGTGGTAGTCTCTGACCTATCGGGTTAGCCAGGAAGATGAGGCACCAGACTCCAGAGATGTTACAGATGGCCAGGCCAATAGCCAGAACCACCCGCTCAGCAACACGCCGGCTCAGCCAGCGCACAAACAGGAAGCCAGCGATCACCTCCACGCCACAAAGACAGTACATCACACTGTTTTCCAGCTCCCCGTAGCCGAAGTATCTCTGTGTCATTGGGGTCACCATGGTCTGGAGTGAGGATGATAAGAAGTGTTGACATGAGATATCCATGTTAATGAGATATTTTGTATTTTTTTCAGTATAAGAGCCATCAACTAAAACAAAGGAAATGAATAAGTGAGTGATTGCGTTTGGATGTCTTTGCTGCACCTCTAAGGCTGTCTGATTGAAGAGGGTGATGAACTGAGCAGCCAGCAGCACAACCACTTCTTCTCTCAGGAACTCTGCAGATTAAAAGAGGGTGTCAGGTACAGGTAAATGGCTTTCTCTTTTCTTTTTCCTTCTTGTTCCTCTTCTGGAAATTTTTATAGTCCTTAAAATGCTATTATTCTAGTATTTTTTTGCCCTTTTATTTGCTGTATTTCTATGATTCATGGTTTTTGTTTCTCATCTGCTGTGACTGTCAAAGCAATTCGTAACTTTTACCTTATTTTTTTCTAATGGTAGCTTATTGGTGATGAAAGATGTTTTTAACCTGAAATTCGACCGGCTGTTCTTTCAGATTTCCACAATTAATTGAGAAGTGGTGAAATTTTAGAGATGTTTTTCATTTCCTGTCTTTACAGAGTGTGATAACATGTTACAGAGCATGCAACCATTAGAACAGCATTTGAGCTTTACACCCTAAATACTGTCAGGGGGAAATTACAGCTCTGAGAATTTGGTGGTTTGCCACCGTCTTTCATCAAATTGTAATTCCACACTGATGCAATACAGCACAGTCTTTCAATACAGAGATAAGCTAGTTTAGGTCTGTTATTCCAAACACGGAAGAATGAAAGGTTGAGTAAATTGGATGTCAACCCACCTCTGGATATACTGAAATTCTTGAAGGGGCTGGCAGACTCAGGAGACTCTGATGACTCATGAGAGATATGGTTGAGTGGTGCATTGGAGACTGAACAGCTGTGATTTACAGAGGGGGGAGATATCACCACTGAGCCGTAGGACCCCGCCAACTCCTGGGAGCCAATGAGTGGCTTTTCCTCCTCATTATCCTCCTCAACAATCTCTTGCTCCCTGTCCTCCTCCTTGTCATGGCTTGCTGAGTTCTCCTTGGCCTTCACCCTCTGCTGAGGTGGTAGGTCCCAGTACATGAAGATCACTACCAGTTGAAGAAGGATCCACAGCAGGCACATGAACAACTAAAGAGAGAGTGGAAGATGAGAGTTGAAGCTTTTCTTTAGGGAAATACACATTTGAAAGGTAAAATACATAAATGTCCTGTTTACAATAGTGGGACTTGAACCTTACCCCTGGTGAAGTATATTTATTGACCACAAATGGACCTAATTGGAAATCTAGCAGCCTCAGGAAGATGTTAAACGCTGGACCTGTGCCAGAAACATAAAGGAATACATAAATATAGATAGATAGATAGATAGATAGATAGATAGATAGATAGATAGATAGATAGATAGATAGATAGATAGATAGATAGATAGATAGATAGATAGATAGATAGATAGATAGATAGATAGATAGATAGATAGATAGATAGATAGATAGATAGATAGAAAGAATAAAAAAGTCTTTCACTGGTATTTTATTTGAAAACAGCTGGGCACTGACCAATCAGAAGGCCAGCTTGTCGACATGCCATGACAGCAGCAAAAACAGTGGCTCGGTCCTCAGGGGAAGTGCTTCTGGTCAGGAAGCCAAAGATAGCTGAGCCTGCACCTGTGCCAATGCCTGAAGAAAACACATATTTCATGAATAAATTACAGCTACAACTAAAATCTGATGAAAGAAACTGGCACTCCAGAAGGGATTTACATCCTTGTGGTTTAACCTGTGTCATGTCTTTCTTTTTCATATTCAGAAAATGCACAAGGCCAAAGACAAAGTGGCTACTCTATCATGACACTAAAAACCTTGAGAACTTTTTAAGTGACCTGAATTTGAGTCTACTTTTCTTTTTACTATAAAAATGAATTCCACATATTTCAAGCTGTTGAGCTGGTTAATCATACATTCAAAGCTCCTTTGATGAGTTTTTGACAATTATGAAATGCAATTAAATTAAATTTGATTACATACAAAAGCAAATAAGATTATCAGCAACAAGATAAACAATTTACATGTTGCAATCTTCAGCGCCTTAAACTGTTGTGAGGGGGTAGGTGTCATCTGAGCAGCTGCAGAAACAGCCCTGTTTTTACCATTTTTAGATAGAGTATTCACAGTGATTGTTCTATGATTGTAAAGTCAGCAGGATAAGAGTTTATGTAAGAAGAGACTCAAATATATTGTGGACAAGATAAGCAAAGACTTCTTCAAAGAAGGTCCCAAAATGGACACAAACTTATAAAGTTCCCTACAGGAGCTTTAAACCAAACTATTATTTTTGAATAAATCGATCATCCCCATTCAAGGTGATGCAACTGCAAGAATAATCAGCTTTGAGAAGCCTCAAATGATTAAATTCTGTCTTTAATTTCTAAATTATAGCTGCATTTTGAATCCAAGATCAATCAAAATGACAGGGATACATCACCAGCTTACCACCAACTAAACAAAAAGTGTCCCCTGTTGTACACTCACCTGCCACTAGTCTGCTGGACAGTAGGAGCCACTTGGAAAAGCCCATAAAATACATAAAATTACCTGGAAAGTGAAAAAAAAACGTCAAACAAACAAAAAAGTAAGCCACATACATTATAATCAGATAAACAATAAATGGAGTTGGAGTTTTCTTTATGGACTCACCAGCTATCTCAAAAAGGTTGGCAAACAAGATAATGTTCTTGGTGGTCCCCGTTCTGTCAGACCAGTGGCCAAACAGCGGTCCTGCCAGGAGGCCACTCAGGCTAAACGCTGACAGAGCCAAACCAAGAAAGTATGGCGCTGCATCTAAAGTCTGCAAATATCTCCATATTGTGGGCAAAATTACAGCTGGAGAGACAGAGGTAAGCAGAGTTACTTTTCTTATTTGTCCAGTAAAATACACTGAAATTCTAACACTTCTTAATGCAGCATGTTATACTCGCACCAAAAAATAATGTGACAGTTTAGGCTGCCCAACTTAGTTTAGCTGAGTGATCTGTGTTAAAAGTTGAAGATGCAAACCATTTAAGGTGTACCACCATGGAGCTTTAGTGTGAAAGCATTATCACCAATTGGCTGCATCTTTATGGTTTCTTATCTGTCTTCTTTTAAACCAGAGACATGGCAAGCCATATTTTAGAGGCTAGTTTATAAGTGTCATTGAGGACTACAAATAAATGCTTTCACAAGCTATAACCATTACCTTAAGTTTATGATTTAATCAGTTACACCAGTTAATTAGTAATTTCTTGAGCTTCTCATTCAGTGGAATTTCAGAGCACGCTCTCCTCATGCTCTCCGGTGCCATTATCTCATAAACACCGATAGTGCTGACCCATACAATGCAAATTCAATTCTTGTGCTGGAAGACACACAAGAAAGCGTGCTCTCAGAAAATTCCTGAGGGGAAATTGTTTGCTGAAACCTTGCTAACAAAGACATCAGTATATGGAGCAGATAAAACAGCAACAGTTATATATGGACTCTAATGAACTAGAATCAGATCTCATATGTTTGGGACTATTTTGGTGCTTTAACAACCAGAAAAAAGGAAGCGAGCATCATAAATTAACAATATTAAGAGGAAGGACTGTGCCGTTTACTTATTGTAGTTTATGTGACTGACTTTTGCCTCACTTTAGGTAAATAGATGAGCTATAGCCATGGCTACAAAGCATTTCCCCAAGAGAGTATGATACTGCTGAGGAAGTATAGCTAAATGTCAAAAGGCTCCAACACTTAAGACTTGCACTATCAGTACCAGTACAACTTGTTCTGTTTTCTTTTTAACTGAAAAGGCAGGACAATGTTAAGTAAACACAGCATTCACCAGTCCCATAGATTACCTAAAACCATATGATTGCCTCACTTTTTACAGGATGGTTTTATATTTCCAACTACAGTTTGACATGGGCTGGACAGCATGGGATATGCCCATGTTGTTATCATAAAACTCAAGACACACAAGGATTGATGTTAGTGGAAAATCATGACAGTATGACTGACTGATGACCTCTGCTTTTACTCTTTTAACGATGGTTAACTACAGAGCGGTGGTAGAAAAACAGCTGTTTCTGTAACGTAAACAAAATAGATCTTACCATACTCGATCCCACTAAGAAGAAAGATTAGTCCGATGGTGAGGAAAGTCAGCCTCTTTTTTCGTTGAGTATCCATTGTTTCTGGCTGCTTCAATCTTATTTAATCCCTTCAAACCGATCGTCTACATTATTGTTTATTCAGCTATCATTGAAGGCGACCCTGCTGACATAATTCCGAGAGCAGTGCTTCCAATTAGAGGCGAATACAGGAACCAACAAGACACTAACATTAGTGAGGGTGTCAGCAGGCTGACAGAAAAGCAGCTGTAACAGAACAGCATACTGCTCTACATGTCTCTATGGTGAGTGTTCATGACACCAGGTAATGCTAGGGAAGGGCAGTGGAGTCCCAGAGCAGGCAAGGCTCTCTCTCCACACCACCAAACCTGTTCAGCAAACATTACACACAAATGAACGTCCCCGCGGCGCTCCTGCGCAGACTAATCCCATCACATCACTTCCGGTGGACGAAAATAAACTGAAGCAATCCCGAACAGTGAACTCCTCTTCGCGTTTCATGCGCGCGGGTCGGATAAGGTTTTAATTTCAAATGCATGACTTTTTAAGTAACATTATGTGGCCAATTCTTTTGTACTATTATAATCCGATTTCCACAACAAAATGAACACAAAAAGGCTTAAAGGCAGAAAGGGAAAAAAACGAAATCTAACTCTCAGCAAAACTGTGGTGAAAATCATTGATTGTACTTTTTCTTTCACAGTCATGCTTTACCAGGGCTGTCAGATTATGGATTTGATCTGCATTCTGGGTGTTATTTAATAAACTGACAACCCTGGGAAATATTCTGACCATTCCCTAATGGTTCAGTAATAGTTCTGGGACACAATTAGGGGAGAGTGGGGTAAGTTGAGCTACTCCCTGTTGCTTGGAAGTGGTAAAATAAATTGATCATGTGACCAAATATTTAGGAGATGGGCGTCAATTCATGGAGTCTGTGAAGGTTAGAAGCACATGGGTGAAGGGGTTAGACATTTAGTTCCCCCAAAAAAACATTTTTTACTCTTGAAAGTGAATTTAGTCTGTCATCAGTTTTATTAGAATTGTGTTCAGACCAAAAAAGATCATTTTAAATTTGTTTTGTACATCAATTGTGGTATCTATGTGAACATAAAAGTCCACCATTTTAGCTTAGAAGACTAATAAAGTCATAATAGTAGTTCAGGGGTAAGTTAAACCAGTGGTTCAACTGAGAAAGTAAAGGAGTCTGATGAGAGGATCAGAGTTATGACCCAACCCAATGACCCAACTTACCCCATACACGGGGTAAGTTGACCATAGGAGACCAACTTTTTTGGCATGCTATATTATCAATAGTTTTGTTTACACTCATTCTGTTGGTTTGCAGGGATGCACAACATCCTGAAATCTATACAGATACACTAGTTAGAGACAAAACTATGATTGACTTGATGTAGTGATCTGAAATATGAAAAATGGCTCATCTTACCCCACACTCCCCTACTGATTAAGGCCAGTAACATATAAAGGCAACATGCTGATTCACTCTAACAAGAGTATTCAGATGCAAATCAGTGAATATTTTTAAGAGTCCAGGCAGATGTGATCAATCTTACACATCAGCTCCACTTAACACCGATCATGTTGCTGAAATAACTTCTTGTGATTTACATTTCATTTCTGCTGCCATCCTTCTCCTAATAAATGTGAAAGCTTGACATTATTTTACTGAGATGCACAAAGCTTTCCTGTGTCATCAGCTGGGCTTCTCCCCACCCTGTGACATCCATTACCACAAACACTGAGAAGTCTGTGTCACACACAACTGCTGCGTCTCCGCTCTTAATTCAATTTTAGGTTTCCAGAGTGTCCACCATATAGTTTTCTTGCCATTTAAGCAAATTCACCAGTTGTTCACACAACCATCTGTAAATTGGGAGAGAAATATTTTAAATTCCTGTAACACTGTCAGAGAATTGAGCCCCAATCTAAATCAGATTTAGAAAGAGAAACAGTGAAAGCCTTGTAGATTGTCCACTAGTCCAAAAAGTAGAAATTTTAGCTGGAATACAGACATGAAGCACCCACTTACCTCTAAACTGAATGTTTCCACTGTGGACAGATTTCATTGAAGCTGTTGATACAGCTGCTTGACTAAGACTGTTCCTAGATTTATATTGCCAAATGGTTGATTGTTTAAACTGGATATTTTTAAGCTGTGTATAGCACAACAACCACATACTTTCTGGTTATATACTTACCAGATATGTCAGAACTTCAAATAACTTATATTTGGTGTAATTGTGAGTGGGATAATGTATACTTTCCCGTAAGCCACATTACCAAGTTAGCACTCAGTTTCAGTGTAAAGCTGTGTCTTGCCCTGTTTACTGTTGCACACAGTTCACCTGCAGTACAAATATTGAGAAACATTTTAAACAAATGGACTGCCTGTTCAATTTGATAAGTTTCTGTGTGTAAAAGAGCGCCTACATATTTGCTGAGGTCCAGTGTTGGTAGAGAGTGAAAAGAATGACCATCCAAAAAAGAGAAGAAATAAAAAAACCTTTACTGATTGAATCCAGGTCACTGAATGAGAATTCGTAGAAAAAAAATCTTTATTTACAGTTTGACAAAGATGGAGGTTGTTGCTGTTTGAAGTGTCACAGTCTTTAATCTGTAGTCCATTTCCTCGGAGGAAACATTTTGAAACTATGGTTATAAAAAACTAAATGCATCTTCTCCAGTCTGTGTTTGCTGTCAGGGAGCAGCTCCTGGTGAGGGTCTTGTGCTCGCCACTATAAAATACAGAAGTATTAAGTACGGAGTTCTGTTTGACTTCGGTTGAACTGTGGTAGAGGAAGGGCCTGGGTATACTGGCGAGCAGGGCTGGGTTTTAGAAGGCCAGTTTCTTCATGAGGAGGTAGACCCTGGAGTCCACCTCGAAGCCGTGAAGGTTGTTTGCATCTCCTTGCAGCCTCATGAGGAGACCGCCGTAAGACACATAGGCGGAGCTAAATAAAGAACATGATTAAGACTAAACCAATCAAAGTTGAGAATAATTTAATCAAATCTGACACACAAATGATGATAACTGAGAACAGTGCATTACTTATAATGTATTCACCACCCTACAAAATGTAATCCTTTAATTGAAGTAACAGACTTACATAAAAGGGGCAGCAAATGAGCGTTGATTTTTGATTAATGTTTTTTAAAATTAGATGTTTGTATTCAAGTTCCAAAATATCAATGAGCCACATGTAAGAGTAAACACTACAGTGTATTTGGATATGAAGTTTAATAATAACGTAAAATGAGACTTAGTATACAAATTAAAACAACAAGTTTTATTTAAACAATGGAAAATCACTTACAGTCGTGTCGCTGCCTCTGTTGAAGTCTCATCACCCTCAATCTTGTAAACCTTCCCATACATCACATAATCAAACTGGTCCGCCCTGAAAAAAACCCAAAGTTAAGTTACAGCAGGAATTCAATAATGTAGTCAATAGTGCATTACACACATGAAAAAGGTAATAAAATGCACAAATTTACAACTACCTTTATAATACTGGCATATAATGGCATCTGTCAATACTGTTACATCATAATGTGACGGGAAAATGTCTTACCTTGATGGCCGGTCGTCCTGAGGATTGTACTCTCCGTCATCTGGTGTTCCGTCTTCATATAACGTGCTGGCGATAACCAATCTGAACTTGTCACCTTGAAAGTGAGAGCATGATAAGAAGGATCAATCTAACACACAGCAATTTCCTTACAAGTTTCTAAAAGTTTAAGTCACACAGCAAAGGTGCAAATGATAACCGAACTAAAAATGTGACCATCTCTTCAAAAATTAATACAGTTTCACATTTCAAAGGTGCAAATCTACAGTGACGACATACAGAAAGATAACTGATTTGTTTTGAGCAGGATACATGCAAGGTGGGTTTAGAACGTGATGCTGGATGAAAACAATTATTACTGGTTTACAATCTCTTCCATTTATATCAAAAAGGGACATCACAGTGGCTTCTTACCAAGATCAACAGGATAGATCTGAATGTTCACGTCCAAGATAAGGTCCATTTTGAAAGACTCACTTTCACAATGCAGACGAGATACTACAGCAAATAAGTCAGAAAACATTCAGGTTAAGTGAAAAATGATCGGGATCAAGAAATAAATATTTAACCTGATTTTATGCAAAAAACAGACTCACTACTATCACTATTATCAAGCATTTAAGTGTACCTGGGTGCTGTGCCTCCTTTAACATTATCTCTTAAAACAATAACTTCATTTCACAAACCTCTGTCAAATTTCTTGCCATCTGGATCGATGTCCTTTACATCAAAGATATCCTCAAACAGAATTCCAGCCATCCTGCTCTAAACCTGTCAACTTGGAAAGAGAGATAAAATTACTAACACAGAGCTTAAAAAGTAACAGAAGAAAAGGGTGTTAGGAAATTTCACCAGGAAGGTGCCGATCACATTTCAGCTGACTTTACCTGCTAATGTGACTATTTCTTACAACTGTGAGCTAGCTGCTAGCTTTAGCTTATTACGAAGATAACCCTTCAAACTTACCTCCAGTAAGATTTACTTCCTTTATTACACCGTGGGTAGAAAAACAAGACAGTCAACACTGTCTTCGCCTAAAAGCTATTTTATTTTCTCTCTAGATTTCTTTTTGCAGTAAAGTTTCATTCATTCCTGTGTGCTGAATGAAACACACTACCGCGCAGAGCAATGTGCTCAACCTTTGACACGACGACTACTTCCGGTCCAAAATGAAAACACGTTGTTCGTTGATATTATTATACATTTTAAAATCTTTATTATCTCTATGGTTTATATTATGATGCTGTGGCTTGAAGTTGATATGAGACATATGATCTTCGTCAATTTTGACAAAGAGAAAATAAATCTTTTAGCTATATTAAACCTGTTCATTAATTTATAGTCAGATTAAGAACGTTTGTCGGGGATTTATTTTGTGTCAGTCCTCCAAAATCTCAAAAATATCGGTATAGTTATCTGCTTAAAGATCAATACGCAGATCAGCCATAATATCGACACAATGTAATGCATCACAACTGCACTACTACAGATTATGCTCCATTTTCCTGTTTTTGTTGATATGATTAGATAGTTGATGGTTGTTCTATAAATTAATTTAAAATAAAATGGCTTTTTATTAAAAATGTAATAAAATAAATTGGCTTTTAACCTGTGAACTGTTCTTATATTGTCTTTTACATTGTGTCTTTTTTAACCTTTAAAATGGTTGGTTTTATTTCTCTGAATTTTTTATTTTAAATTGTGTTGTTTTTTTCTTTGTAAAGCGTCTTTGAGCACCTGTAAAAGTGCGTTATAAATACAATTTATTATTATCATTATTTTATTTTATTTTATTATTATTTATTTATAATAATACTTGATGTTGTAGTGAGTGTCAGTGGTGTACTTCGGTGCATTACATTCAAAGAGGTTACAAGTATTTTTCGCCCCCTCCTGTTTGTTGAGTGGACATAATAATTCAACAATACATTTAGCTGCACCACCACAATCGACTCCGCTGGATGGTTACGACACCTCGCTGTACTTTCCGGCACGAGTTTCCCAAACGTTAGGTTGCTAGGTGTTTTAGCGTCCTTTCTGTGTACGGTTGCTACCTAAAAGCTGCATGAGCAGCTAACAACAGTATCACTGAAGCCCGAACCGTCCTGTCGAAAATGGATTATTTAAGTTTGGGGTAAAGACTCTGACGGTGATATGGGCAGGTAATCGGCAAAGAAATGATGTGAGGATAAGGTGAGACTGAGATTCATCGAAACATTAACTGACTATTAGCCTGAAAACTGACGTGCTAGCCTGCTATGTTTGCTAAAGTTGATGTTGGCGATAAAGTTCACACTTAAAGATGACACGATACCCAAATATAGACCTTTCAAAACGAAAAATGTGTGTCCAAGCTGGGGTTTACAGCTATAACATATCAGTTACACTTTGAGTGTTTGTGTTTTTTAGTCGGAAATAGGGGATAGTGGGGTAAGATGAGGCATTTTTCATATTCCAGATTACTACATCAAGGAAGTCATATTTTTGTCTCTAACTAGTGTATCTGCATATATTTCAAGATGTTGTGCATCCCTGCAAACCAACAGAATGAGGGTAAACGTAACTGTCGTGATAATATAGAAGGCAAAAAAATGTGGTCTCCTATGGTCAACTTACCTCGTGTATGGGGTAAGTTGACCATAGGAGCGGGGTAAGTTGAGCCGTATCCCTACCCCCCCCCTCCCCCACCCCACACAGCCCTCCCTCACCTTCTCTCTCCCTAAATAACAGTCACTTCTTCACATTTTTTTCTTTATTTTTATCTATTATGCTCTATTCAACTAATTCTTTTTATTATTATTGCTTATAACTGCTCAAAAGCTGTTTTATAAAAAGCTGTTATACATGAGAATGCTTTTAAGTGATTCAGAACATTCACAGCTGTATTTCTGAAAAGAAAAAGTGGCTCATCTTACCCCTGAACTACTATCATGACTAATTAAGTCCTCTAAACTAAAATGGTGGACTTTTATGGAGCCAGATCAGGCTCAAAAGTATTGAAAAACTAGTGTAAGTGAAAAAATGAAAAGTGAAGTGAAAAAATAAGATTTGAACCTGAAAAAAGTAAAATGGTACCTGAAAGTCTTGAATTTCGAAATTGAACTTTGAAAAATCCCAGAATGCATGATAAAAATCTGTTCAAATGTAACTTTGATTCTGTTTTTTAATACTTTTGAATAAATTACTTATTTCTTTTTTTCACTTCAATGTATATTTTGATCTTTTAGTACTTTTTTTTTTCGATTGAACTTTGTTTATTTATTTCAGATTCAGATCTTATTTTTACGGATTCAAAACTTTTTTTTCGGTTTCAGATTTTTTTTTTTTCAGATTCAGATCTTTTTTCAGATTCAACTTGAAAAGTTTCAGGTCGACTTTTGAGCCTGTTTTTCCGTGGGGGCGGGCCTCGACTGAGAGGGGCGCGGTCTGCCATGAGTGACAGGCCTCCCCCTCCTTCCCCATCCCATCACCCTGCGTTCAGGAAGTGGCATGAATACACATTAGCTTAGCCTACAATTAGGCTGTATTGGCTGAATAAGATCGTGTTGGTTCGTTCCACTTTAGGGTGCGATATAAACTGTGATTCATTAAAAAGCTCTATTGATAGTGAGTACTAAAAAAAATATATCTACTCATGTCATCCTGTCGATTTTTAGTAATCAGTGTTTCGGTGTCGAACTATTTCCCCTCTGCGGCGTAGTAATACTTGCACACGCGCAATCGAATATGCAGGGGGTGAAGCGATTTTTGTCACGTGGACCAATAGGAGCCGAGTCTCGTTGCCATAGTATCAGAAATACACAAACATGGCGACGACCGCATCTCGCAGCGAGACAAGCGAAGAGGAAGAAAAGAAAAGGAACAAAAGAAATCAGCCTTCAAAAGTGCATAAAAAGGAGCGAAACGATGTTATATGCATCTATCATCTGTCCAGAGTGAAGACGTTCTCGACTTTATAAGGACACGTCGGGAAACTTACAGAACTAGTATTAGAAAGTGGCTTTCTCTACAGGGTGAGCCTGTCACTCATGGCAGACCGCGCCCCTCTCAGTCGAGGCCCGCCCCCACGGAAAAACAGGCTCAAAAGTCAACCTGAAACTTTTCAAGTTGAATCTGAAAAAAGATCTGAATCTGAAAAAAAAAAATCTGAAACCGAAAAAAAAGTTTTGAATCCGTAAAAATAAGATCTGAATCTGAAATAAATAAATAAAATTCAATCGAAAAAAAAAAAGTACTCAAAGATCAAAATATACATTGAAGTGAAAAATAGAAATAAGTAATTTATTCAAAAGTATTAAAAAACAGAATCAAAGTTACATTTGAACAGATTTTTTTCATGCATTCTGGGATTTTTCAAAGTTCAATTTCGAAATTCAAGACTTTCAGGTACCATTTTACTTTTTTCAGGTTCAAATCTTATTTTTTCACTTCACTTTTTATTTTTTCACTTACACTATTTTTTCAATACTTTTGAGCCTGATCTGGCTCCATAGACTTTTATGTTAGGTTTTTTACCTCATGTTGTAGCTCACAGATACCGCAATTGATGTATAAAACAAATTGAAAATGATCCTTTTTGGTCTGAACACAATTCTAATAAAACTGATGACAGAATAAATTCACTTTCAAGAGGGAAAAATGTTTTTTTTTTTTTTTGTTTTTTTATTAAATAAATGTCTACCCCACTCTCCCCTGTAGAAAAGCCACACACTATCAAAACCCCAGAGAAAACCCTGCTGCTTTGACTCAGTTTCAGAGTCTGGAAAAAGGCAAAACTGCCTTATTTTAAAGTGCTTTACTATTTCACTTCATCCTTACAGGCCCAGCGCAATGCTTCTGTGGAAACCAGACCTCCTTTGGTGTAAATTTCAGTCAGAAGTGTGTTTCTAAGGTTTTGGACTCTCACATGAGTTCCAGAGAGGCATTGGGGATGGGGGACGTCTTGGCAACAGAGGCTGATCTTCTTGGGATGATAAAAGAGGTAAGAAAACCACATTTTCAGTGCCTATGCTGAGCATTATGCCCACTAAATAGAGCACTTATACAAGTCAATCAAAACTGAATAAATGCTTTTTACCCCAATAAGCCACGCTTTGTACAGCATAATATTGTGATGATTTGTCTTTGAATTACTTAAAATACTGCACCATTCTACTCTGAAGACATGATATAAACACCATTGCTTGTTTTGTGCCTTTTGTAGTTCCTCAAGTCTGAGGACTTTGAAGACACTGTTCACAGTTTTGACAAGGAATGCAAAAGCAAAGGCAAGCTGGTTTCAAAGCCTCAGGGAAGTGCTCTCAGACACTCAAAGACTCTCATCACCCAGGTAAAGGATCAGTGACTCCAAACTGGTTGTTTCTTATCTAGGTGTCAAAAAGTGAAAGAAGGCCAAAGGGTGGAAAGTGAATGAAATATTTGCCTTTACATGGCAGATTATTGCGATTTAGTTTTTGCTGATTAACAAAAAAGAAAAGACAGCACAGCCAAGATAGTCAAACTTGCTTGTTTTTACATATATTTTATTTAGTTAGGCCATTTTTTTAAATTATTTTTAAATTCTGACTGATATCAAGTTAACACTTGCTGATGTTTTAACAATTTTTACTGTTTCATTAAGGAATAAAATCATAAAACAGCTAAATAAGCGTCAAGTCCCAACCCCACTTCTTCCTTTCTGAATCTTTCCAGAAGGACCTCCTAAGTTCTTTTGATGATGGAGACCACAAGGTTTTCTTTGAACTCTGGGCCGACAATATTCCTGCTGAAGTAAAAGACGCAGATGCTGAGGCGCAGAGTCTGGAATTCTACCTTCACATCCACTTCACCACCTACCCACTGAGGAAGCACCCGAGCAGACGTGTATGTGGAGATTCAATTTGTTCGTTAGGCTGTGTTGTCACTTTGTTTTTCTTAACAGATTTTAACTGTTTTTTTTTCCTCGCAGTCAACAAAACTGAAGAGTCTCTGGGACTCTGTTGTAGCGAATGTCATTATTATGTGCTGTTACTCACTATGTCCACTAAGCTGTGCCACAAGCTTTCTGCCACTGGGCCGTCTAGGTTGATAATGTTGCAGTACAGGAACGATCATGTTCTGGCTTCTGAGATACATAAGAATCTGTTTCTATGGATGTTAAATAATTTCTATAGGAAATTTTTTAACTGAAAACTGTTAGGAACTTGGATTAAATCAGAGTCTCAATTTGTCTTTAGGACCAAGCTGAGTTTGAGGAGAGGATTTCCTTCTTCAAACAGTACCTGGAGACTCGGGGGGCAGCACTGAGCCAGACCACAAAGTTTCTGCCTTACTACGCCTTGCCTTTTGTTCCTAACCCAACCATCCATCCCTCCTTCAAAGACCTTTTCCAAGTGCTTTTCCACTTACTTATGTGTTACCACCTAGTTATTACATGCTCAGCATTGTTTCCAAACACCATCTTTGTAGTAAAAATAACCAAATTTCTCCAACCTCCATGATGTATATTCAGGAATCCTGGATACCGCAGTTGAAGGATAAGCTGGAGCAGTTTCTGTCAGTGACACTAAGGCCATCCAACACCCCAAGGTTGCTGAGTTTATACGTATCCTTCATTGTGGTTTACTTTTAGGACTGTACAACAAAAACTTGAATTCACAAATGTATGGTTCTCAGTGACACCAAATGAGCAGCAAATACTAAAGTGAGTAGCCACAAAAGTCATTCACAGTCAGATATGTGCCCATATTTGGTTATTTCCAACAACCATGTGCTGTGTGATTTACTCTTATACCTGGCTATGGCTTGATATGAAAAGACCTAATGTAGCAACAAAAGACAAGATTTGTGTCTTTTACTTGAAACCCTTGTGAAATTTGACCCACTCCTGCCATAGACCAATGTATTAAAAAAAAATCACTTTTCCATGTACTGATCAGAACAAATGTGTCATATCCGTAAGTACAGTATGTGAAACTTGAAGTCAGGAGTTAACATGTTCTTCAATTTGCAAACGCAAGTATGGCTGACCTAAGAAATTGTGCTTTTGGTTTTGTTTCCACTCTTAACATGAAACTTAAGAAGTCAGTTCTCTGTACCTGTCCACCTGTTACCTCCCTACCTCAATGATTGACAGCCGAGTTTTCAAAGTCATGCTTACTTACTACTCTTCATCCCCGACATACGGCTTTATTTTTCCAAGCTAGGGCTGTAAAAACAGCTATATCCCGCCCTTCAGAATACACTCATACTGATCCTATATCAACATCAGAATCTTTTCATACAGTGAATCCAATCCTAAAAAAATTGTTGCACTTAGTGATATACTCTCCTTAAACAGGATGTAAAACATAATGTGTTTGTGTATGTCCACAGCGAAACAATGCCTCTTTGTGTGTTTAGCTTTGGTCAATGAAATAATTACAGGTGAAATGATTGTCCGTGTGTTCAGGTCATTGTTAGCATTTAATACCTTAACAGACATCACACAGAAGGAGGGAGGAAGGAGTACTAAAGGTAAATACCCTTTCATTGAGTCATAACTACAGATGATAACTGCAGATGGCCGATACAACATTTAGTGGGAATCAGCCCCAGCTACTCAGGGACTTTTTTTGTCATAAATTCTGGAAAGACACAACCATGTGGAACATATCCATTAAATCCAAATATCACATGGAGTATGAACATTGTGTTCACACGCTAAATCATTACAATCAGATTGTATACAAAAAGAACTTGAGTAAGGTTAATCATTATTTAAGACACCCTTAAAGATGTAACTAACAAGGAGTGATGTCCAGATTTGATGTGATTTTTTTAGTCATACACATGTGAGAATGTGCCTCATGCTGTCTTTGTTTGTGTGTCTTCTTTGTTATATTATAGAAGCCATACAACAGTTACAGCTACAGCTGGTCGAATCAGACCAGCGCATCGCCAGTTATCTGCGGAAGTATAACAAGATGAAGGCCGACTATCGCAACCTGATCGGAATCACTGCTGATCTGGTAGACTCATTGGAAGCCACTGTCAGCGGGAAAATGGCAAGTCAGCTTGATTGGGGGGCAAACAAACACACTCACACTCACAAACACACACATATGCTACAATCACAGACTACAAAGACGGGCTTATGCTAGACGCAGCAAAAGAGAAACATGCGCAACACAAATGAGCAGGTGTGTGGTAACATTAGTGAGTAACTAAGTTAATAGTTGTGTGTAAATATTGAAAATAACAGCCTACTTTCTTTCTGCACACATTGTAGTTTTAATATAGATGACTGTGCATATGTTTAACATGCACATAGATGCCCTTTGATATAAGATGACATGGCTATTAATCAGGGACACAAATACACACCCTCTCCCCATGCACCGTATTTTAAAGCTCAAGGGGCCTGCTGTGTTTTTTTGCAGATCTCCCCTGAGTACCTGCAGAATGTGTGTGTCCGCCTGTTCAGCAGCCAGATGAGGCAGAACGTGGTGCAGAGCACTGACTTCACGCGGCCTGGCACTGTGAGTGAGAGCACACACATTACTCTCCTTTTTTTCCCCTGTACTCCTCTCAGGTATATGGACGTCACAACTCAAGATGCTACTCCAAGATGACAATACAATAGCCTACGGCAAGACAAGCTTAGCAAATGTAACACAGTGGTTGATAAGGCGCCACTGTCTTTGACTCACATGTTTGCAAAGGAAATGCTCTCAATGCCTTACGTCAAAAGTTTTTGACTGTACATCATGCAAAGTCAACTTAGTGTTTGGAAAGGATTCTGAACTAGGAGGGTCTATTTACTGTTTAATTTGCCTTAATTCTGCCCATCCCTTACACTGAGCAGTGACTTTAAACTATGCACCCACCCTTCAGTTTGTATCCTGGAAAGAAGTTAACTGGATCCTGGTCCTGTAGTTATAAGCGGAGAGATTAATTAGATGCAAAATACACATGCCACAATTCAGATTTCAAGGCAGGAACAGTTTCAGTCGCCTGTCAAGATCACATAAGAAAGCAAATGTCAATCAACCACCTTCTCATCATTTAAACAAGATATAGAGTCAGACTGGCCTCCTGAAATTATTGCAGATCAAAGGATCTGGTAAAGATATCCTTGAATCAAACATCAGACAATATATCTTAAATATCTAGTTGTTATTACACATAAAGCAAAACTGTAGACTAGAGGGTCTTATAAAGTTCAGAACACTTAAACACCATGAATCATGCTTGCTGTCAGTGGCTTCCATCGTGCTGTTAAACTCTGCTTCTTGTAATCTGATTTCTTCCATTTTGTACTGAAAAACTTCTCTCTGTGTGTCTGTGTGTTTGTGTGTGTGATGCTCTTTTCTACAAAGGGATATTACTCTATGAGTCCCTATGATGATGGCTATGTAAGTTTCATTCGTTTTCATCTTTACTTCCTGTCATCGCTCAGGTCCCCACTCCTCATCTTGCTTGTGCCTTGCCACCACGACTTCTCCTGCCCCTCTTCACCCTTTCCTTGTCATGATGTCTGCCTCCCCCCTCCCTAACTACCAATATACAATCCTCAACCTCCCTTTGTTCTCTTCCTTTACTCCCTTTATATTCTTGTGGTTTCTATTGGATTGTCATAGTTTAAAAAGGAATTTTGGCCTCGTTTGTTGTATGAATGACCTCTTTTGTGAGGCCACTTGTTAAACCAAACAAGAGCGTCTCTTTCAGGGCGTACCTCATCATTAAATTTGTAAGTTCTCAAAGGCCACGGCCATTGTTCCCTCCTCTCAGCCCTCCTTATTGACTGTCAGTCTTCTTTTTTTGAGGTAAACTCTGCCCGTTTCAGTTTTCTCCTCTCACCGTTTGTTTAACGCTCCAGTTTTGGAAGGAATTTAAACAGACAATGCAATGGCACAAGAATGGCCAACACAAGGCGCACACACTCTCACGCTCAGGTTGTTAAATGGGGAAGGTCAAATTACATTTGTCCAAAAAAGAGGTAGCCAGAGTACTTTGAGTAAGTGACGGTCCTGAATTATACAAAAGCAGACACTTAAGTTAGAAATATGATTTAAGTGAGGCCCTTTAACTGTCGTATGGGCGAGAAGTGCAAATGAGAAAACGTGAAAACAGTCTGGAGCAGAATCAAACAGACTGGGATTCATCTTCACCCGTGGTAACTTTGTGCAAATTCTTACCACAGCTGTAACAGAGAGCAAACAGACTGTATTTGTTTTCACATAAACAAGCAACTATTGTGCCTACCACTACATAGATCCAAAGTCAACCCTACTAAAGTGATTTTTTTTTGCTGCTCCACTCTGAGTAAGCTTGCTGCAGGGGGAAAACCTATATGAAAGAGCTGTCTACTTAGACAAAAACCTGCACAATAGACGTCCCTGTCTTGTCCCTACGGCCATAAAAGACTAAACGGTGAGAGGACACAATAAAAAGGTGAGGAGTAAAGACATAGCTTATGTAAACTCTGCATTGTCAGTGAATTCAGGTCAAACCTTTGTTGAGGTGACCGACCAAAATCTGCCAGATAACTCCTTCTGTTTGACCCCACTCTTTGTACATCAATGGGTGAGGGGCTTTCCTGTTACTAGAGGGAAGGAGTCCCTTCCAGGGTCCAGGCACTTCAGTGTCAAATGTCTCAGGGAAACATGTCTCTTTGCCCTTCAGCATTCTTTGGGCTAACTGAAATGTTTAGACTGAGAGGAATTTGGGAATGAATCCAGGTATCAGTGTTCTCCTTTACTTCCGTTTTACCTACTACTCCTCAAAGCAAAAATGCACCCAGACCACCTGATAGCTCAGACGACACGGATCACTCCCCTGACCTTACACTGCTCCTGCTGCAGGCCTAACTTCCCGAGCTTTAGATTGGATTTCAGGCCTCAAAAGCCCTTCTCAGTAGCAGAAAACCCCCCACAAATAATTAGATCTCTCGTCCTCTGTCTACACATCCACACCAACAAGACAATTATTGATCATTTTATGCAAAAGCTTGGGCTCCTTCGTCTCTATCGAACAAAATGAAGAACATCCACACAGAGAGTTACACATGAAGGGATGGCTGTTCCATACTAACCTCTCCTCCCTGGTACTGGTATTTTACTGACTGCATGGGCAATGTTGCCAAACAATGCTGTAAAGTATGACTGGGGACTCAGCATGTACCAACATGCATGATGTACGCATGCCTAAAAAAACCACTAATAACTTTTTTGAGACTGTAGCTGACTTGTTGAGGTGGGGGATTAGTCTGGGCAAGTAGAGGGATCGGATTGTAAAGATAATGAAAGAATAAAGAGCTGCATGTTATCTCAGCGGCACGCTGCGGGGTTGTCACTTTGACACCAAACCAACAGATTCTAAGATACACTCTATTCCTCTGCCCTTCTCTTCCAGGCCTCCTCGATGCTGAGAGCATCTATTGCACCAACGTAAGTCTTCAAATCAAAGTCATTCTTGCTAATCTGTACAGTTTGATAAGATGGCTGACATGCTTTTTTCATCTCCAGGAGATCCAAGGAGGTTCCTATGCTGCCTTCACTGGACTATGAAAAACTGAAGAAAGACCTTTGTGAAGGTCCAGACAGGCTCAGGTCTCTTCTACTGCAGGCACTGCGCTGGGTAAGTTTTGATAGTCATTTTATTTCACGTCATGTCAGCTTTGCATGTTCGCTTTTTGCCTTGACTGGAGTGTCATTTTTTCATGTTTATCAGAGACTGACTCGCTCGCTCCCTGGTGAACAAAGGGACACGGTGCTGCAGGCCTATATCAGTAATGATCTTTTGGAGCGCTACAGTACAAAACAGGTGAGACCAGCACATCATGTTCTTAATTTAACTCCATTGTGGTGTAATTTAACACTATCCATCAGTCACAGATAGCACGGTTATCTCAAATCAACTCTTTATTTGAGCTAGCATGACTTGACCTTTTCCCCCCAACAGATATCTAAAGAAATCGTCAATGCTACATCCAAAAATAGCTTCTTTTTTGTTTTTTGCCTCACTGCCAATTGACTTCTCGGTTGTTCATTTCCAGAAGGCTTGAGCTGGCATATCGAGCGTACACAGCTTTTCATTCTCTTACCTTCCATTAACTTAGTGACGTAGGATTTCTGAGGTCAACTCTTTTTTTCTGTGATGTTTTTTTTTTTTTATAACACCTTTCTTTCTTTCCTGTCCTTCCCCTGTCTTTTATTGATGTCAAAAAGACCTTTCTGTTATAGCTTCTTAAGAATGATTAGCAGTTGTTCAAAGGTTACACTGAGATAATCAATCATGAAATTACTTTTATATCAGTTTCCCTTAGGTGTTGTCATGCCATCATCACGCCTTGAGAAGAGCGGTATGGTTATTTATCCGGGTAATATGAAGCGAGAGTTGCTTTAACTGCCTCTAGAATGACTTTCCTGATAATATTATCCAGACGATAAATCCTTTCTTACTCCGGATTTCCCACGTTAACATCAAAGTGCACCGTTTTAAATTTGTTTTTAATATAATGCCAGTGTAATCTGATTTGTCACATGTTCCCAGCCATAGATTGACTATTATTTGCTTGAGCAATTTCCTTTTTTTGTTTAACAAAAGCTAAGACCATGAAGTGCAGATTATATTCCACATTGCCCCCTCAGTGAAAAGGCTTTCAGAGGCCTTAGCAGGCACATGTTTTTCTAACATCCCTATTGTTGTTTTTTTCTTGTCACATTGCATGTCACTTGCCTCTGGCCATAGGGCACCATGTTAAAGACAACACCTTTACAGAAGCGGTATATGATCCTGACCTCACACCAGAGCTCTTTGTCTTCACACTTAGCATGGCGCTTTGAGCCACATTTCTATAAAATCTCTGTGAGGAGCCACTATAACAGTGGCAGCGTGTCAATTTCATTATCAGATCACAACATGAAAGTTCTGTGTTAAATGTGGCTAGAAGCACATGACTGTGGGCAACAGGAGGTCATTTAAGGAAAGGAAGAGACCCTGAAAAATACAAAACTTTTCAGAGAATATATCATTTAATTTACATTGAACTGCTCATTTGGGAGCTTTTTCCATACCTTTTATTGAGAGATAGGGCGAGGGGTTCGAGTTGGAAACAGAGAGAGCAGAGCCTGGGCCTTCATACACGCGGCGAGTGATTTTAGCTAATCCAGCATCACAGATTTATCTTTTAAAACAAACTTTTACTTTCTGCTTTACAGAACAGTGTACTGCACTTATTGAGGTCCGAGAGCGAGGTCGTCCGCCAGTACATGGCTCGTCTCATCAATGCATTTTCTTCCCTTGCAGAGGGTAAGTGCTTAACTGTCATAAAGAGGTTCGGCTCATCATTTCCTTGTTGTTTTATAGGATGCATTAGGAGACATGGTTTCATACCGGGACTCAGCGGTTTTCATGATTCCGATTTCACCGCTAACGATCATCTACATGACTGTGACAGTAACCGTGGAAGACAGTTTGTAAAGAAAAGGGAACTTCTACTATGTTGTGTGGTTATTTTGTGAGATTGTTGACTTTCAAATAAAAGGGACAATTTTAAAGTGTAGTTCAACTGAGATTTTAAAATGCTTTTCAATCAAAGTGGGACAAGGGGAATACATTCAGTCATCATCATTGTAGCTGTACTGCTCTAAATTAAGCGTATTTTTTCTTCTTGCTGTTTGATATTAATGCCTTTGTTTATGTCTATGTTAACAGGACGTGTTTACCTCTCCCAAATCCCCATTCTTCTCAAACTTCTGACAGAAGCTCTTCGGACCGAGGAAAAAGAATCTCTGGCTAGAGAGAATGTTCTTGTGGCCCTACAGAAACTTAGCCTCAGGTACACTTGACTGTAAGCTTTGCTTGTCTGTGAAGGGTAGCCAGTCACCAGCTGATCACAAATAAATGAAAGATAAAGCCACGTTAACATGAACAATGGCCTGACTAGTTTACCCAAAGAAACAGATTATTAAATGATGTGTAAAAAGAATCCATCCAAAAATCTCCAATCTTTTTCATTTGGAGCAGCTACTTAAAAGATTTGCTCATAGAGGAATGTGATTAGATGTCATGAATCATGTACTTTCAGAACTCTTTTATAAATAAATTATATAATAAAAATAATAATCTTTTATATAATAAATAAATAAGAAAAGATTCCAGTCCTGTTGTCACTACATTTCCTGTCGAAGGTGGTGTAAATCTTTCATCTAAAATCATATTTCCTCAGGAGGAGCCAGCAGACTGCCATAATAGCTGATGATCTGATCAGCTGGCTTGTGGATGAGCTGCAGGACTCAGACTGCCTGAGTGACAACACCCTGGAGTACGCTGCAGCTCTGCTTATGAACCTTTGCCTGCGAACAAAGGGTAAAGGCAACGGTTGAATGGATACGGAACAGAGACTCAGATGCAGAGTATTTTAGTTGTAGACAGAAGCATTGAAGATAATCTCTCTGAACGTTTCAGCTTTGGGTATAAGATGAACATATTTTGGCAATTTAGCAAAGAATTAAGTTGGAAAGTTCTCTTATGCATTTTGATTTACTGTTTTGCATTTCAATGTGGGCGAAACTCATTAAAGATGTCCTCAGATTCACCCCAATCTTTATCTAACTGCTTGTGAAGTTACATGGAAAGGATTTTTCTGAGTGCTTCCGAGAAAAGTAAGCAGAAGAATCTTCATTTATTTAAGTACTAGAAGTCAGAATATATAAACCATATTTGTCTGAAAGTTGCAGAGAGTTTTGTTGTGACTCTGGCGCCTGGATAATTATATAAAGAGCAAAATAATGTCTGTTATACTTTTATATATCTGCACTTTCCTTTTTACTAAGTGAAATGTCCTTTTACATTTTATCTCGAATGGATCTTTTTTCATGTCACCCTCACTTAACTGCCGCACACCATGAACAAAAACAGTGCTTTGATTCTTTTTTTCCTATCTCCCCCAGGGCCTGGTTTTTCCAGGCTGCTGCAGTAAAATAATGCAGCATGTTTGATTGATAATAGGTCTCATTCTCCTGCACAATAAAAAAGATTTAAAAAATGAGATAATAAAAGAAACAAAGACCAGAGTAAAAACAGTCACTGCTTAATAAAACAAAAATATCGAGCAGAGAAAAATTCCGGGTTGTAGGAAGACAAACATGTTGTTCTAAAACTGTCTGTTGTTGTGTGCCTACCAGTGTGTTTACTGGCTGTCTGTCTTTCTGCAGGAAAAAGGAAGTGTGCAGAGAACGCCAAGCATGTGCTTAAGGTTCTGACTGACCTCCTCGGACATGAGAACCATGAGGTGATTTACTCATCCATCACCACTTGCACACAGACATAACATACATAATGCATGTAACCCCTGTGAAGAACACAGTCAGTGAGGTTGTAAATCATGGAAACGGTGTACACATAACATATTAGAGCATCGTAAAGGTTCATACTTTCACTTTCTAAGAGGAATGGTGAGAAACAAAAGGAGGAAACTCACTGCACTGACACCAAAAACTTAAACTGAGGCTAAAAATGAGGATCAGTAATTCAATCTCTGCTACCCAAAGATCTGTTTTAGTGAATCGTGAGTACTTCTCCAACCATTCCAGGCACATCTACTGTAGGCTTGCTGTAAAAATTATGATGCCCTCCAGCATGTTGGCAGCCTTGATAGAAATAAGCTACGTCTTCAGGCAAGTCTATAAAACATTAACAGCAACAGCTTCACTCAAATTTATAAAAGGTTGTCGAGCAACTTTGGTGAGCAGCTAACTCTTGTTTTGAGAACGTTGTCGTCTCATCACTTTTTTATAGTTTTCACAAATAAACGAACTGCTTGTCTTAGAAATACCTGCCTCAAGTGCATTCCTCTCTCATTCCATCATTTTTTTTCCCACAGCTGCACGCTCATGCAAATTCAGTGCCGAGATCTTAAAAATATGGCGTCTGTGTGTGTCTGACTGCGTCACTTTGCTTCTCTCAGATTCGTCCGTATGTGAATGGAGCCCTGTACAGTATCCTGTGTATTCCCTCTGTCCGACAGGAAGCCAAAGAGATGGTGAGATAGCAGAAATGTCCTCACCTGCTAAGAGGAAACAGACACTGTTTGTGTTGTCGCTGTGCATTTGTCTCCCTGTGTCACCACACGTGCAGCGTTAGAGGGGAAACGGCAGGTGTTCACTGTCATATGACACAGTCACTGTACGCAGTGCTTCATACAAACATGCAATTGCTCTTAATGTTGTGAAATGTGAAGCCATAGGGGATTACGGATGGGGCTTGATGTCACTCCTCAAACTAATAACATGTTTTGATCGGGGCTTCATCATCACTATTTGATGTTGACACAAATAAGCCGCATGACATGTGTTTTTTTTTCCGTGTTTGTAGAGTGTAGAGGAGATCCTCTGCTGCTACAGCAAGGAGGAGAATCCTGACCTCAACAGACAGATAGAGTTCATCATTAAACAGCTGAACTCAGGTCAGTTAAGTCGAAGTCATACTCACAAAGGTTGTGTTTACTCTCTGAATTTTGTATGCATACAGGATTTACTGAGTGTGTGTATCCATAGCTTCAGACTGCTGTTATTGCAAACCTTTAAAAACTAAACGTTTAAAGTTTAAAGGAAATTAAATTTTTAATCACTGCTAAATATTTTGAGATATTTTAAGAATATTTAATCATGTCTATTGAACTTCATATACCAAAATGAAGTAGTAAGTGACACCTATTTCTTCTGTTGTTTTTGTAAATTTACCGTCTTGTTTCATTCTCCTGCTGGGGCTGTGTTCCTCAAAGCTGAAGAAGAGGGGCCAGAGTCTGATGATGAAGAGGAAGAGGATGACAATGATGTGAGTATTTGCTTGACTCCTTGTCTTCCACCATCTTTATATGCAACCATCTAGATCATATTTTAATACAACTACATAGAAACATGACCTGAAGGAAAGTCAAAAACCAAAAATGAAGAACGGAGGTGAAATGAGGTTGAAAGAAGGGGGGTCAGAAATAAACACCTCCACCACCTTTTTGACGCCCACCGAAACTTGGAGATGGCAATCTCAGTGTGACATAGATATTGGGTGTCTCCCACTGTGTGTCCGTGCATGTGTGTGTAAAGGGGTGATGGGTTTGGTGGATTGGATTCTGTGGGAAAGTGGGTTATCAAGATAAGGTTAAGTAAGATTGGCTGGAGGTGTGAGTGTGTGTGTGTGTGTGTGTGTGTGTGTGTGTGTGTGTGTGTGTGTGTGTGTGTGTGTGTGTGTGTGTGTGTGTGTGTGTGTGAGTGTGTGTGTGTGAATGCGTGTGTGTGGATGTCCCCTTATTCATCCTGTGGTCAGATAAGAATTCCTGAGCATGAATGCCCTTATAATATTACCTCTGATCTGAGATGAGATGTTTATGTAGTTGCTATTCAAATACCATGGCTACAGGGGCGAACTGATGTACTGCACGTCGACTACACTGGTCTCATGTTGGTGCTGCGTGACTTTTGTTTTGGCGTCACCACTATTTGCAACAGAAACAAATGATAAGGTCACCTTGCCAGCATTCCCGTAAAGCTACTGCCAATCCTGTTGCCATCTGTGCATCAAACGTGACATTTGGAAAAATTTGGAACAAACTTCCCTTTCTTCTAATTTACATTATTTCCCCAAACTGTCATCTCCCTGGATACTGGTTTGCATCTTTTTTTTTCTGTCATCTGATTTACTGCAATTGTCTCATCACAGGAGGATTTAATGGAGGCAGACCTGGACGTAGAGGAGGTTCTTCAACCCCAGCCCAGGGAACTTTGTGGGGAAAGCCTGCTCACAACAGAATACCTGGGCGTAAGGGAAAAAAAACACACATATACTCTGTTCTCTCCACCACGTGCACAACACAGTAAACACCCAAAGGAAATTATGCCAGCAACAAGAGGAACCAATTATGTTTTATGCCCAGCTTGCATGCCATGTTTATATAAAACAAGTTCAGTAATAGCGTAGCACTTGAAGAAGCTGTTTGGATGAGTGTCTAAAACGTTGATATCCGCAGACAGACAAAAGCGGAGGAGGCAAAATGTTCCAAATTAATATAGACAATCAGAAAAAAACTGTATTGTCTTATGTCAATGTGTTTGTGTGGTTGTGCAGATTATGACCAACATGGCGAAAGGAAAGAGGAAGACTACCCCTCAGCAACAGTCAAGCGTTGATGAACCCCTGCAGCGGCCGGTCACCCCAAGTTCTCATCGTAATGCCACTACAGTGTAAGTCGACTTGATTCTTGCTCGGGTGCTGTAGCTGCTCACTATCTATAGAAGAGAACCATCAGGGGACACTACATTTAAATACATACTTTTTTTAGGTCTGGCCTCTCTCTTGAGACGGATCAGTTTACAACAGCAGAGGTGGCTCATAGTAGGTTTTTGACAATGTCCTGTCCCTTCAAAAACTAGAGCAGTAGGTCAGAGAAAGAAAAGGTTTGGAAAGTCGTTAATCAAATCACGGCCGATTTGTTCGTGTGAATGAGTCAGCAACATACTGGAATTGAATCCATGTAGTACTGAATGGCAGATCACTGTCAATGCAAACTGTAAGCTACAGAGTATTATTTTAGAGTAATGGATATCACAGCCACAAGGGATCAGTGTGCCTAACATGCCATGTCCCCAGAGTTAAAGAGCATCAGATCACAGCTAGTAATTGATACACTGGTTTTGTAATGTGAAACAAATTTATGTCTATATTGTACGACATGTTAGGATATAAAACTAAGTTAACTTTGTGCCACCATGAAAACAAAGAGATTCTGATCCAGTTTGAAGGTGGGGGGGTGGAATGATTTTCTTAACCAATGCGAATTTTCCATTTTGACGTTCGTGCTAGGCCTGAGCGGTATTGTTTGTTTCATGTGCAGGGATTATCACTCCAGCAGTCAGGGGGGTGAGGGAGGAAGCCTCCCACCCTCCCGACACAACTCAAGACCTCCCACACGCTCTGGCAGTCGCCCCAGCACGGCGGACTCCCTGCGACACAGCATCGGTGGGTCACTATTCCTAAACACGAAATCAGAATTCAGAAAGTATACGACGCACCCCGACAATTTAACAAAGCTGCGGCTGTTGATCAGATGTTTGTGAGTCAGATCACTCACACTTGAGAGCCTTTGAGTGCACTGGGCTGCATATTTGTGGGACACTTTCATTTCCCTTCCACCTGCTGGTCGTTATTCAGTTTATATAGGACGTTTTTGATGCGATGCCCAATGTTTACAAGTCAAAGAAACTCCTGATGCTCCCTCAGAGAGTATCAGAATAAAAACTTGATATTAACTTACAAGGCCTTTTGTAAATTCTACAGTACATTATTTGTGGTCACGTTGAACTCATATAGTTTAATTTTCAATAGTTTTCACTGAAAAGCCAGATATTTTGGTTGAATTTTCAGAGAGCTGTACTGAACGTCCTCCTCTTTGTTCCACTCAAACACACACACACACACACAGACTCTGAATGTGGCCGGTTGTCCCAGGAGTCGGACTTGGACGTGTCTTATGAAGGGCGAGCCAGAAAAGAACGCTCCCAGGAGAAACACAATGGACACTCATCCAGGTAAACTAGCACACATATACTAACCGCTTGCACACACACACACACACACACACACACACACACACACACACACACACACACACACACACCAGAGGAATAATCTTTGTGCTTTCATTAATACCGCTGAAATTTGAAAACATGGTGAGAGATTTGCAATGATAATCTAAGTTGTTTATCTTGGTTGGGCTGCAACTCACCATTATTTTCACTGGTGATGAGTTTGATTATTTTCTCAATTAATTGAATGTTTTGTCCTTTAGATTTCAGAAATGACTAAAGGGTTATGGCCAGTTTTTCTCAAAGCCCAAGATGGCGTCTTCAGCCTAAAGATAGAAACAGTGTGAAGGAGTAAAGAAATGATTTACTTCCAAGAAAAATAAAAGAAAATAAAAACTGAACTCAATGGAAGTACTCAAACAGCAGCAAAATGCTTAAATTTGCATGGCAAATGGAGTGACTGCAGTAATAGCAAGTCAAAAAGGGCTCCATCACTTCTGAGGAAGAGGAAACTTGATAGCTGAAAGTTATCATACACTGGTCGTTTACTCAGAATTTTCATTTCAATGTGAGCGAGTAAAGCCGAAAACATACAGGATCCGTATCGAGCTCGTTCCATGGAGCAGCATTGGGTATCACATACAGGATGCGTATTTGGAGCGTAGCAGCAGCGTAGTGCAGCCTCAGTCAGCTGGGCTCAGTATAGAGGAAACAACATGCTCACAACAGGTTGTTTTGCCTTTCTGTGGTCTATTTCCTGCTAATTTGGATATGATTCAGTGACCGTTGGGCCTCTACTAAATATAAAAAAGCAACATGATTTTACAGTTTTGGTTTTTGCAGGTTTACTCGTTTTTAATCAAGTAAACTATGTTCCTTTATGCTATGTTGTTACCTTTAGACAGAGTTAGCAGTTAAAAGTCCTGTTGGGGTCCACATGGATCAGGGATTGACCATCGGATTGTTCTGTGTTACTCATAAATAACTATAACCAGAAGTATTTCTCATCTACACAAACTGAGTCTTCGTGCTGCTCTCGATACAATGCTGCGACGGTGCTGATACGCGTCCTGTACGCTTTGCTGTATTGATTAGAATAACAACCTGTTTGCTGTGTGATACGCGACGCTGCTGCCACACTCCAAATACGCATCCTGTATGTTTTAGCCTTAAGAGAACAAGCCAATAAATTATTAAAAGGTCAAAGTCTGCATAAAACAAATTTCAAGCACTCCTCACACAGCTGTATATTTGCCCCTTCTGCTGCCCGACAATGTGACTTCACAATAAGCACAAGATGAAGTCTGACAACAACAAAACACGACAAAAGTGCAGTGATGCAACAAGAGAATCAGCCAAATCGCACAAAAGGTTCTGAACCGGGGTAAGGTGATGGTGACAATGAAAATGAAAAGAGCGAGTCAGCTGAGGTAAAACCCTGAGATGCATGTCCCTGTATCTGTTTGTCTGCGGAGAGAGTTGGCAGAGGTATTTTCGGCACACCAACGGGTGACTCAGCACAGCCAAGCTGGTCTGTGAGACTGTGACATGGGTTTAAACGAGCAGCACCCACAAAGAGACCCATTCAATCCAAGCTCCCCTGCTTCTCCTCTCCTTTAAATCCCAGAGGAACTTGACTCCAGAATCCCGCCAAGAGTAATGAGTCCCAGGAAACTGCTTCAGTTTTCCCTCCTGCCTCCCCCCAAGGAACGTAAAACACCTTCAAAATACAGACTTCAGCATCTTGAGCCAGTTTGGAGACTTTTACAGTGAAATGGAGATTATGAGCCCAGACTCGAAGGTGAAAAGAATCTTAACAACACAGAAACCCCAAATCAAGAGATTTCCATTTCTGCCTTTGCTCTCGGGTTAATTGGCGAGCTTGTATCGCTTTGTAACATTCGTTTAAACCTGATGATATCAGGGATGCTGGAGCCAAAGCGACTCCTGTGAGTAGAAACAAGAATGAGTCGACAGAAATCAATCCATCTATTATGGTATAGAATTGCTTCACAGGATGTTCACAGGATGTGGGTCATTTGGCTCCTGGCTGATAAGGACATTAGCAGAGTTCGGCCCTTCGCTGTTTCTGACCGGAGGCAGAGGAGTTATTTATTCATTACGATCCTGTTTCTCAGACTCCCAGGGCCAGGTCACAGACGATCTGTTGTGTTGTTTTTATCTTTTGCGGCACAACACAAGCTTTCTCTACAATGTACCATTTAAACCGATCTAATCTCCAATGATGGAGGCAGCTTGTCCTCGTACATATTTATCATGTTACACTGATGTACATAATACAGTTATCACAGCAGACTTTGAAAGAGCTGTACCTCTTTAGCTGATCTGTGATAACTCAGAGTAGCTTGATCCAAATGTGAAATCACGCGATAATAGCAAGTAGCAACAGACGGTGAAACAGAGCCTATCAGTTTAAATGTTTATTTTCATTGGACGTGTTTAGAGTAAGCCACTACATGCATGTGAAGTCAGAACTTGGAGTCTGTATTGATAATCTTTCTGGTAAATGTAAACCTGAAATCTCGAGAATATGGATAAAATATTCAGTCTCGCTGTGACCAGAAATGGAAGCGATCGAATTAAAACGAGTGACACACGTGCTATCAAGTGTCAAGAACAAGAGGCTTGTACTCGGCTGATGTCTTTCATGTGCAGCCCTGATTTTGTGCAATAAAAGCCTGAAATCAGATCTGTTCATGGCTGTAGTGTCTGATCTGATAAAAGGATGACCTCTCTGAACTGTCCCTCTTACCGTAAGCAGGTGAGTCATAAAAGGAATCAATAACTTGTTATTGTCGTGTTTCAAAAGGCTGACATGAACGTACTATATGTTTCCTCTGCAGAGAAACTCATCATGTTTTCCGTCTTCTTTTTCCTCTCTCAGTGCGGATTACAGCCATGCGTTCACAAGCCAGCCCAAGATCCCCCGCACACCAGACACAGCAGCCAGCCAGAACAGTACGAACCGGGCGCGAGGTCTGACTCTGGCACCCCAGTTCTCCCAGTCAGAGCCACAACAGAGCAGCCGACCGAACTCTGCCAACTCCACAGAAGGAGGAGAACGACGACAAAGTGGAAGTAAGAATAAAGCCTCAAACCAGTGTGGCGAATATCAACTCTGTCTGGTTTCTCTGTCTGTTCTTTGTGTCGCTTTGGAAGATAAGCAGCAGGGATTTGGCGGACTAGTTCCTTTCATAAATCAAATTGAGCTTGGAACCACGATTTTATTTTTTTTACACATAATATTTCCAGAACACAGTGGTACTAGTTAATTAGGAGTCTATTTCTACTAGTTTCTCTCTTCCCTCGTCAGAATAGGACATGAACCTGCACCATGAGCTCACTCTAATTAAGCTATCAGGTTTTGATGTTCACCTTTCCCTCCCTGTTTCTCACCAATTCAGCATCTTCCAAGAAATTATTATTTTCCTGCTCCTTACAAACAGGTTTTTCCAGAACTAGTTCTCCTGAAAACAAAAGCCGACTCACAATAACCCAGAGCATGACAAAGGTGGAATTTGTTGTAAGATGACTAGTCATGCTCCCGTTTCCCTCAAGCTCACGTCTTGAGTTACTCTTACTCGTAACTAAACCTGCCATTTTCTTGTTTTGAAGCTGTTACATAACAGCGTTTATATTTTAGATTTTGAAGTTAGTGAATTTTGGTGCAGGTTATTCTTGCTTTATATCATAGACTGTATATAAGATGGACAGCCTGGTTCTGCCTTCCGCCTGTATACGGAGTTGAAGCCAAAAAGCTCTCGGTAATTCCGGGTTTTTCTCCACTTCCATGAAACCAGAGCTGTACAGTAGCGTTGTACGCAGACGTTTTTGGCTGGGCGGGAGACTCGGAGCGATGACGCTCCGCTCAAAAAGTGTGAAATGTGTCAGCGGTCATGTCACATGTCGGTTAACACAGTTTACTGCAGAACAACTCATTTTTCCAATGCAACAAAAGAGAAAAACGATGGAAAAATTTAATCCTCTTCTCCGCTAGCAAACCCGATTGGTCTTGACGATGAACGAAAAAGAGCGACGCACAAGCAGCAAGTGCAAAGTGTAGAGAATGACGCACTTTCCTGTTTTTATAACTCCTAATAACTTTTTTAAATGGAGCTGCAGAGAGAAAAAAAGACCTGAACACAAACCAGTCAAATAATAACTACATGTCAACATCGCAGTCGGGGGTGAGAAAAGTGTATTTTCTGTGAAATTAATTTCTAAAGGCCGTCCGCCGCTCCATTAACTTTGCTGGCAGAAGTGGGGTTTATGACTTGTACTGCAGCCAGGCTCTAGGGGGTGCTGTTCTCGGAGTGGCTTCACCCGGCGAGGAGACAGACGGCGTCCATCTTATATACAGTCTATGGTTTATATGCCCTAACTTGGACATGCCATGAGTTTTTGAAGCATTTGAAGCTGAGATGTTAAATTGATTGGGATTTGACTCTTTCGACCGAGCTGGTTCATGTCTCATGCCAACAATTTTCTTATTTGTTGTTTTCCTACAGGCCCATAGCCCTTCAGCCCATCCCAAACCCTGAGCACATACTCATTTTCTGTCTGCTTCACATCTTAAGCATATAACTTGAGCCTCTGCTGGGAAGATGACCGGATCAGATGCTCTGGTGCTCTTAGTTGGAAGATAAAATCTCTTCATGCTGTCATACATCTTAATTGCATTTGATGAGTAACTACCTCAGGCTTTTCCTCCAGCTGCCCTTACCATCAATTTAAAACAGAAACCTAATGGTCAGTTCAAGACACCACTTCCTTTGGTGTGGGTTGTACTTTTGAAATCTAGCAAGTGTTTTAAACATCTATTGAATCAGGAAGTCGTGTTATTTTTTTTTTCTTCTTTTGCTTTTAATGTAATTATTTAATATTTGTTAGCTTGATTGCTTTTTCTTGAGCCTCTTTTTTCATTTGTTTTCACTGGAAGGAAGCTTCTGCTGACTGTCAACGATATTATGTCAAATGACTGCGGTTGCAGAGAGAGAAAACAAACCACACACTGAGACAGGATCCTCTTTTGGCCCACTTTTAGTAAACACATCCGCTGTAACTGACAGAGACGCTCCTTTGAGTGAGGAAAGATAGAGGAGCTGTTTTTGTACCTGACCTCCTCTTACTTGGACAACAAAACAAGCTGGGAAGCCGCTGCTGCCTCTCCATGTTGAGAGGATGGAAAAAGCTGCATTATCCCACTCAAGTCATGTTGACAAGGTGGAATTTGCGCGATGAGAGATCCCTGTTAGGTTGCCATGCAGCTAGAGAAAGCTGAGGAAGTGCAGCAGTTAGGACTGTCGTTCTGGCTCTGAATGATAAATGGGATAAGGAAATCAGATTTGTCCTCTCTCACACACAGGACTGAAAGACTAACCCACCAAGATTTAAAACTAAAGCTCTTTAAATAGTTTCTTGACTAGACTTTTAGTCTATTTTTGGTTTAAGCCAAATTGGCCCTGATTGAACATGTTTTAATAAGAATAAGAATAACTTTATTAATCCCTGAAGAGAAATTCAGTTGTCTGTCGTCTCATTTGTCACGTCTCTAAAAGTCATCTTCTATTTACAGAAGAGTTGTAAAGCCTGATGGCTGTGGGTACAAAAGATCTTCTGAGAGGAGAGAGAGAGGAGCCGTCCACCACCATTGGCCCTTTGGTCCATCTAGGTGTTGTGAAGTGGGTGATCCATGTTCTTGAGAATAGTCTCCACCTTCCTCAGTGTAGATCTCTCCACCACATCCTCCACTGAGTCCAGCTTGAGTCCATCCACAGAGCCAGCCTTTTTCACCCGTTTGTTCAGACGTCTTGCATCTTTATGTTTGATGCTTCCTCCCCAGCAGACTGCAGCGTAGAACAGAACACTGTAGACACCACAGACTGATATAACATCTGCAGCATCTTACTACAGATGTCTATTGATCAGAGTCTTCTCAGGCAAAAGAGGCGGCTCTGCCCCTTTCTGTAGATGAAGTCTATATTCTTAGACCAGTCCAACTTATTATCCAGATGTACACCTAGGTATTTATATGATGTCACCACTTCGATGTCCACTCCACAGGTGTTCACTGTCTGAAAAAGGGGGTTTGGATCTACGGAAGTCTATGACCATCTCCTTTGTCTTTGAGGTGTTGAGGAGGAGGCAGTTTTTGGGACTCCAGTCACTGAAGGCTCTTATCAGATCTCTGTATCCAGCTTCTTGTCCATTTCTGATACATGCCACGATAGCGGTGTCATCTGAGTATTTCTGGATGTGGCAGGACTCAGTGCTGTGTTTGAAGTCTGACGTGTACAGTGTGAACAGGAATGGCGCCAGCACTGTCCCTTGTGGAGCCCCTGTACTGCTCATTAATGTCCCAGAAACACAAACTGTGTCCTTCCTGTAAGGTAATCTGGGATCCAGGAAATGTTCTTTGTCACCATCTTTAAAAGCTTTCTTTTTCTAGTTAAGGATTGCTTTTATGTCTGTTGTGATCCAGGGTTTGTTGTTGGGGAAACAACGAACAGTCTTTGTCGGTATAACTGTGTCTCTACAGAAGTTGATGTATTCAGTAAAGCAGTCAACCTGTCCGTCAATGTTCATACTATTCAGTTATGATCTGACTTGCCCAGTGGTGCTAAGGCAGTGGCTCTGTAGGCTTCTTTGACGTTGGCATACAGCAGGTTCAGGGTTTTGTTCTCTCTGGTAGGACAGTTCACAAACTGTGTGAATCCAGTCAGGTGAGAGGAGAGGGTGACATGGTTGGAGTCTCCTGATATTATTATTAGCGCCTCAGGGTGTTGAGTCTGTAGCCTGGCAACACTATTATGCAAAAGATAGCATGGAATTTCTGCAGTTGATTTGGGTGGGATGTAAACACCTATTGTTATGTCGCCTGTTTACTGAAGGTAAGTTAAATTCATGTGCCATGATATTCAAAATTTCTGGAGCTGACATTGTTTGGAAAAGTGAAAAGGTCTGCATACCTTAACGATCCCAGATTTAAGGTCTACCTATACTAAACAAGAATTTTGCTCATTCCAGCTTTACCTTCATGTCAGGATGACACGCTGAGTTTGGCACTGAAAGTCAGTATTTTTAATTTCTCTTGAATAGAATTTATTTCTCTGTGTTCACCTGCAGTCTCACTTTGTATCATGAATACACAAGCTTGAATTTGCGACATTGCAGCTAGTTAAAAAACCTTGATTTGGACATTTGAATTCTTATTTTTCATATTCAGTATTTTTGAAGGGGTAAAAGACTAAATAAGATTTAAAAGACATAGTTGATCATAAAATATATCATCAGATGTAAATTTCTGTTCCAAAGAGGTCATGTTTATCTGCTTGGAACTTTCTAATATTTGCTTTCATGTTAACCATCTTTTTCAAACCCACTCCCTTGCTTTCCCAATCCTGTCCCCTCCCTCATCTCTCTCACCTCCTTTAGGCAGCCAGTCGAAGAGGAGGTGAAGAGGGAGCTGTCACCATGGAGTAGCACTATCTCCCCTGGAGCATCAGGCTTCCTGTAACATCATCCCTCCGGGTTGCGAACAGGGTCAGAGTGACAGAGATGGTCGAGGATCTGTGGCAAGAGGAGGAGGAGGGGGTCGAACAATGTGAAGGATTGTCTACATTTTTGCACCCCCCTCCTTCTGCTCCAGCGTGGACTTCTTTTGCAACATGATCAGAGGTCGGACAATAATCACAACTACCAGGTGATAGATGACATGCCTAAATATGTGCAACAACCTCCAGGCTAGACGACTACATGTAAGATGCACATATTCAGTTTATGACAAGCAAGTTTTTTTGTTTTTGTGGGGTTTTTTTGGCAGAAACTCAAAACTTTAAATTTTCTTTACTTCTTTTGGAACAAGCAGAGTCATATACCTGTTTCTTCTTTCATACCTGGATATAAGCTTAAAGTCGGGGCTCAAGCACACTTTGAAAATTATGTTTTGATTATATAATGAGTAAAATAATAGATTGTGTAGGCAGGCTTTTTTCCTCTCTATATTGTTTGAATAGATAATAAAAAAGGGACTCCTATCTCATTACTGTAAATTCATATCTGTCTGACTTTTAATATGTCCTGTATAAATAATGACCTGGGTGGAAAATATCCGTCCACAAGACTTGTACCAGCAACACATCAAATACTAAATATTAACGCATATCAGAGTAGCTGCTCTTGTTGTTTACAAAAAGACCCAGGTCTTGACTTAAGCTTTCAGGCTAGTGCATGTTTGTAAAAGTCTTTAAGAACTGATGCTTGTCAACTGTGTGTACTACCATCCAAATAACTTGAATTTGTGGGCATGTCTTAAAACCAGCATTGATTGCATTGTACATTTGCACAGTTTTAGAGGTGTGTTGATGTCCTTTATATTTATGTCAAGTGATTCTATTTTGTTGTGATTGATTTTGATACACTAAAGTGTTTTTGATTAAATATGTGACGTTTCACCTGATTTCTGTCGCACAAATGGTCAGTTATTAAACGTCTCTTCTAGATGACAAGCTGAAGGATTGCTGCTTTCTACATCACATCTGAGAGCTGCAGCTTGGTCTTGAATCTCAGATCACCTCTCATTACATGACTATTACCCATCAGTGGCCATATTGTGCCAACACAATGTTGTGTGCTCGCTTTTGTGCCGTGCCGTGCTGCTCTGCACGAAGAGAAAACTCTTTGTGTTCACTTTATCGAGATGTCAGGAAAATATCCACTCTCAGGTTGTTCTGTAAACTGAAAGCTGATGCCATCTCACCTGACAGCTGAATGCTGACAGAAGACGACGTACTGAGGTCTTAATTGATCTTGATAAATGGTAACCAATCAAACGCCTCTCCACTGGACACCAAAAGTCTGACTACTCTGGCTGCGTGTTCGTCCATGTGCTGGTCATGTTTTATGACAGTATATGACTCTCTGTTGTGGCTCTGACTGTTTGAACCTGTCATTTATTGATGAGAACATGATGTTTACAAGGCCCAGAACAGCAACTTACTCCCTTTCTGTGACGAGTCAGGCTTTTGTTCGCCTTCTAACTTTTTAAATGTAAATTAGTACGACTGGAAAGTTTTTATAGTTCCACTGTGTAAAGCCAGAGACCAAACTTTCATGGTGTTTTGGTGTAAACCTATAAACACAGGCACTGAAAACCAAGCAGAGATAACAGAATTTCATTGAACTGTGTTTGTGAAGATATTTTGCATGCTGGATAGCAGAAAGAGACGTCAGTGGTTGTTTGTGATAAACTTTTCCTGCTCTGACAAGTCAACATATCTTCCAACACACTGAGAGACTTGAATAAGAACACACACAAACGATCAGACAACTCCCCTCTGATATGCAGTATAAAGGCTGATACACAAAGAAATGAAACAGCTAGTGTCAGCTGAGCGAGTATTACTGGCTCTCGAATGTGGTCCCCGAAGAGATGACATATTCAGCATTTAACATTGTGCACCCTGTCAGAGAGCTGCAGCACAATGCGAGGAAACACCCCCCGCATGACATGCTGACGCACTTGCAGCCAGGTGGCCGTGTAACCCTGAGCTCCAGCCACACTGGTGCTGTCCAGCTGTAAGGGCGACAGAGAGGAAGCTGCTGCTTTCTATCAAAACAAGAAAGTGGATAAAGAGTTAGGGATGGGGCTTCCAGATAAGGAAAATATCAAACAGCTACTGTGGCTTTATCCATCACACAGCAGAAATTCAGATTGGTTTTGATGGTTCTGCTTGCTCCAAGTTTAGAAAGTCATATTTTACCTTCAGAGTATTTGGCTTTAACATTTTTTAAAAGGGTTATAAAGACAGTTTTTTTTTTAAATTTATTGTCTTTGTGAGGTGGAATGTAAGAGCAGGTGAGCAGGGTTACTGAACAATAACAACCCGCCCACTATACTTCATACAACTGATCACACGCTTGTTTACTTAAAGCTCCTGTAACAAACTTTTGGTTTGTGTTGATTTTGGTGCCCCTTGTGGACAGAGCAGTCTTTGCGTATCTTGTCCTGTAAATGCTGAAGTTCTGGCTTTTGATACTAAAAGGTTAAAACAGGGCCCAGTCAAAATAAATGTAAATAGCACCAGTGCTAAGGTAGCAGCATGCTAACAGGCTACCAATGAACACAATACTTTCAGCTCCTCTGTGACTAAAACGTGACACATTACAGGTAAATTAAACTCAGCAGTTTACCTGTCCAGCAGAAAGGTGACAGGGTCCGTAAGATCCTGAAGTGGACCCGGATTTTTAGCTCTTGTCCAGGGGGTCTACCTCCTTTTGAAAATCTCAAACAAGATGTGAATTCTCAAAAAAAAAAGGAGAAAATTAATGATGCCACATCAATATAAGACAAAAAATGTCAAATTAATGAAATATTTGGCAAAATATCCCCCACAGAGGCAGAAAAATGAAATATTAGTCCAAAAATAAGTCCAACAAAAACAGGCCCTCCTCACAGCCTCACATCTCCTGTGCCACACTCCTCTGCTGATTGCACTCAGCCCATGTGCTCTGCTACCTGCAGTGTTAATCACAGCCTCACAAACTTCAGGTGTGTCCACTCTCACCTGCAGACTGTCTAAGTGAGAGAAGCTGCAGCAATCACAAAAAGAAGACAGATCTGAAACCAGAATTCCCCAAAGGACAAAAAAAATACACACACACCCCATACTTAAAGGGGACTGTAAACACCATATGCATTGAATAAATGCCTTAAACCAATATTAATGTACACCTTCCTTTAGCCTTCACAATAATTGGTGAGAACTCTATGGCCTCATAACAATTTTCTTGCCAAAGGAGGATTCAGACAATTTTCTGTACTTTCTGGTTGGTTTCCACTGTCTGATATTGTAGCACACTTTGTTTAACTTTGTTTGCATGTTATTCGAGGGCGTGGAGCGTGCCTCGCAACCAATCAGCACTCACAACCAATCAGCACTAAGGAGCAGTGTCTGCCTCACAACCAATCAGGCCGGAGAGGTGGAGAATGGCTTTGTTTACTGTCAGAATGTGCAAACCGTTAAAAATTTCAAAATGCTGACTACACAGACATAATAAAACACAGCGATATCGCTATATTCCCAAATGTCATTGATAACTAATAACTATTGACTGGTACTAAATCTTTTTTGTATATACACCACAAAAAAGATGCTTCTTTAACTTCCTTCCTGCCTACTGTAGTGTGATAAGAAGTGTATCATCATCAAGCAGGCAAGGTGGATAAGTCCTGTAGGACAAAGTTGAAGCAGAAACTAATTTGGACACTTACAACATGAGGTTGATTGATGAGATGAACTGACACATTGACTCTACTTGTGAAAAAAGAGCAGTTTTGATGATAAAGTTAACCTGGAAAAATGTTAATGACCCTGCTCTGGACCTACGGCGATTATACTCTACATACCTGAATCTCATCTGTTCATCTGGTGAGAACATTTCGTTATATGCAAAGAATAAAACCCACCAACTGAATTTTCTGCTATCAGCGAGAGTGTCCTCCACTGTCATCAGAATGGCTGGCACCCTTTCAGATGCGTTTATCAGCAGACAGACATGTGCTGCACTGATAAAAGGTGACGCCAACCAAGAAGAGACACTGTGTTAGTGTCCCTGTCTCCTGACCCTTCTGCTTCCTCTTGGTCAGTCCTTTTGAAGAAGGAGATAAAATTGTCCACTGCTGCACTTTAGTAGTAAACACTTGAGATTGAGTGTCTTTCTATCCAGGCCATGTTTGCTAAAGTTTCATTCTTAAAGGTGTATTAAAAAAAACTCTAATAAAACCAACATTACGTATTGACAGAGGGCATTCTTGACAGAACTTTGGATATTCTTATGAGGTTAAAGAGGCGACTAATCAAACAGACTTTTTCAGAATTCACCTTTTACATTTTTGACCTTCTCAGGAATGTCCTCACAAAGTGTCCGTTAACCTTTAGCATGAATACACCTTCACTTTTCCTGTGTACACAAGGACAAATCAAAGCTACAGGTCTGCGTGTTCTGTTTGACGCAGCAAATGCCAGATTCTTGGACAGGGAGGTTGTAAAAGTTTAATCCCTGTCCAGATGACAGCTGCATTGGTTTATTAGCCAGCGGCGCTAATTGCTTTCCTCTGCACACTCGGGATGAGACGTGTGAGCAACAACAACATTTTTAGACTTTAGCTCGTAAGTGGAGCCCTAAAAACGAAAGTCAGTGTCAACTCAGGAGGGATCTTGATGCTTGTTCTGGAGCTTGTGACCACATCACATGCTCATTATCAGCAGACAGTGTTTACACAGATGTCGCAGAATGGTGATCATTTAACTTTCTGTTATTCTAAGCTTTTGGTGACTTTCACAGGTGGTCTGAAAAAATTATAAGCCAAGGTCCAATAACAAAGCTCAGAGAAGTACTTGGAAATATGAAGCGAATGAAAAAGTTCACTTAACTATACATTAAAGTTGGCTGCAAAAGCAAGGGATCCCGATTAACATCCGTGTTTTTTTGTTGTTTTTTTTAAGCCCATTTTTGCAGCAAAATGTAACGAAAAAATATGAGGCTAATGCAAAAGAGATAAAACCTGCAGTTCCAAGGGTGTCCACTTGAGGCTGACTCCAGTGCCCTGACAGCAACATACACTTTAATTTCAAAAAGGCCATCATTACAACAAAATTAAAAATGTTTACAGCCTGGTGCAGAATTTTTTTTTAATTTAACTACATACTGTACTGTGGGTGTCAGTTTAGACAATATTCAGGTTAGATGTTTATTTCTATACTCTGCTTCATGCTAAGTAAACCAAAGGTTAGGTGGAGTATGATATTCAAAATTGGTGACTACCATCGATGGGCTTCATAATACGACTTCAGAAGCAAATGGGTGATGGATGTCGCTGATGTTTTATAAAGTCTGTGGTCTGAATGCTGCTCTTCCCCAATCGTGAGAAGTTTAAATGTGCAGTATGTGTTGAATAATAATGACATATGTAATCCCCAAAGATTTTGTTCTTGTAAAATGAGCAAAGGGAGTTTTAAAATACTTCTTATAGAGTAAAACGGCCTGTTCCTTTTTTTGTTTTGTTACTATTACACAAAAGGGTTTCTGCTTAAAAAAAATTACATTATTGGTTAGACGACAAGCATTGTGCAAGCTGTGGCCAAGCTCAGTAACTGAAAAACTATACCAATGAAGAAGCACAGTTCCTTAAATAGTCACTTGAAGCTGGCTTCAAAAAGGTGAGAATCTCCAGACTACCTCATAATATATTCCATATCAAAATGCCTGAAGCAGTTTGATATGTAGCTTATCGAAGTCACCAAACTCCCTCTAGACTTTCCTTTGCAATCACCCCCCTGCAGCTTTCTGTGAAGTCAGTTGAGCAACTGAGAATTGAAGATGCCAGAGCGGTTTTCGGTTCTCTTATGTTCATTTGAAGTGTTTTCAGTCTGTAATCACCCAGCTAAGACGGTAGCTTTATTTCTGGTTACAGAGCGAGAAGGTGCCAATGTATGCAAAGCTACAGATGCAAATTGCAAGTTCTCAAACCAAATGGTGTTGCTGCCAGTCCATCTACATATGTGACACAGTCAATAAGGGCTAACCTTGAAAGTTCATCCTTGACCATGTAACAGTGGTTGACACAACAACTCTGTTACACACCGTAAATTATGGTCAAAACCTTTACAGTTTCCTTTGCAACTAATTATATAACCAACACCACAGCTTTCCAAAAATAACGTTATGTAAATCATTAATTTACATGACCTTGCCTGAAGCACATCTAAAAAAATCAGTGATGTATTTGAAGCAAAACAGGAAGGTGTGTCAGCACCTTCAAAGCTTTATTAGACAGCCAAGTAGGAGAACTTAGCAAAGCATGAAAAAAAGCACATTTCTAAGCAGTGAGGAGTGTTTCAGGTTGTCCTTTGTAGCCGGTTGCTGGTTTGTTTACCAAACTCACTGGGGGGCTCAGCATGGTTGGAGAGGGGGGAAGGTGTTTACCTATAGCCACAGCTGACAGGAACATTCATAACACAGCCTGATCGCATCACCTTTGTTCTAACAGAAAGATCTTCAGTTGATGGCTGGGTGTTAAAGATTGGGGGGGGTGGGGGGTTTAAATCCCCCAAGGCTACGTTTTTTCTTCCACTGGCAGTAAATTCTTTCATGGTGACAGAGGAGTTCGCACCCAGGGCCTCCCACTTCAGAGGAGGAGGAGGGGCGCGTGAGGTTTTTTCTAAGGCTGGTCCATTCAAGTCAGAAGTTGTCAAGAGTCAAACGAACCCAAGGTAATCTTCTCCAAGTCCCTCAGGTGTGTTAAACCAAACAAGGGATCAGCTCTGACTTCCTCTGAGCCGAAAGAAGCAGCAAGTATTTTTCCATGTTACCTTTCTTTTACTGACGACACCAATCCCCTGATCCAACCCCCAGGCTCACCTTGACTTTTACTTTCTTCTATTGACAAAAACAGAATGTAAAGAAAAAATCGGTTCAATAGAAACGATCCCTCTGGAGGGATGCTTGGAGGCAGGAACTCATGAATTATGTAATTTCACCAATCAGGGACAAATACTTCACTACCCTGTTAACACCTCTGAGCAATAAGGTGCTCATTTATCAGAAGACTGAGAGGTGTCCTCTGACACGGAAACAATACGGTAGAGTTTCGTAATTATTAACCCTTCAATATCTTGCTCTTGAGCTTCAGACTGAGGAGGATTTGCAGCATTTTCAAGAAAAGCTGTTCTTTGGATATTTCAGTATAAAAGACACTTTTACACTGTGGTAAAAACATCACATAACCACCAGTTTAGATCATGCTAGCACTCTTATTATCTGGCCACCAACCTCAACACTACTAAAACTGCTACTAAAACACTAAAACGGTTATTGATGCAGCTAAAAGAAACAGTCCTTCGAACTCTGCAGTTAAAAACATTTCAGCAGATTCCTGTCAGCTCTGTAGGTGGAAAAAGCTGACAATACATCTAACATTTTGATTTACTATAAGTAAGAAAATGGCTGATTGTTTGTTATAAATTTTACCTTAAGTTAACATCTGCTGGTAATGAAGATGAAGATATTTCTGCGCTCATCAGTTAGTGCTTTAAGTGACTTTATAACGGGCATCTTGAGCTGCTTTTCGATCAAAAAACACCCAAAACTTTTGGTTTCAAGGATTTCTCTCTAAGGAGCTAAATAGTTCCTGAGGCCCATTTTTATCTGTGATCCCACCAGGGGCCCGAAGCCCTGGGCAAATAATGCAAATCAAGCCAATGACATGCAGGGAGGGTATGTGGAACTCTGTATTCAAGTCTTCTGCATTTCTTTTACATATAACATTGGCCACAGTTCAGTTGTATTTGATTATTAAATGAAGTTTGCCCTTCGGTGCCTTCTCTTTGAACAGCTGGTGCCTGTGTGTAAATTGTGTACCAACTTATATTGCAAATAGGATTGTTTCCTGATTATGATGCTACAAAAAAATTACACGAAATGAAGAAAATATACCACCCCCTGAGCAGGGGCTTCTCATGGAGTAGATCTTTTACCCCAGAACTAAATTTAGACCCTTGTTCCTGTGGTCAAAAAGCACCTTGATACACTTCCCCCTTTTATAGAAGGTTGGGACCAAAGTAGGTCTTCATGTGGGGTGTAAGAACTCGAGTCATTTGGCATAAAAAGTTATCTCAGGCCATCTTTGACCCACTTTTATTTCCTCTTGATTATTTATCGGTTCATATTCAACCCCCTTATCGCTTTACAAACACACATGGTCCATTGTTAGTGTACTGCAGTGTTGCTGTCACTTAATATGATAATTTCATGGATTTTGTTCCCCTCAAGACCCTGGTTTGGAGCACATTAAAACCAATCTGACACCAGTGAGATTTGCTCACCTGACTTAGTTTCCTTAAATAGCAGATGACAATGGTAGACTTCAGTTGTGAATCCCCGGCAAAAGAAGAGACTGCGGTGTCCATCGCTGCTTCACTCGTCTCAGTCACAGAGCCTGAATCCACAGAGAGGACAAAAAAAATCAAAACGGGAAAAAACACGGCCAGCAGGCAACAGGATGCACATGGCCCTGAGAAGGATGACTGGTTGTATCCAGGAAATGGAGAGAGAAGGAGAGGAAGGAGAGATTTTGGATCGCAGCTGTGTGTCAGATCGAAAAAATCCTGTTTTGAAGCACTAGAGACATTTTATTGTTCTTCCTCTAGACCATAAAAAACCGGAAGACTGGCTTTGAATGCAGTCGTGAAGGTGACAGCTTTGCAATTAGAATTTGAGCTATTGCCCTATATATTGATGTCATGCAGTAAAGACCTAAACAGTTCAAATAAAATCAGGCCTAAGCGCGGAAATAACACAAAACTTGCATCCCTGTCTTGCCAGTGACTATGCACATGATTTGTGAGTCACGTAGCAGGTAGATTTCCTTCCACCATTTCAATCAGTTACTTGCATGTAGAGGGTAATTTTTATTGGGCTTTCAGTGCTTCAAATCCATGGGCACACAATAGCGATGAAAGGTCCGGCAGCTCTTATGAACCTGCAGAGTTTGCTCTGTAACCGCTCATTAAGACCAGGACTTACTGTCTGACGTCAGCAGCATGTCAGGAAGTCCTCTGTTAATATTACTGATGGCTTAGAGAACTATTTAAACTCTGTTAGCTTTTCAGGATGTCCCCAAAGGACAAAAAAGCAAGACAAAGGTTTATATTAACCTAGGAACATCTATTTTTAACCTCTCATTTTCCATAACATGCTATACAATTATAACACAAACACACTCAGATGTGGATGACAGCTGCAGCTTTTCAAAACAGAATTTTCTCATTTGAGCTTTTGGCAGATTTATGTCTTGTCATAAAGATGTCCTTTTTTAAAAAATTGTCACCGCATAGGAAATATCCTGATAAATACAGAGCTGTCACCACATCTCAGAATAAGATGTCAACTAATAAAACACAGAAACAGCAAAAGGACGTAGAGCCTCATCTGCGTTCATTAAACTCTATGATTTTTATTCCCTCTCTCTCTCTCTGTAAAATCCAAAATCATGTGACACAGCAAAAGAAAGGTTGGCACAAGTTAGAAAGCAGAGTAATAATAGGAGGAGCAGTGCATTTCTACCTTGAGGATATGAACTGCAGTCTCATTCTCTTTGTGTGGCGACTCTTTGTGTGTCACATCTTGGCCTTTACAATTATGTAACATAAGACTGGACATTTATGTTTCTCTGGTTCCTTGAAAAGTCCTTCAGCCTCAGGTCAGAGCATGAAGAGACGTGAGTTTCTTCTTATGTAATCAGTTTTGTGTGTGTGTGTATTTGTGTGTGTGTGTAAAGTTGTTGGACTGATTTTATTCTGCTTGTGTGGACAACTCTGACACAGCATATTTTTAACAGTGGTGAAAAGTGGCCGTCTCTGGTACATCGTCAGAGTGAGGTTTCCAGAAATACCACAAATTTATAAGTTGTCCGTGTCTCGATATAATACGCAGTAAAACAACAATTTTATCATGACACCAACAAACTGAACCGCTCCTTTTTAAACAACTACTTTATATGATTCTTTACAGAGTTAAATAAGACTTTAACCCATAATTAAAATCATTTAAAATGTAACCTCTTATAACGGATTGTGACAATGACAAATTAAAAGAGATGGTTTGAATTTTTTTAATTAGTAGGTCATACATAAATAAGATTTCTTAATGAAGAATTTTTAAATAAAGATTTCTGCTTTTCTTCTTTGTTTAATTGGAAAGAGGTAACGAGCAAAACATGCAGAAAATTCAATATTTACATTTGCTGAGGGGAAACTAGGAGCCATCCATCCATCCATCCATCCATTATCAGCTGCCTATCCCAGCATCTTGGGCGAAGGCAGGGGACACCCTGGACAAGTCGCCAGTTCATCGCAGGTCTGACATAAAGAGACGAGCAACCATCCACACTCACATTCACACCTACAGGCAATTTGAAAGTGGCCAATTAACCTAACCCCACTCCTGCATGTTTTTGGGATGTGGGAGAAAACCGGAGTACCCGGAGTAAACTCACACAGACACAGGGAGAACATGCAAACTCCACACAGAAACCAATGACTTTCTTGCTGTGAGGCGACAGTGCTAACCACTACACCACTGTGCCGCCCAGAAACTAGGAGCCAATCATATTTAATTAAAATTTCACCAAATCACAACTAAATAATTATAATGACACTTAGAGCAAAACTATACTCTTGAATACTATTTACATTGACTTGACTTAATCAGCTAGAGCTTGGCAACAGGCGTGGGTCCTCATGGGCAGAATCCTTGAGCAGGACCAGACATCTCATTACCCAGCTGGGTTATGATTTATGACTCTTGAGCTTTGTAAGAGAAAAGCCTCAAACCTTGGACCCTGTCTCTAAGCTCGTTTTGCAATCCTAGGATGATGAAAGTTGTCACAGGATGCAGCAGAAAAAGGTAAATGTTTTTTTTTTTTTCATCCCAGACTAATAGGATGTAGGAGACACAAAAGAAATCCACTGTTGGCTGACGTGGAGTGAACCTGTGAAGGAGTGTCATGCCTGTGTGGCAGCAGCCCTGTAGGAAGCGCGGGTGTACTCTCTCCCACCCATTTCTCTCATCTTTCCCTTGTTGCGTGTACGTGCTCTACGTAACCGCGACCATGCCTTAAAAAGCGGGGCGGTGGGAGGGATACAGACAGAGCCGTCCTCAGCGGCACAGACTAAACATTAGCTGGCAGCACCATCAAGCAAAGACCCTGACTAAGTCTCGGCTCGTTTTTCACACCAGTATTAGCAGCAAAAGCGTTTTCCGTGGAAAGGATTATTTCACCATTTTCCCCCAAAAAGGAGAGACATAAACCCAAGTCATTCAAGGTCCCCTGGGCTGTAATTCTTCCTTTTTATTGGTTTGACTGTCTCCTGGCAACACAGGGAGTCTCGAATTTAAGAGAGAATGTAAGTGGTGTCTTCTTTCTTGTCTTTCCAACATTGTAGACTCGATTTTTATTCATTTTTCTCCGTGTTTAAGTTTGATTTCTGAACGTAGCCTGAAGGCATCATGTCGTTCGTCAGGAGCCCGACTTAAAACCGTCTATTCCTAAAAATCTTATTTTATTTCAACTGAGGAAAATTATATTCACGCATCCTGGAGGGGTATCAAGAGGAAAAAACAGGTCCTATCTGTTTCTAACCATTCTTTATCAGAGAGAGTAATTGAACTATTTGACTCCAAGACTTAGTTCTCTGTGGTGTTTTGTTTTGTCTTTATCTGTTTGCAGAGTAAACTTTTATAGTTTTTTGTTGTTCTGGGAGAAAATGTCCTCTTCAAAGATAGAAAGCCCACATGGGAGTGTCTCGGGGGTCGTGAATGTAACGAGCCCCGGCATGACATGAGGATTTGAAGTTCCAGAGATTACTTCAGTTTCCAAGTACATTCCACATGTCCCCTCAACAGATAGTGAAAACCCTCCTTTTATAAGGTTAAAAAACTATATCTGTTATTTGTATTTTATCATACCAGTTAGGACACCTCTCATCAGGATGGGAATCATTAGTATTTTCCATTACCATCTATTCTTTTAGTTGCAAACCACACAGCTTGTAGATATGCTAAGTTTGTTACAGAGAAAGCAGACAGAGTAGCAACACTGGCAACCTCTCCTTTAGGCAAATCTTTGCTGTTGTTGGCTGCAGATAAATCCGCAAACAGTCAAATAAGGTGATGTGTGAATTCAGGAACCTATTTGTGTGATATAGTCGATTTGCAGGAAGAAAAAATTGTGCAATTCAAATACTAACACTACGGATAAATGTCTGTGGTAACTATTAGTTTTATTTGGTGACTTCCTCACTTAGGAACTGATTAAAGTCATGTTTTTTGGAGGTTAAACTTTTTCTGTTTTCCTTGATTAGAGCTGGATCCTGTACTTTCCCACTGAGCAATAGACGGCTATTAGATGACTAGTTTTTTTAGACCTAATTTCAACCGTCTGGATTCTGTATATTTTTAGACAGAGTTTAGACGTTGCACTTTAAGCCATTATTCGATAACTGTTTATTTAAAAAGCAACTGTGAGTTGCATAACTGATCTCCAAGTACTGAACCAAAATAATTATGATAGCCGTTGAGCAATATACAGTGTAGAATAGATATAGCCCAGATTTAGACTTGGTCTAAACTTGGTCTAAATCTAGACGTCTAAAAAACTTTCATTTTTAGACCTGTGGGAGCCTGATTTTAGACCAGTCGAATAGACTACATTTAGACACCTATTAGACCTCTATTAGACCAAAAAATGCTCAGTGGGTTGATTCTGACAGATTTTCTCTGATGCTCCCTGGCTGACCCTCTTGGGTTCCCAGTAAACCTCTCTGAATGCTTACTCATTCAAAGCCTTCCGAAATGACAATGAAACATTTGACATTTAGCTTTCTTACAGACAAAGAGTATTAAAGTTGGACGGTCTTGGTCACAATACTGATCGGTAACCTTATCTTTGTGTTCTCTCAGGATGAACAACAGGGATCGTTGGAGGGTGTACAAGAGGGTGAGCGTCATGTTCTTGCTGGCCGTGTTGGCGCTGACTGTCGTCCAGAGAGGAAACATCAACATGGGAGCTCCCTTCGAACTCGAGAGGCAGGCTCGCATGGATGCATCTGAGGGAGCAGAGCCTGGAGCTGCTCTGGAGGGGAAGACCGGCTCGTACCTGGGGATAACAGGCTTCTGGAAGTCTGGCAAACAAAAGTCAGCGACAAAGTCTAGGACCACCACTCAGGGGCCGAGGAGCACTGAGGACAACAGCCTCAAAATGTGGGATGTAACCAGCACCAACTGCAGCGCCAATCCCAACATCTCGAGTCAGGATTGGTTTAAGAGCCTGGAGCCAAATTTCAAACAGTTCCTGCTGTATCGACACTGCCGTTACTTTCCCATGGTCCTCAACCATCCAGAGAAGTGCAAAGGGGACGTATATCTGCTGATGGTGATAAAGTCTGTAGCAACCCAGCACGATCGTAGGGAGGTGATCCGAAAAACCTGGGGAAAAGAGCAGGTGGTTGACGGCAAGAGGATAAAGACCCTTTTCCTTATAGGTAAACCTTCCAATGAAGCGGAGAGAGCGAACCATCAGAAGTTAGTCGAGTTTGAAGACTACATCTATGGTGACATCCTCCAGTGGGACTTCCTGGATACTTTCTTCAACCTCACTCTCAAGGAGACTCACTTCCTGAAGTGGTTCAACACCTACTGCCCCCATGTGCACTACGTTTTCAAGGGTGACGATGATGTCTTTGTCAGTGTAGAGAACATCTTTGAGTTCCTAGAGAGCAGCAGCAATGCAAAGGACCTCTTTGTTGGGGATGTAATTGTCAAGGCTGTTCCAATCCGGAGAAAGGAAAACAAATACTACATCCCCCATGCTCTGTATAGTAAGCCAAACTACCCTCCATATGCAGGAGGAGGGGGTTTTCTGATGGATGGGGCGCTGGCGAAGAAGCTTTATTGGGCTGCTGATACCCTGGAGCTGTACCCCATCGATGATGTCTTCTTGGGCATGTGTCTAGAGGTGCTTCACGTCACTCCCATAAAACACAACGCCTTTAAGACGTTTGGCTTGGTGAAAAATAAGCAAAGTAAGCTGAACCGAGAACCTTGTTTCTTTAAGAGCATGATCGTGGTGCACAAGCTGCTACCATCGGACCTTATGCACATGTGGAACCTGGTCAATAGTGACCTGGTCTGCTCACAGAAAGTGGAGATTCTATAGCTTGATGGGAGAACCAGGTAAGGACATTGCAGTTGGACACTAGTCAAAGGCAAGCTTCCCGATAAACTCTTCTTTATGTGGAGAGGGAATATGGACAATAATTTTACTGTTCCCTTTTGTTGTAGTTGTAAGTTTTTCTACAAGTTAAGGGATTTATAGTTTTTTCAAAGGCTTTTTTAGAAACGGGTATTGATATTTGCATTTGAAGGATTCACACTTTCAATACGCAGATTGAGGACCAACTACCAAAGCTGAGCTGCTGCGTCAGTGTATGCAATATTGCATACAACTCAATTCTGGGCCATGGTGCAAAGAATGTTAGCATTAGCCCCCCTGACTTTATTACAAACACTTTTATTTGGGTCGACATAATTGAACTTTGTCATTGGTCAGGAACCTGCTTGAGAATAACTATTCATGTAAAAACCCTTGAAAAATTTAGAGATAAATTTATTTTCAGGACAATTGTCAAATTATGTCTGTTTAATTCTCCATGAAGCTCCCTCAAAAATAATGTTTAGTCTAGATACATGAGAGGTCATTAGGGTGATTCCCCTTTTATAAATAGTCATTCTATATACTGAACAACCTATAGTTAGTTTAGCAGTCTGGGTTCGTACTTAGTGTTCCATGTTGCCTTCACTTGGACCAGTATGTCATCCTGCAGCGGTTGCAAATAGCAAGTAAGAGAGAGAAACAACTGCCTCTACCTCAGTGATTGGGTCTGATCATTTGTTTGTATTTCGACTTGTCTACTGAATCTCTAACCATATCATAGTCACCATGTTGTACATGTTTCTAAAGTGAGAGTTCAATCACTTTTAATGTTGAAGAGGTCCTTGCACTCATTTTTTTTTTTGAATGTCATTGACTTGACCTGGACGTCTACTTCTCCTGTACTACTAAAACCACCTGTTGCTTGTATGCTGTTTGAATGTGCTGATATACTTGACATGAATAGGGGTAGAGGGTCAACACTGACACTGTGAACTAAAACTATGGCTGGTACGAGTACCTGATGTTTAATTTAAGAGACCCTAAAGGAAAGGGGCCAATTGTGGGGTCTTTATATTTAAGTTAAAGCATAAGAAGAGGATATTGACGATTATAAAGGTGAATGTTCGTGGGTTTAGTGGGTGATGGTTATGTTAATATGCTGTATATAACTGTAAAATAATATGTATATATGTTATTTGTAAATAAACATCTTGAAAATACATTTGTCTATGAAAATCTGTCCTAGATTGTCTCTTTTTGTATTTGTCCCTATCTAGGTAGAAAATCTATGAGAAAATCCACTTAAAGCCGGCCAACAATAGTGTCCAGTGTTGACATGTGGGTATCACTTACACAGCCACATAGTTAAGAAACACACGTGCACACAAACACACAAAACACATGTGCTCAAACAGACATAAAAGTGATAATAATGCACTGTAAGTTTATATAAACTGTTACTTATTTCAGTGCTGAGCAACTTAACCCAGGAGCACATTGTTGGGTTTTCTTTACATCAGTGAGTTAAGATGTCAACGTGCTGCGTAATCAATCTCAGTCAATAGGATTGTTACAACATGTGTTTAGAGATCATTTCACAAGAAACACGACTCAGGCTTCTTAAGTAAACTGTTGTTGTGTAGAATATATCCTCAGTCTATTTTTCTATTTAGAGAGCACATGTGCATGCTCCTGACTGAGTGTGACATTTCACACTGCTTATGGTATGTGTCTGATATTATGTGCCTTTTCACCCCCTGGAGCTGTTATCAGACCGATGCCACTGGTTCATGTTAAAGATATTGTTCAGAGCTTTATGTTGGCCCAAAAAGACAAATCACAGAACAAAACACATTTTTACTTTTGTTCTGCAGTGTCTCTTCCAGGGCAAAGTCAAAAGTAACTGTATCTTCTCTTCATTGTGTTTCACTTGTCAGGGAAGCATGCCTTAACATGGTTTATCTCTTTCAACACTCCTCTTCAGCTAACATAATGTATGGGTGATGTGGAGCTGGCCTATGAAGAAATGAGATATTCACTCTCTTTGTTGTACATTCATTATTGTGATTATCTCACACTTCACTAGGGTTGATTGCCAATGTTTCTATTAAGATATAACATTGCAAAGAATGTGCAAAAAGAAAAGAAACTTCACGATAAAAAAGCTCTTTCAAATCTGTCAGTCTCTTTTGTTTGAGGTATCAAGTAAGTTACAGGGCGCACAAAGGTAAGACAAGATATAAACAAATTCTAAAGCAATGGTTAATTAAGCTTAGCTAAGATAAACTTATAGGTCTAATTGTGTCCTAGAAATACACAAATGGAAATAATCTGCTGCTAAAGAGATAAGAAAACATATTTGCAACAACATTTGCCAATGACACAGTTGTGTACTTTAAGTTTCTTAAATAGTAGCCATTTGGTCAGATTTGCTCTGTTGTTTGAAGTCCTGGGGGTCCATAAACTGGTAACATGGGGGTGTGAAGAGGGGGGTTGACATGAAACTGCTGGCAGAAGTGGGTTTATCTCCAGCAGCCTCATGCCAAAAACAAAAAAAAACACAGGCCCTGTTATGTGGATAAAATAATGAAATATTCAGTCTAGTTTCAAGTCAACTGTTGTTTTGTTTCTGAATGGTAATACAGCAATGGTTAATGAAGCTTAGCTAAGATAAACTTTAAAAAAAAAAAAACATAATCTGACATTGTAGATTGTGCAGTAGACGGATGCACAAATCTATTAGTCAGATTTTGCCAGTATTTGGACTCCTGCAGGTTCATGCACCTGTTAACATGTGGGTGAAAATAGAGGGTTGACAAGTAACCAACTGGTGGAAGTGATTCCTCCAACAGCTCCATTAGCTTAAACTACACAGCATGTAAAAAAGCACCCTCTCACTGTACTCTGTTCTTAGAAAAAAACATAATCAGTCAAAGTTCACACTAAACTGGGAAAGATGATATCTGCTTGATATTCCCACTGAGCATTTTTTGGTCTAAAAGAGGTCTAGTAGAAGTCTAAATGTAGCCTAGACAACTGGTCTACAATCAGGCTAAAAATTAAACTTTTTTAGACGTCTAAATTTAGACCAAGTTTAGACTAGCGGGCTAACAAAGATCTAACTTTATATTGCTTAACGGCTATTATAATTGCTTTGGTTGAGTACTTGGAGATCAGTTATTCAACTCATTTTTGCTTTTTGAAATAAATAGTTATTCAATAATGGGTTAAAGTGTAACGTCCAAAAATACACAGAATCTGGACGGTTGAAATCAGGTATAAAAAAACTAGACGTCTAATAGCTGTCTATTGCTCAGCGGGTTAGCATGCCTTAAATTTTCATCATGGCAGCCAATGTCATATGTCAGTGTGTAAAGAGTAGCTAGAAAGGCTGTACAACCAAGAGGAATAATCTTCCATAGCATGACATTTTAATAATGTAGTCTTTGTATTAGCCAGGCTAGCATCCTCAACTACTATGAACTTTATTGAGCAACATCTAATTTCATAATCTCAGAATTCAGACTAAAAGGTGTCTACATGAAAGTAAAGGTGAAACTCATCTTGTGAAACACTTCTTTTGAACTCCACAAGCTGTTTCTTTGGAAGTGCATTATGATGCAACATGTATGTTAATGTGTGTGGCATACTGCGGTGTGGTTGCGAGACAAACCGACAATACTGGATGACTCATGTCTCACCCAGTTCCTCAACTGGAACACCTGCAAGTACAGATGGAGCCAAAACCTGCTGCCCAAAGACGAGCCTGTGAGGAAGAATCAGAGACACAATTACTCTTCAGGTGATGTGGCTGCAGAGTTGACCACACAGCACCAGTTTAGGTGGGAGGTAATCTACTGTAAATCTCCCACTCAGGTGATGATATTTGACTGAGCACACGCCCCGTTTCCTGGCCTGCCTGCTGACCAGGAGCTGCATATTTGTTGACACTAATTGGAGGAAGCTTTTGATGTCAGCTCAGTCAATGTGTCTGCTGGAGGGAGCCGCAAGCTTTCACACTAGCCCTCTATTTTCTTCAAAGGCCTCAGGAGGACCGTCATTGGCATGGCTGATGGTGGGAATGTTGCTGCTTGGGCTAAAATTAAAAAGCACATTCCTCGACCTACAAGCTGCCAGCTAGTTTGTCTATCAGTACCCAGTGACATAATCTTTAAAAAACACATGCTTTTTAAAACAAAGTGGGCAGATATGGGTCCCATGAGGGTTGAACTGTTTTATATCGTCTTTAACTGGTTTCTCTAGAAAATACAGTCGACCACAAAGACTGGAAACCAGGAAACAGCTTGCCTGGATCCCTGAGAATCCAAAATCCAGCACACGCTCAGTTATATTCGTGTCTTATTTTGATCAATCTGTACAAAAAGACTTTTTCCTGATCTGAATTTCCTCAAACTAAGATAACTGCAAACAGAAACATGTTACTGTAAAACACCAGAGGCCTCTACTCCGAATACAAGCAGAGTGAGTGAGTTACACGAGTTATATTTTTATCCCTACTCTGTATACGAGGACAGCGTAAGCCTCGACTCCCACTGCCCCTTCAGAAAACAGGCCAAGGCAGTAGGACTTCACAGTACATCTGTGCTATAGGACACCATGTACTTGACAAAGATCTATTGTGAAGAGGACTCAGAGCACTATACTGGCATTGAAACGGGCTCTGTTTAGAGCAGCCACTAAGCAAATGAAAGAATCAGTCTCTGTCTTCTCTCCTCTTTACAATGCTGTATTGACTGTTTCAGCTTTATAAGGAAATCCACACTTGTGGGTTTCACAGTCTGAGCTACATTTTTGCCCCCTCAACTGTAAGACTGTTCATCTGGAAAACTCAAATGCTTATTTCGACAGTGGTCTCTCATGGAAGACAAGTTTGGTGAGTAAAACACAGAAAAGTGCAGAAAAAAACTCCAAGGTGAACTGAGTGACAGAAAAGAAAGCACACGGGTCATCCAAGACGGCTGACATAACGCCACAGAGAAAAGCCAGCATGACCTCTGTCACCGCTCAAAGCAGGGGGCAACAAATCTGTGAATGGAGGTATTCAGCGGTGCCATCATCAGTGCCTCCTGCCCAGGCACCTTCAGGAACAAAGATCCCTGTTCAGCTACCAGGGCACCAGGATGACAGCAGACTGCTGTCTGCTGGAGTCTCTGACACAGACGCTGCAGTTTAGTGTCACTGTAAATCAAGATACGAGTCCTGATGCCATTGAGAGAGCAGGGAGAGGCTGGGTTCAGGGACACTTAAGGGCTTTGGAGTCCCAGATCTTATGTACGCACTTTGCTTTCACTGTTTAACGTTTCCAAACCACTAACATTCACGAGTGATTCCACCCTTATTTTAGCTTTTAGTCTTGCTGTTTGTTTTTTAATTCAATCTACATGAAAATACTGTACCAACACAGTCAGATCTACTGATCTGTTCTCATCAGTTCATTAACAGAGCTCTGCAGACAGCCCAAGGTAGATTCAGATGGATGACTCTGCCTTCTAATAGAAGAAAGGCATGCAAAGACTCCATGGCTGGAAGGTCTCCCTTTACATTAGACTGTTGACGGTAAACACCATGTAAATGTCACGGGTGTATGAATACATCAGATGCAGCACCCAAACACAGACGGCAGACTGCTCTCCATGACCGAGTTTAAAGGCTACTTAATGAAGACTGCCACCTGGTGGATTTTGGAGTCATTGTAGGCCTTCTTTTCTGCTTTCTGCTTATACAGACAAATCTGTTTCAAATAAACAGACCACACTTCATAGACGCCTTTAAAAATCAGGACCGTGAGGCGTAGATTAATTCATGGAGAGATTTGCTTTGACTGTATCAACTACACTGGACACATCTCAGTAAACCTTCATTCTTGGGAAACTGATCCAACATGGACGCAGTTCTATACTCACAATTTCAAGCCCGAGGCGCCCGGCTGATACTCGATCAATATTTCAGATCAACATGTGTGCAATGAGGACAGACATTTAAAAATCACCACCTACAAGATTTTATTTTTCGACCGTGAAAATCTTGGGATTCTTAGATGGGACAAAATTAGTCAATGCACTACAAATATATGTTACATAGAACAAGAGGTGTTTAATCCTCTGTGACTCAGACACTGACTGTGCCCCATCGAAACCAACATGACAGAACAACTTTGCCATTTTCTTTACATCCACCTCTAGAGCACTGACTCAAATCTATCAAAATATGCTTTGCACATTACAGTAAAACTTGGCACCTAAAGCAAACTAAACGACAAACAAAATAAAAACAAAAACATATGGATACAAGTGTAATTTTTTTTTACAAAAGGTAAAATGAAAATCATACAAACTGTTTAAATTTACACACTGTATCTGACAAAGACTTAGCGGATTTTTTCACAGCAAACTTGTTTGCCAGACCCATTCCATTTGACTCCTTCGGGAGAGCAAGTAAGCTAATGAGAGTGAGAGGTGCAGGTCTGCTTTAAGGAACATTCAGTGCTAACATGTAGCACTTGAGCTGAGAGGGTCAGAAGTACCAGTCTGGCACAAGAGGGAGGGGGAAGGTTCGAAGGGCCTAAATAAAGGGCTAAAATGCCCATTAACAGTTAAATATATATCAATGACGCTTTCTGGAATGTCCAAAAGCTCTGAAAATTGATGAAACCAGAGTCCATTCGAAAAATAAAACAGACTAAGATTTAGTCATCAAACTTGATTTTCTTCCCCTGGGGTTTGGCTCCAAATCCTCCACCACCTCGTCCTGAAACGAAAGAAAGCAACTTGAGTTCACGTGCCTGCAGGATGACATGTTCACACTCCCATCTTCAAAATACTCCAGTTTAAACTTTAACAGAGTGAGGACTCCTAAGAAATCCAAGTAAAACAGTTGTGTATCAAAGATGAGACTTATTTCTCCATTTTATTTGACTACAGAAGATAAAACATGAACTATAACTTTAACTATACAAACGCTTTACCTCCAGGGCCACCACGCCCACGGCCACCTCCACGAGGACCTCCGCGCCCGCCTCCTCTGCCACCACCACGACCACCGAAGCCGCCGAAACCACCGCGGCCCCCTCTGCCGCCGCCACCACGGCCGCCGAAACCAAATCCGCCACCACCTCGACCTCCACGGAAGCCGCCCTCACCCTTGGGCTTGGCGTAGTCCAGGGTGACCTTGTAGCCGTCGATCTCGCCGTCCTCCATGGCCTCCTTTGCCGCCTTGCAGTCATCCTCGTTGTCAAAGTCTACGAAACCGAAGCTACGGGGGACAGCGGGGAGAAGAGTTTAGTCTACCTCGATAAAAGAAGTGCACTGAATTTCATGGCTTTTTAGTTTACTCTACTTCTTACACCGGTTTGTTTACCGTCACATGAACAGGACAACTTAACTCCTCACAGACTTACCCTTTAGAGGACCCTGTTTCTCTGTCTGTGACTATCCTGGCTGCTGCGGCGCCCTCGAATGCGTCCTTGAGGGTCTGATCTGTTGTGTCCTCAGAGAGACCCTTGACAAAGAGGGTTTTTGTTGGACCTGGGGGCAAAGACAAGAAATCATTAACAGTTTATCTACGCTGGTTATCTATCTGGGCGAATGCAGGTGCTCCATGACTGAGTTCAGAGGTCAGATCAGGACTTGACTATCTTGGATTCCTCACAGAGTTTCAGGAGATCAAGTTTTCATCATGTCTGGCCGTGCTCACCCTCTCAGAAACATTCATAAAACAAAGACCGTGATCTAGTCTCAGCTTCGTCTGAGGACCTACCTGAGTTTCCCCTGCCCCCGTCTCTTCCACCGCTGTTCTGGCTGTACTCCAGTCGGATTGACCGGCCTTCGATGTCTGTGTTATTGAGGTTGTCCAGGGCGTCTTTAGCATCATCTGTGCTCTCAAACTCCACAAAAGCAAAACTGAGGACAGAAGAAGACTATTAGAGAATGACTGAGTCTGAGCCCTAACATTGATAAGAGGTACAAATAAAACACTCAACAATCCTCTATAAATTAAACAGGCCTTGCTGACCTTTCTTGCCAAATGCTATCACATATCAACATGTTGCACAGCAGACATGGGCAGCACCCGTATGAGTGCAGGGCGAGCCTGTTCTGACTGTGTGTTTGCTCTGCTTCTCGTGCGAATCCATGCAGAATCACGGGGAGGATTAAGAGGAGCTCATGAGAAGGTGAGGCACTCTGATGTTTAAGTCTGTAGGATGATAAGATAAACAGACACTCACCCTTTAGGTCTGCCGTCTCTCTGTGGGATCCTGATAGACACAGCTTTCTCGAATGTGGATTGTAGGACTTCCTCTGTGGCACTGAAAGCTAAATTATTCACCACCAGTGTTTTACTGGCTGCTCCGGACGGCGCTGCTGAAAGAGGAAAGTGAAAGATGAGAGAGAGAACCCAAAGACTGCGCTGTATTTTTTCCTCAACTTTATTATCTTGGTCATACCACAGATTGGTACAATTACTATATCATTTCATTTAGTTCCTCAGAGCTGTCATGATCTAATCTTAAAAAACAAAATTGAAGTGTCCATAAGAACCAAAAAGATCGCTTGTTTCAATGTTCAACATCCAGAGATTAACAATGAACATTATAAATATTTCAAACATCATGTCTTACCTGACATTTTCGCCCCTTTCTGGCTCTTTTCTCCGACATAGTCGACCATGATGGACCTCCCCTGCACGTCAGCTCCCTGAGCCTCCTCCAGCATCTTCTCTGCTTCAGCTTCAGTTTTGAACTCGATGTAGGCGATGCTGCCAAAAAGGAAAAACTGTTAGATCTCCAGAAAAACATGCAGTCCGTTACCCAGGGTTCACAAGAGTCTGTCTTTGTTTCCTGGTGTCATGTGTCCAGGCAAAGCTGTGGCTGCTACGACATGTCCGAGCTCGTTCTTACCCTCTGTTTGAACCGTTCTGGCCCGGAGGTACCCGGACATCGACTGCATCTTCAAAGATTTCTCTCAGGTCATCGACGGTCGCAGAGAAGGGGAGGTTCTTTACGAACAAAGTCCGTGCGTCTCTCTCTGTGGGGCAAAGGTCAGCATCAGCAAAGGAATCACAACCAGCATTTACAGCCAAAGCCGAAAAGGGTTATTTCACAGTTTTTGTTAATTTTCCCTTAAACTTTAAAAACCGCATAAGGCAGGAGTGTCGGAGCGATTGAGGATAGAACCGGCAGACAACAATACACACCGGCACCGAAGACATAGCGCTGCATTCTCTCTTCCTCCGTACATTACACACATGAGTACTTCACAACCTCAAGTATGCCAAGAAATGGAGGGTTTGCCTTAAGTGTTTGTGCCAAAGATTCCACAATGGTGGCGGTGTTTACCTTTCTTGCCCTCCTGTGAGCTGTCTTTGCTGCGGGCCCTGTCCAACTTCACCTCCTGACCCATGATCTTCTTGCCATTCAGCTCAAGTGCCTTTTGCATGTCCTCCTCAGATGCAAAGTCCACGTAGCCAAACTTCCTGTTGAAGTAAGTCAGACATCAAAACAGTTGAGACATTCCCACTTAAGAAAGAAAAACAGCAGATATATTTATCAAGCTGTATTCCTGGTTCATTTAGAGGATTTTCCAGTAAATGGAAAAAACAGATTTCTTATTTTTCGATCCAAGACTTACTTGGATCCACCTAACCGGACATCGACGACCTCAAGGTTGTTCTTGGTGAAGAATTTCCTCAGAGACCCTTTGATTTCCTCAAAGTCTTTGGTGGAGTTCAAGTTCCCAACAAACAGACAGAACCCTAAGACAAAACATTTCAAGAGATTATTTTAGATGGAAAAAAAAAAGGTTGATCGCAACCATCAATCCAGACGTGTTCAGAGCATTAAAAAGGTGACATCACACATCAGTATTAAGTCCCTTGTTGATCATCATAAAAGCAAACCAAAATCAACACAGTGGTCTCAGGGTATAAATCCTCACCATCGCCTTCTGCCTTGGCCTTCTTGGCAGGAGGCGTGTCCTTTTTGGTCTCTGCCTTCCTCTTCCCAGGAGTCACTGGGGCGTCTGTTGAAACAGGAGTTTTAAATTATGTTTAACAGACGAGGCCAGTGAATGAAACGTATCTTAATTATGGTACAAACAAGTCAACAATCTTTATTCCTCTCTTTCTTCTTGTGTCATATTAACTGTCCATATTTAAACTGATAACGTTTAGTGGAGCCGCTCATGAAGAGGTTTGGAGGAAGGACTAGAGCTGTGCAGAGGAGGCAGAAACATGAAAACAGATGGTTTTGTTTGTCCAGTTTTCTTCAACATGGCCTCCGTCCAGCTCAGCTAACCGAGCAGAATCGTCGCTGTGACTGTCGGTACTGATATATTAAGTTCATTATTAAAACTGCCTTTCTTCAGAAACCGCAGTGAACTGTGTAACCATATAGAACAATTGTGTAATGAATCAAAATCTAAGTCTTCTTTACTCACCATCCTCATCATCCTCCTCATCGTCATCATCATCGTCGTCATCCTCCTCCTCCTCAGACTCTTCCTTGGCCTTCACCATGCCGGCCTTCTTTGCCTTTGCTGGAGCCGGAGTCGTGTCCATCTCTTCTTCTGATTCTACGAGTCACAAATATTGTAAGTTATGGGAGTCATGTGACCAAATTCTGACCAAGAGCTGCTGCTCGTCTAATATCAGATCAATAAAACAGGTGACATCATACGAATCAGTATTAAGTCCCTTGTTGATCATCATACATAGAAATTAGCTTACTATCAAAAAACAGACAATCCTACAAACACTGATCAAGCCTCACCATCTTCGTCATCATCGTCTTCATCCTCGGACTCCTCTTTGGCAGCTTTGGCAGCCTTCGCAGCTGGTTTGGCCGCTGCTTTAGCTGGGGCAGCTTTTTTGGGAGGTGGGGCCTCTTCTTCTGATTCATCATCGTCTTCATCTTCGTCAGAGGACTCTTCTGCAGGTGCGGCCTTTGCGGGGGCCTTCGCAGCGGCCTTCGCAGCGGGCTTGGCTGCTTTCTTGGGAGGAGGGGCCTCTTCTTCGGACTCTTCTATGTAAGACATTAAATCATGAGTTTCAATGAGTGACAGAAATGAGAATAATCTTTGTGTCCTCTTAAGGAAGCTACAACAAAACTATGTCACAGCGATTGAGGATAGAACCGGCAGACGATAATACACACCGGCACCGAAGACATAGCGCTGCATTCTCTCTTCCTCCGTACATTACACACAAGAGTACTTCACAACCTCAAGTATGCCAAGAAATGGAGGGTGTGTTTTATCAACACAGGCTATTACAATTTTAAAAAGATTTAAGGAAACTTCTTACCATCATCATCATCATCATCTGATTCCTCAGCCTTTGCAGGGGCTGCCTTGGCTGCAGGTTTAGCAGGTGTTGCTTTAGCAGGGGTCTTTTTGGGTGGGGGGGCCTCCTCTTCGGATTCCTCCTCTGAAATAAGATTTTCAGAAGCGTTTAGAGATTAATGGACTTCTCCAAAAGTCCAAGTATGAATGTGTCTACAGGTTATTCGGCCAGAATTTTCACCCTTTACTTCTTGTTCAAAGTCACACCTTAGGCTCCTCAGTTTCATTATGTTAAAGCTCCTGTGAGGGATTTTTACAAACAAAGTGTGTTTATGTGTGCACTCGTCTAGTAGGGTCTGAACTTCACTGACATCTAAGCAGGCTACATGCTACGGAGACCTGCATGAACAAACTGATCATCGAAACTGTGCTTAGTGAACCACCTCCCCAGTTTCAATTCTGTAACTTTTATAACTTGAAACTGTTGCAAGGTTTGGGAACATCTTTACATACATAGATTATGCACGGCACAGATTTTTAATGACTCAAACATTTTGCCTTTAAATTGATTGTCTAAAAAGTAGCATTAAAAGAATGGCTAAGAGAAAGTCAACCCCACTGGGGGGCAAAATCAACACAACACAAATACCTGGTCAACTGAAATGTGACATAAGCAACAATGCTAGACCTTATTTAACCTTAAACCAGCATGACCCAAGGGACAGCTGAACAGTTTCCCACAACAAACGCAATTTAGTTTTGATTGTCAAAATTTAGATTGATACAAAGGAGCATTTTCACATTTACGACATGCAGACAAAACTTTTACTTAGAAGCCACAATCTCTGCACCTGACTACGCTGAATTACAATATTCCTTCATGTGAACCGCTTTCTATCAAGTGGTAATAGTAGTGCATGAAACTTACATCATATTCTGTGTGTATTTTTTCCTTAAAATGTGTTGCACAAGTTGTCAAGAGAAAATTTGGTTTCTATGCACCCATTTTGGCCAAAAATGCAAAAATCGGTTCAAAAAGGCCTGGCCCCGTGCATAGATGCTTTTTAGAGAATACATTTAAATATGTTTGTTAACCCGACTTGTGTTACAAACAAAAGCATCTAAGTAAACGTCTGCAGCAAAATACGGGCCCTATAGGCTGTCTTCAGGTGCTGTATTTCAGTGCTGCAGAATTTCTAGAGCAGCAGTCTGCATATTCGTAGCCTATGTGTAGTTTTTGTAAAGTTTTAAGCATTATGAATGACTGACAGTTTTGCTTCATGCTTTTACAAGATATACAGGACTTCATAATTTCAACATTGTTAGTTGTGTGCTGGCCAGCTATTAATAATGTATTGTAATATGAAATGGACGCACAGCCTGCTAGTTAAAACAAACCAATGAACACAGCTAACTGCGGATAATTTAAAAGAGGCAGAGTTCAAGCTTAATCAAGATGTTCACAAATAGAAGTAACACCACACTTAACATGTCCTGAAATTCTCCTTATTTCCATGTGCAGTTATCCCCTTAGTATAAAATATTGTTTAACATTATAAATTAATTAATAATTTAACATTATTATATTATTTAAATGTATCTGATTTACAGTCACTTCTGAGTGGAAAAATACAGGACTGAATAATTTTTCGCATTCTTCAGTTTTTAAATTATTCATTTGGCTTTTTCATGACTCATGGCGTATCACTTGTTTTTACTCAGAGATATTCTTTTAGTCTTGAGCACTCATTGTTTCTTGCTTTTTCTTTTGGCCGTGTTAAAGGAGGCTTTCTAGTGCTACATAGATGAACACTACCTATATGTACAAATTGGATCTCTTGGCTGACTGACCAAAATCGTTGTGGCATGTGAGCCATAAATCACGTCTTAAGAACTCAGGTTGTGACATAAATATAAGATTCTGTACCACATTATATCTGATAGACATTTTAAATTTAACTCACCGGAATCATCATCGTCATCATCCTCACTTTCTGCCTTTTTAGCAGCAGCTCCGTTCTTGATGACTGGGGCCGCTTTGGCTGGTGTGGCTTTCTTCACTTTAGGGGGAGGAGTCTAGGGGAAGAAAAACACAATATTAAAAAAAGGTGCCATTTCAAGGAATATTTAAATCCTGGGACATTTTTTTAAATAAACATCTTACCTCCTCTTCCTCATCGCTGCTCTCTTCTTCGCTGGATTCCTCCTCCACTTCTTTAGGGGGTGGGGGGGCTTTCTTTTTCTGAGTTGTTGGCGTATTTGCTGCCTGTTAAAAGAGACAAATGAAGATGAGAAAATATATCCACTCGTCATACAACATTAAACAAACCACAGGCTGATTAAAGGGGTTGACTCTCCGACAACACTACTTCAGGTGTTTGCTCTGATGGGGGTCAAACACACGAGGGCCTTTAAAAGTTACGAACACGAGATCCTTTTTTAATTTAATTCTAATTTGCTAAACCAGACATGTGGTCACTTAATGAAAATATTAGTAAAAATGAGCACAAAACGTGGCGTCATTCACAGAGAAGAAAATACAATTGTCCATGTACCCTACATCAAAGTTGTCGATTTTTTTAAAGTAGTGTGAATTGATTTACATTTGTTCCACTTTTCCCACTTTTGAGTGTTTGTTTCTTGCTGGAGTCATAGAGCATGTTAGTTTCTCCATTTTATATACATCTTCCACCGTGTCCAGACAGTTTTTTTTTTATGAGTGGGTCAATTCTCCTTCGAACACCAGATTCAAAAAGTGCCAAAAAAGGTAATATTATCAATGTGCTAATTATTTGCGTGGGTTACACACGACCCTCGAGTTGTTATAATTGTCTAAGTGGGTGATAATGAGTTTCCTCGGCTGTGCGTGTCCACCTCGTGTGCCACTCAGAGCAGGCGCATAACCCACGTGGAGCTCAGGAGGTAGGGCTGTTAGCATGTTGGCTAATTTGACCGTCTGCAGACGCTTGCTAGCTGCTCAACAAGAATGAGCTAGATAGGGAAAAAATGGAGTTTGGTTTAAACCGGTAACACCACGTTCAAGACACTCAGGAAACATGCATTTGAGCTGTGTGAATATGCTCTAAACCAGCGTTAATGCTAACAGTTCGACTGCATAAGTGTGCATACAGATCATATCATGGCTCTTTCCGACATTTACGCATTAAAAGCGAACATAAATCGGTTCGTGTCACATGTTAATCCACATCTCGGCCCTGAATCTCTAAAAATCCGAGCTAAGAGTCGAGAACGCGCTTGAATGCCATCTTGAGTAGACGGAGAGCGTTAGCAGCAGCAGCAGCAGGCCAGAAACCAAACAGCAACGCTACAAACATGGCCGATCTCATTTAAGAAGACACGCTAGCGCTAACCCGAGTCAAATCCACTCTCTCGTTTTTGCCTTTCGATAAACTTCACATTAAAGCGTCGGGGTGTTATAAATAAATCGCGTGCATCGGCTATGTAACATGTGCGCAGTCGAAATCCAGCGTCTGTTCCGTTTTTCTCACAAACGCAGCAACTTCTGAGTAAAGGCCGCACGCGTAAACACACCTTTCTATCGCAAACGCGCGCGCTTTTTAACGGTAAAAACAGGCGTAGTTCGGGTCTTACCTTCGCTAACTTCACCATGGTGCTGTTGTGTGTTTCAGTGAAACACAAGAAACTGGACGTTTAGAGAAGTGGTATCGCTGGTTCACACACGTGGCTCAACCTACTCGGTGGAACATTGGACAGGAAAGACAGATGAGTCGAAGCCGCGCTCCTTACTCTCTTGCTCTGCGCGTTCACGTCAACCCGCCCACATGACAGATTGCACCAATCAGAGAGCGCAGTCGCCTCGTGCCCACGCCTCGCCTACATACACAGGTGACGGAACGTGCATCTGTCGACAACACAAACGCGTTTTTTAGTTGAACTTTTGACACGATTCAAGGTTTAGGAAATGTATCACGTGGTTTTAACAAGTTTTTATTTTAACATAATAAAAGAAATTTGATAAAAGCAGAAACACAGGGGGCTGTTGCTGTTGGGTCGAATTGTAATCGTCGCCTTTTCCCTTTTCTGAAAGTTGCATGTTTTGTAAATCCCCCTCCCACTTCCACCACCATTACAAAGCCACTTTATGTCCAATGCAGCTGTTTAAAACAACCACGTGGTCGTGACCCCCCCTCACTCAGCTAAAACACGTGGGCCCTTTCTCGAAGCATGTCCCTCCTCCAGAATGTGTATTAAAATGGAAACCATGATTGTTCACTGACTGAAAACACATAAGATTTAGAGCGCCCCCTATTGACCTGCCATAAACGCCATTTAAATCCCTCATGTGTGTTAAGAGATGGAATAAGCTAACAAGATATAGCATGACATCAAAGTACGAGCTGAAGAACTATTTGCCAAACATGGTTTGGTCAGTTTATCATTAGGTCTTATCATGCTGATTTATGTACAGAATACAGGAGGAGAGGAGTAACGCAAAACCCACAGGGTCCAGAACGGCTCCACTCCACTCCCGCATGGCCAGCGGATCAAGTTTTATGAAGTTTTATGCGGTTACAGAGTAAAATATCTGGTTCATTTTCAAAATAAAATAAAGTCAATACATTGAACTGTTCATAACTTGATTATGGGGGAGGCCAGGGTTGTGGGATGTGGGTGTAAATATACTCCACTGCTTATATACACCAATCGGTGGTTCTTACTCTATGACTCCCGGGGAAACATGTGAGAGCTCGTAAGATCTCGTCCAGTCTCGCAAGAAATATCGCTGATCTCGCAAGCGCCTCTCCTCCGATGGCAGCTGCAGATCGGATCCGGTGGGCGCTGTATGCTTGTAGATCTGATCTGCCTGCTGGTCTGGAGCAGAGCCGTTCCGGATCCTGTGGGTTTAGCCATTAAAGGAGAGAGAAAATATAACAAACACCAAAGTCAATCAATTTTCCTTCGTTATATGTGTTTAGTTTAAAAAAAAAAAAAAATAGCTTGTTCTGCTTTGGATTATGCCTCATGTTAGGGTAACTCGTGTGAAGTAATCAACACCCAGACACCTTCAGACAAAGTAAGATAATGTAAGAAGAGCTTTATTGATTCTCGATGAAAAAGTCAATCACAGTAGCCAAGCTTACTTCAAACATGCACAACAATATGCACTTCACTGTTAGCAACAAAACTGGGTGAAGTCTATGAGAAACAGCTAAGAAACTGAGTTTAGAGAAGACGGTATATCGACAACATAGGACTTATTTATATTAATTGTTGATTGATGATTGTTACCATCAACTTGTTTTCCCTGTCTTTGCTTTCTATCTGTAAACTCTCTTAAATGATTAGTCAGCATTAACATAAATCAATAAATGAGGCAATTAATTAACAGTTATGAGAACATTTTTCATACGCCATAATTAAGATTAGTGAAATATGAAAACCTTTGCATTAATGTATAATTTCTGACATGGAATTGGGAAGCAACTTCATCTAAATAACAACCAATCTGTCTGCAGCATAATAATCAAATTACATATAACCTGAGCACTTTTCTAAATAACTTGGATTACCCATGATAACATCAAATTTTTCCATCGCACTGTGGTGACTCAAATCATCTGTTATTAGAATTCAGGACCTACTCGCTGTGATCCATATGTGCTTAACCCCACAGTTATGTGATGCTTTACAGTTCTTGTTCAGGTTTATTTCATATCCAGTACATAATGGTCGTTCAAAAGCATGACTTAAGTCCAAAATGCTTTTACTCTGCAGAAATTATTCAAATTTGTATATTAACATAAATATCAATCATTAAGGAATAACATTGAAAATGTATTTTTTTAAATGAATTTCCCTCATCAATGAAAAGATATCCAGATACATTCAAAGACAACAATATCTCTAAAGAACCATTTAGCTGTAGTTATGGAGTTTTCATAACTTCCTCGTAAGAGTGAGCTGTGTTGTGATGAAATTATTGACCTTAAATATTAAAAATGTCTCGCTATGAAATCTATTTTTCAACAGGTGTGAAACCTTTGATCATACCACACAATCCTTCTCAGAGTGTGCATGCTTTTTTTTCTCTCTTCAAGAGCCTCAGTGGCACATTTTGAGTAATTAACCTTCAGCACCACACAGAGGCAGTGTTGCATTTAACATCCTTTTGTTGTTTCGGGCTGTAAGTGAAGTGTGAAGCTCTGCTTCATATCAGCAATCTTCATATCACCTAAATTACTGAAATGACACCATGAAATGAGGCTGTGATTTTAGTATTTCCTTTCAAAGCTTTGCTGTTGTCAAATTCTTCATCAAGAGGTAAAATAGCTCAACAGTGTATTTTTCTTTTTTAAACAGCAGTCTTGTATTTGTTTGTTTTTGGTGGCATTCTCCTTTACTTTTAGAGAAGAGGAACATTAACCACAACCTTCGGGGGACCTTAAATAAACAGTGTTGATTCTTCTTGCTCAGATATGTCTTTTGTTTTTTTTTTCAGGGGTCCTGTAAATTAAGATAACATGGATAGTAAAGAGTGAGGTAAACAAATAAACTCTATAAATGTTTGAAAATATTTCACAGCAATTTTTCAAGACAGATTGGTCCAGTACTCTCAGCCACATAAATTTACAATCATTCAGGAGGACCCTGGTTTTAATGAGAAAATATCTGCGTAATCAAATGCACAAGAATCTTTACACCCTTTTACATTGATTTACTGTAATCAAAAAGGCAAAAATTATTAAGATTTGTTGTATTTAAAATGAGTGCTTTCCTCCTCGCTAACTAGCCCACAAGCAATGCTTTCTACTGCCATCAAGTGGATTAAATCATACATTATTAGTCCATGATGTAACTAAATTCTTCCTTCTGTCACAGTGTCTGATGCATTGATTTATGCCATAAAGCAGATCTGGTCTGGCAGTAACTTATTAAAGGCACAGTCCTTGTTTTCTTCTCTTTTTTGGCCCAAAACATGCCAAATCGGGAATATGGCATGTGAGTGATACAGAGATGGTTTTTAAGCTATTAGAAACTAAACATTTTGACCTGAAAGCATGATTTCATCAAATTTCTGATGCTCCATGTTTCACAGTAAAACTCTTGACCTAATTGGTTCTTTTAAATTAAATACCCTGATCTCCCAGAATGACAAGAGGTGTTTGCTGCTGCTTTTAATCCACTCTTTCCCCACCTGTCTTTGGTGCTATTTTGACAGGATGGATGGACTTTATTGATTAAATCTCACATTTAGAGAGCAAAAGGATGGGTAATAGATGCATTCAAGGATTTTAGGTCAGAGGAAATTCCCTATATCACAGAGAAGTACACATTTCTGTCTGGGCAAGAACCCAAAACAGACCAGAGGAAGATTTAGTCTCTACGGTTGTTGGTCTCTGAGTGTTGGTAAAAGCATACTGTGGTATTTCTTTGTAATCGTTTCCTGATATGTCGGTACTCCATGGCCGGTATTTGCATCATTCCTAATGGATGTAAATAAATGCCCCTGTCTGCTGATATAAAGCATTGATTGCAGTAATTTTACAAGTTCTCAAACAGGCCAGTGCGTCATCAGGAAGCTGTAGCTGGCTGGGCTAGATAAAACAAAAGAAATATGTGATACAAATTCAAGAGTATAGCGCTGTGGGGATATTTGTAATTCACTGACATCCTCATGCACGCAAAGTCAAACACAAATCAGAGTTATTGTCAAGAATAAGCAGGATAAAAGTGTTGAGAGAAAGGACTGATATACTGAGGATAAGTGATGAAAGCTTCAGCAAAGATGCTGCATGATAGTTAGTGGAGGCGGTCAGTTTTATCCCGTTAATGCTTGGGAACATTAATGCACTCAAATCCACAGCTGAATGAATGAATCTGCAACATCCCGTCCTATATGTCTCAACCATTCAGAGAAACCATCTCCTGATGTTCACTTTTGCAGTCTGGCCTTTAATGCAGCCTTTATAAATGTCAGCGCTGCCAAATGGATCATTCTGACAAGCTCAAAACACGGAGCGCTGAGCTTTTGCACACAGGTGTTGATTAAGTTCTGTCAGGTGCTTTGAGAAGTTGTTTTCTATTCGGTGCTCTCTGTCAGCTTGTGAAAAGCTTTCATCAAGGTCTGTCAGGTTTTATCACATTTTTGTCCACATTCAGGCTTTTGTTATCAGTGTTATCAATTTTAACACCAAATATGAGAGGTGTGTTTAGACTTAGTGATCATTTACTGTACCTGTAGGGCTTGTCTGGTGTTAGAGATTGTGGCCAGTTTGTGTTTGAGTCTTATTCCTTCTGTTGTCAATGTGGTCCACTGGATTTAAAACAAATTACCACTCACATGCTTTTAGATACTCTAACTTTGATTAATATGCTATCAAGACTTTTATTTATTTATTGGACACTCATTTCGGACGGCACAGTGGTGTAGTGGTTAGCACTGTCGCCTCGCAGCAAGAAGGTCCTGAGTTTGAATCCGGGTCAGGGCGTTTCTGTGTGGAGTTTGAATGTTCTCCCTGTGTCTGCGTGGGTTTACTCCAGGTATTCTGGTTTCCTCTCACATCCCAAAAACATGCCTTAGTGGGGTTCAAATTGCCCGAAGGTGTGAATGTGAGTATGGATGGTTGTTTGTCTCTATATTGTCTCTGCGATGAACTGGCAACTTGGCCAGGGTGTCCCCTGCCTTTGCCTGAAAATGCTGGGATAGGCTCCCGTGACCCCGGGAACGGGAATAAGTGGCAGAAAATGGATGGATGGACACTCATTTCAATTCAAAATTGGTCACTTTCTGATTGTGTTCCTCCAGTAATCAACTGAGTTTCAAGGGTAAAACTCCCAATATAAAATCTTCTTTCCAAACACAATACAGAAGACATAAAGTAATCACTCAAACATTGAAGTGCGTTTGTTAAAATAGATTCCCATATTATGGGGTCCACTGTGTGCAAGCAACAGGTGTTTTGATTGTGTGTTTCTATGCCGCCCTCTAGTGTACGACTTAGATACTGCATTGCTGGAAAGCTACAGTCAAAATCAGCTGCAATCAAGCGCTTACAGAATTACCAAACAACCCTTCAACTCTGACCGTGGCCGAACTGTTTTCAGAGGCTCACAGCTGTGAATAAATGAGGTGTGGTCCACAGCAACTTCATAAACTGATAGTTTTTACCAAGACACTGAAAACACGTCTTCAGCATTTTAAACTAATTCAAAATTGTTTTTTTATGTTTCAGATTCAGACCAAATAATTGAACCTTTGTCTGAGGTTTCATATTGACAAAATACAGATCACAGACTCATGACCTTTTTGTAAACTTAAAGAGGGGTATGATACACATTTTCAGGCTTCACTTCATCTTAAGGACATCTTGAACATCTGTCTTAAACATCTTATTTTAGCTACTTTGTCTTTAGCCTCCCAGCACCATAGATCCCAGCATTCAGTTTGCCCACATTTAGTATGGAAATACAACACCTCAACTTAACATTTGTTTGTGAAATATGAAAAAAGCATGATACCACCTGTTGAACTATTGTCTTTTTTCTCTTTCTCTTTGGTAAAGACTTTTCATGAGGAGTACCACATCAGTAGAAATACACATTATTGTGAAAATTAAAGCTGAAGAAGTAAAGACTGAACCTGGTTCTTCTTTCTTAGAATGAAAGCACAAAACCCCCTAAAACACACTGCTGTAAGAACCACTTTATCACCTTCACCCAGATCTGCCAACACCTAATTTGTTTCCAAATGTCATTGTATCCTTAAGGCCTGGATGACAGGAACATCATGAACATGTCTGTCTCTGAGGCTTCAACTCAGTGTCCTTCTGACAATAACTGTTAACAGGGTTGGTGATTTGGGAATTAGAGCTCATTCAGCAGTCTCCAACAGTCATTCTCGGTTAAGTGAAAATTTAAGATTTAAAGGAGTATGTCTGTATTTGTCTCACTAAACTACATGTATTTAACTTTTATCTCAAACTTTTCTCCTTAACTATTTTGTCCTGTTTTTGTCCTCAGAAAGTTGTCATTAACACATTTCCAACTCTAAAATGTCCAATGTAGGAATAATAAATGGACCACCAGTTTATCCATATTTAGACTATGACTAGTGAAGGTCATTCCTCGTGTTGATGACCTCTGTGCTGTGACCAAACCTTTTCAAAATTTGATCTGCTGATTAATCTGACCAAAGTCGGCCTTTCCTGTCACCTTAACCGCCTTATAAACTGAATATATTATTACTTAGTCTCCTGCAAGCCACCCAGAACATGTCAAACAGCTCAAGCTGAGCCACATCGTTGGAACATAACACCCTGAGAGGTTGCATGTAAGTGCACATGGAATGTTCTTTTTATCATTTTTGAAAACATTTACAACTATTTGAGACAAAGAAAAAAGTTACAAACAGAATTGACCTGCAGTTTGCATTCATTTTCCAAATGTTACATAAATAAAACTCATATTTATAAATATCTCTTTTTATAAACATATAAATAGTTTTTTTTAAACATAAATACATTTATGCAGGGGAAGATGAAGTACATGAATGTACAGCAGCAGCAACAATATACAGCTTTGCGCTTTGTAGTTTTTACACCTTTGTCCGCCATCTTGTCAAATGCATCTGTGTGTGTCTGATGACCACTCGTATGGTATACACATATGTCTATATGTATATATGCCTGCATATTGTAATATATATTTATATGAAGGTTTTGTAGCATTGTCATGTCAGTCTTTGCTTATGCTGGTCATGGTGACTTTCGTACCAAAAATCTGTCTCTTGGTGACTTTTTCTCTTTTTTTCCTCAGGTGAACAACAAACGGAAACGTGGTTTTCCAATCTCGTTGTCCAGAGATCTAGAGGAAGAAAAGAAACAGGAGAAGAGTTAGAGTTAGACAGAGCATTTGCAAACAGTGATTCACTGGCGTAGCAGCTTTTACATCTGGTGCAGTTCCCAACATAATCCTCAGGCCTTTCATCCCTCTAAGAATCTCCAAATTAACTCTTCAGATTGAGTGTTGTTGTGACTCTTCACTTAACCATTTCACCTCAAACAACACGTGTCGAACACATCCTTCATATTTATAACACACTGTGAGCCCATGTGAGGAAAGACGGGTGTCAGTTGATGAAAAACACATCCCCTCACACTCCCCCGTCAGGACTTCACAGTTTGCCACAACCACAAAAAGGCCTCAGGCCTCAGGACTAATTGTGCGTCACCTTGCTTCCTCATTACTTCATTCACCACTGCAGCCCCTTTGTTGTTTTTGTTGAAATCACTTGGTTAGAGAGAATGGCTTTCCCAGAAAGATCCTGGCCACCGCAGGGTGCTGTGTGTTTATAATGTGCATGTGTTTGCCTGTCTGCATCTCCACCTCCCTCTCTACTTCTCCTCCTTTTTTGGCTTCAATGATGTATGCTACTAGTTTCTGGATGAAGCAGATGGAATCATTCATGATTATGTGCATGAGTGTGAAGGGAGACTTCCTAAATACCCGCTGGATAGTTTCCAAAACATCAGTTTACATCAGACTAAGTGGGCTTTCCTGCTGTCTCACGGGGGTTCCTGTCCTCGGAAAGGAGGGAATACTGCCAGACTACAAGTGCTTTAGTTGATATTACAAATTTAAGTCAATATGTCTTTCAGTTTCACTCAAAATCATCTCACATATCAGTTTTTCCCGGAAGAATCAGGATCACTCAGGCAGCTGAGGTTGATGATATGTTAGTCAACATGTTGAGCTTTAGATTTCTTCCTTTAAGCCAAGACTTGGAATTCATCACCCAACACAATGCAGGCATGCTTTTTTTCATCCCTCTTCACTTGCTGTATTTTGTTTTAGCTGTCACTAACACAAAGTTTTACACAGGCTCTGTAAACTGGCCTTGCTGTGGACCTAAAGCAGACACTTTCCAGAGTCAATCTTTGAGAACAGCAATAATTTGACTCGGGTTGTCTCATTTGGTTGGTTCTATCTTTCATGCTGGCTTTTTTCCCCTTCCACTCATTCCTTCCTTTCCCCCTTCCTGGCTTCTGTCTTTATGGCAACTATACACAACCTTGTTGAAAATGGCTTCATGAATTTACCTTTTTTTCTCAGTCATCCTTAGTTTTCCAAGTAAATCATTGAACTTTGATTTAAAAGCAGAGACTCAAGATATGATGTGCTCTCTTAATGCCTGTCTCTCTTTCCTATAAGATCAATTATTCTTCCCACCCTCCTTCAGTCCTTTTGGAGCATCCTTTCATAAACCAGGCACCATTTATCTATCTGGACGCCAGTTCACAGCCGGTATATCTGAGCACAGAGTGAGACTGATTGATAAGAACTCACCGTCACAGCGCTCCAGCCCTAGCATCCCATGCCACTGATGGTCCCTATCCTGTCCATCTTGTGTCCGAAGCAGCCACTGCGCGACGTGGAGCCCCCTTTCTTGTTTCCGGTTTTGTGTCTCCTCGGTGCGGGTTGGTCGTTGAGGAGACGAGCCCACATCCCTCTGGCCCGGGTGTCCATGCGTAAATCTCGCAGTAACCGTATCCGAGAGCGCACAGCGTCTAGTCGTCGCTCCCTCTCCTCCGACTCCAAAAACTCCGCCAGCTCCTCACCCAGCAAACTTCTAAGAGACTGGAACACAATAAACCATTTCCCATCGGTAAATACATGGTAAAGAAAAATATACTTTCACGAAATTACAATCCATGAATGAATCGTTGAGAAGCTCAGTCGGTTCTTGATTTAAAGCCAATGAAAACCGTTTTTACAAACTTCTGTTCAAGATTTGTTCATCACTTCAGCCTGTTTGACCGATTTTCATATAGATCTGTAAGATGTTTCAGTTATTCGATTAAAACCTGACACTATAACTCTTATCCATCAGACCTGTTTGTCGTTTTCAGCGCAGAGTTACACAAAGCAGGTGCCTGACGCCTGCTCATGAGGTCTGAAGACTGGGGCATCAGCTTCAAATCAAAGAAAATTCTAGAAATCTAGGCTTATTAACTCTTATCTAACTCTTCAACACCTCCACACTCTTTCATTTGTAACACACAGTTTCATTCGTTTGATTATACAGACCAATTGTATGCAAAATTGTGATTTTACGCACAAAACCGTTTGGTTTCTTGCATTTAATTTCGGGCAAACGATTGAAAAAAGACTTAAACTGAGTGGAGCTGGAACATCTTCAGAGAGTTAAGTCCTTTCTTGTGTTTGTTAAAACGTGTTTATAAATATTTTCATTATTTCCATCGAACAGTTTGATTAATTCTATGACTTCGTCTATGATCTCAAATGATTTACCAACCAAAAAGCAGTACTTGTGAGAGGTTCGACATGACCAAATGTAAACCATGTCACCTCTTTGTATTAAAAAAGAAATAGCAACATTTCTAAATGTTAAAGACTCAGGCGGTTGTTAGAACACTGTCTCTAAACTGCTTTACATGTCTGAAGTGATGAAATCTGATGCGTAAAAACAACAGTCCTGAGCGTCTGCACCACAGAACAGCTGTTCGCTCCTGCGGCAGCATCCAGCTCCCGAAGAAAAGGAACCACCGTTAACAAGGATACGTGACTTGGTCTTACCTTTTGCTGTGTCTGTGTCAAAGGTTTCGCCCCCATCTTCACTGAAAGCAGGGTGACCAAAAGTCCACAGGCTACCAAGTACGACAAGTTCATTTTGACAAGTCTCGTAATCTTGAAGGGATTCCTCCGCGCTGAAGTTCAGAAAGAGGGATGGAAGCGGCAGCCAATCAGCTGTTGAACATTCAAGGCTTCAGTCCGTCCTTTACTCCAAAGCTCCTCAAGTGCTCCTCTAACTCTGTGAATTACTCCTCACCGCTTTATAGCCAGCCCCATGGTGATGTCATGAAAACCTGCGTAATGGTCCTTCCTTCCTCGCCAACTCCCTGTTTTCTCTACCTGCTTCTGAGCACGTCATGTCACGGATTAATTAAATGATACAAGCTCCGGTCATCGGGGCTGAGGAGGAAATGAGATAGGCTAAAAGGTATCAAAAAACACAATTTTTTAACTTTCAGATCCTCTGGCTGGGGCGCAGCAGCTGAAACTGAAGGTGGGTTCAAAAGGCTGCGCGTCAGGAGCTAAAGAGCGACTTTGGCAGAGAGATTACCTCAAAGATGCCAGCCTCCTGCCCTGCGTAACATTTAAACAAGTCATACTCCACTGTGAGAGTGGGGATGACATATCTGACTTTACAGAAGAAAAGAAAATGTAAAGATGAAGTGAGGCATTCCAGTTCTAAAAATGTTTGGGTGTCTGGAGCTGCATCTTCTTAAAAAACGCATCCTAACAAGTCAAATTGCAGACATAAACATCTGAAGGAGCAACAGAGAAACATCACAAGGGCATCTTTAAATTCTCTTCAGGAGATCTCTTAGATGGGATAAAAAAATTGTCATTTCCACTTTAGCTGAAATCAAAGTTAAACAGAACTGATGGTTCATATGACAAGAAAAGAACCACATTCAACAGTTTCAGAATAAATCACCTGTTATTGTGTCTCTGTTTTGTGAATTGTTTGTGTGTCTTTCAGATTTCTGGTGGTTTGACTTGTATTCAGTCCAGTCACGCCATAAGAGGTACGTACAGGAACAAAACAGACACATGTCGAGGAAACACTGGCAGGCAGCCATGCAGCCTCACACTTTGAGCATCTAAACAGAGATCCCCATGGATGTGTGCGTACCTCTAACCACACAGCCACCAACAAAACACAGCTGGTCATTGTGTTACCTGTACTTACAAATACAATCAGCTGATTCCCATGAGGTGTACCAACTTCAGTGTTAATACATATTTCGGTTTTTGTCATCATAACTGATTTTTGATGTTGGTGATTATATCCTGTTGTATCGACATATAACATGAACTATCAAGTCTGTTCAAATAAAGTTTCATATATCAGTGCAGAAATATTTTAATACAATATCCTCCACACTGCAAAGAGCTTAAAACAGATAAAGAGTTTCAACAATCCTTAAGTTAATAAAGAGGGAGACAAAAAAAACTAACTTTTATCACCACAAAATTAAGATAACAGGATCTTCTTATACACTTTAAGCCTGACGCTCATCCTTAATTGTGATCATGTTGCTTCTATTTACTTATAACCTCTAATCTGACAAGTTAAATATTGAAGTTTCATCTTATTTTAATTCAGAGTTGTAGTTACTCTCATTTTCAGAGTCCAAGTTCGACCAGTGTTCATGGAAATGTACTGCAGATGGCACAACTTAAAAGTAAGAGTATCCAAGATTCAGTGTGAAGAGAAACAATCAAGAACGCAGACACGCTGGTTAATTACTGTGTATGTAAAGATGGAATAATAGTGAAGTCTGATGTTTTTCGCAGGGTGGAGGGGTTCTGTAAGAGTCCGGGCTGTGCGGAGCAGAGATACTATCTCACAGGCAGCACTGTCTGTCTTGGAACACAGAGTGGCAGTATTTGCTGTGCCGAAAAAGGGAATACCCCTTATTGCCACATGTTTACAAGATCAATACAGCCCTGAAAAAGTCAGACATTAATCACACTTCTTTATGAGTTTGTTAAGTGCAAAGATTAGGCACATAAATGTGAGGAAAGAAAATCAATTAATCCCCTTATGCTCCACATGATGGATCATATTTATCTCACGGCTGGATTTCCTCCAGACTTAAAGGTTGCGTAAAGACTACGTGAGGGATTTTTGCTGCACAGCTTTGATAGCAGCAGAGTTGTCACAGCTGACATTTAGCTGTTTAGGCCATCTTATTGTGCGAAAACTCCAATACTGATTTGATGTTAACATTTGCCAGGCTGTGTGTGATAAATCTCTGGCAGTTACTGAAACTACATTTTTAGATACTGAGAATATTTTAGTTTTAATTGTTTATTTTAAAGTTTAGAGAAGGATGTGAAAGGTAGAACGATAAGAGCAGGATAAGGTGACACAGGTGAAGTCTTGAAGAACTCAGGCTTGATATAGATGGACAAGCAGTGACTGGGTTGGAGGAGATTCACAATAATCTAAATGAAATGATAAAGTGACAGAGTAGAGTGGAGAACAGATTTAAAGTCTGACAGGAGCAGCTGATTGGTTGGAAGAGGGTGTGGCTAAACCTGGTTGGTACTGTGCTCAAGAGTAAGTGCGGCAGATCAGTTGATCTCTAAAGCAGGATGAAACAGAGAGGGAGAGAGATAAATGAATGAGTGATGAAGGTCCTCTTGATTAGGAACACAAATCTCAGGAAAGGAGAATTTCCTCTTTTAATCATGGACAAAATGAGAGGTCACCACACCTAATATTTACTGTAAAAGATGATTAAAATTATTTAATAGCCCCACATACTGTTTGTGAAAATGACATACTTTAAACAGAGAGTGCAGCACGTCTTTTTCCACCCCTTACATGCAGTCTGCTTTCACCTTTGTCCAGAAAGGTCTCATTAAGTCTAAATTATCCCTCTGAATCACCCAGCTTTTTTTCTTTTTCATCACTGATTAGAATTTTCTTCCATGTTTCAGTATCTGCACAATACAGTCAATGTACTAGATCTTTTGTGACCTGGATATTTTAAGCAGTAGTGTGTAACAAACCAAGCATTTGCTGAATTAAAAATACTGTGTTGGTATGACCTTCATTTTGAATTACATACTAGAAATGAAAGTTCTGTAACCGCTCTTTGTTTTTGTCCAGAATTAGATCTGTAACGGCAAAGGCTATCATTTCAAAGAGCAGGTAAGTGCTGGTTTTATTAATTCAGAGATTGTTTACTGAGCATTTCCCCCTCAATGTGTTGTTCTACTTCACACTGTGCTGCGTTTTCACATCTTGGCCAGATGCAGGGCTGTGACTTTCAGCATGTTTCTCTGCAGTATTTCAATCGAACCGCTCTTGCTTGTACTAAACATAAAACATTAATAGTATACATCTCAGTCTTGTTCTCACGACTGCTTTTTTTCTGTGCTCTGAAAATGGGATCACCATCCTTACATGTTCTGTATACTCACTAATGATTGTGCTGTGTTTGTTGTGAACTTTGATTCAAGTTTGAGTAAAAAAAAAATGCATAAGAAGTGTACAAGCAACAGTTTCAGATTCTAACCCTGTTATTGAGAGTTACTCAAACAGGACTGATTCCACTTGTTTTTGTGCTGATGGGTTGATGTAATGCCAGCTATCACCGGGTATGATGCTGTTGCGCTCCTCGCTAAAGGCTGGTCATACGCTGACTTCTACACTTGTACATCTTGAGACCACACATATGTAAGGACTGATTTTAACATTACAATCCTTTGAACACAAACCCACTAAGGATTTCATAAGACTGCTTCAAATGTGATCACAAAAATGTGAAGACAAACATACTTAAGAGGATAAAGGATGCCATCAGCTGGCTGTCCTGGGATTTCTCTTGCCTGCAACGAAAATGAAACAAGAAAAAGAATACAGGTGAAACCATGGTGGAGACAATGGTATATAGTCCACAGTTGTGTTTACATTCTCAGTCATGTTTATGAGCTGTAATGTCAAGTTGGTGACATTCCCCAGTCTGCTCCTTTCATGGGTCATTGTGGGTACTCCATTGGGGGAAATCCTGACTTGGTCTGGAGCAGAAACACAGTCGTATTGACATTGCACACTTGAGGATTATCAGTTTGATTATTTGTTACAACTAATTTGGATTTAGGCCTATCACATTTAAGTAAAGATGATTTTGGACTGGATTGCTGCTCCTAACAAAAATCAGTAAAGGCCCATTTTCAAGATTATTCTAGAGATGATAGGATTTGCCAAATTATCCTGCAGTGTGAGGTGTGTCAATAGAAATCATTCTTTTTCAGATCTGTTCAAAAGTATTAAACATGTTCCATATCGACAATAAAAAATCCTTATGTACTGGCCGAAACCTGACCAAGCATGCACTGTGAAAAAGTTATCCAACAGGGAGCAAGCTGACTAAAGATGGGTGCACTGTAAGTCCAGCCGCTATAGCGAGCACAAAAGTCGAACTTTGATGGACGACCGGAATATAGAAGCCTTTAGATGAAATATGGCAACACAAAAGTTCAAACTCAGGTAAGATCTTGACCTGAAGTTAAAGAGAGTTGAGGATGTGTCTGTATTTCTTATGAAGACCTCAATTACACAACGACAACTCAATGGAGCTGCTGAACTCCTACGACCTCATGTCTGTGATGTCCTCTCTGCTTTTAGTACAAAATTTTTCTCTGATTGTGAAATCTTTTATTTTGAATTTTAACAAGTGAGTGACACATTCTTTCTCAATGCCACAAATGTTATGTCAGAGGTTTGTCTTTTTTTTGGTACATTTAAACAATATTACACACTTTTCCAATGACATCATTATGTGTGGCATAACAGCACTTTTTTTATTCTGTCCTTTCGTCCCACTTTCTCATTTTCTTACATATTGTTATCAGCTTAATTTTCAAAAAATCTCACTGCTTTCATGTGATTTAGTGGAAAAATTGGCATTTTGAATGGTTTGCATCAAGAAACCATACAAACCAGCAGAGCGGCCAGTTGCCGTCCAAGTGAGTGTGTATGTGAGGATTAAGTGTCTCTGTTCCTTCTCTGGGGTTTGTGTAAGACAAACTACAAGGCTGTTATGGACCTATAAATAACGGTTTTATTGAGTGGGGAATTTTAATGCTTTTTACACAAGTGCTCTGAAGGCTTTCAAATGGGCCAACACCAAGCTTGTCTTGGGTTGAGGGACAAATGCTGAAGAATTTTGAACACATAATTTTTCGGATACAGAAATTATCAGCAAAAAAAGCTCTGTATTAAAAGTCTTTTATATCTATATTCTTTTATATAAGATTGATGAATATAACTGTGTTTTTTTTGGGACTGGAATTTATAAGTATTGAGCAATAATATCTTTACAATTTAAAACTAAACACTGACCTCAGTTTTTTATTGTTATGGGAATGGTGGTTTGTGACGCAGTTTTATCAGTTGATAAAATGTGTTTTGTTAAGGAGTGAGTTACAGACTGGTTATGCAAAAGGGGAGGTTGAGTGGGAATGGGAGGACAGTAGTGGTGAGATTGAACAATCAGGTGATAAGTGACTGAAGAACCTAAGTATAGAGTATAGGGGTGACATGTACTGCATATCTTGGTACTTTTGTGGAATTTTAGAGGCTGACAATATGAGTCTCTATGTCTTATTTCTTGATTCACAGGAGGTGAATTTTTTTGAATAACATATTTTTTGTCCGAAAAGAACTTAAAATTGGTGAAGTTCTAAATAGTCAAAATAAAAAAAAAACATTATGTATGATTATGCAACAAAAGCAGGAATACTTTCTTCTTCTATTTTTGAACAATTAAACCAACTCTGTGCATGACATTTTCTTTGTCAGAATAAATGTTTGATGCATACACACTCACCACTCTTTCAGGTTTGTTTAACGGTCATGAGAAGTGTAGTTTGAATGCTTGAGTGAAAGGATCCTTCCCAACACAAATAGAACCAATTTTGTCGGTAAAACACTTCTTGTTAGTTATATAACATTACACATTCAGCTCTTATTTCCTCCAATAATACCAGACGTGTTTCAGGCCCAATAATGCAGGTAAAAGAGCCTCAGAAGTATTTTTCTGTGTTGTTCATGCATGGAGTCAAATACAAAGAAAAACCACAAGTGGAATATATTCATAAGAACAATGGAGTTTTATTGTCTGCTTCAGAACTAATGTTTGAGTTTTTATTGTAATTCCATAACCAAAATATACTCTGGATTTTTGAGCAGATGTTAAAATGGCTAAAAGAAAAAAAAAGCAAGACGACAACTTGAGTAATCCATGATCAAACCGTCCACGGGATGAACATCTCATGGTGACAACATCATGACCATGGCACTGAACTTAAAACCACTGGAAAATTCCAAGCTAGCAAAAGGACATCTTAAAAATGAACCACAATGAGAGGTTCCTGTGAGTTTAGACAATAATACACACGTCTCACAGCATGACACCACTGTCTTTTTTTGTTCAGGCAGGTTACTTAAATGCCAGGAATACTCCAGCCATGTTTTTACATTCATGGCATATTGCATCAACTGCATAAACTTTCAATCTGGATACACGAAGAAAGGAACATTTGAGAGACACTCTTCAGTCAAAAGCTAATTTGGAGCAGATATTTGTTTTCTGGACCACAAGCAATGTCTGGCTTTTATTTTACTGGATTTGTGCACAAATTGCTAACATCCGCAAACACTGGGCCAAAGATACCAGTATGACAGCATGTTTTTCTTCATTGCATAATACGAAAAAAATAGTAACAATCACTATAATTAGAATTAACATTTCAAAACCCTCTGATTGCCATTAATGTCACCGCCGATGTTGACATTAGTTTTAAGAATTGTAAAAATCAATCGTATATACACAGATCAAAAGGATTTATTCCTGCGTTCGCAGCACTGCTGGGCAGAGCTTGTGGCAGAAATGTTTCTCTAAGTCACTCCAACGCTGGCGAGTCTCTTGTGTTTTTTAAACGATGTGGAAAGACGCGTGTTTGGGGTTTGGGCGACACATGCTGTGACAAAGCCACATGGAAACAAGGATATTTCACCGCAGATATATGATCTTGGATCCAAACAATTCGCTTGGCTTTAAATGAAGTGCGAGACAAATGCTGCTGCACAAAAACACTGTAACACACTGTTTCCCTTATTATTATTTTTTATTCGAGAACAGTATTCCCACAATATCTAATTTATGAGTAATTGCTTTTATAACTTACTGTGAGTCACACTGATGTAAAATATGTCATTCATGGTTTTGCAAGTACTAACAGCTGTTTCATCTGTGCACATCAGAATGACATGTACCGCTGCAGCTGCCTCACATCCCTCTTTGCCACTGAACAAATCACACAGTGTTTTATAATTGGCGATAATTTGAAACATTGTTAGACTGTTAGAGATGTCAGAAGTTGTTTGGCGAGGCCACACCCTTGCTGAAAGACACCTAATTTTGTGGTACACAAGTGAGTTTAATGACTTCTAAAGGCACCATTGATACAGTACATAGCAAACGAGGCAATGCCATTAAAGAAGAGAAACCAGCCAAGACAAAGAGGTGTGATACAATTACTTGACTTAGGTCTAAAAACAACAACTTCCTTCACCGAGAGACAAAATATTTTGAGTCACATTTGTCGTAATGTCTGAGGACAAACTTGCTTCGAAGAAGTGATGTAACCCAACATCGGCTGAACTACAAATCCAGAGCTGCAGACGCTTCACGTGAGGTCACTTTGTTACTCCTCTTGAAAAACAGTGAGCAAAGTGTGTCAGGACAACCACACAGGAAACTTAAAGGCATGGGGAAGAGTTTGAGGGCACCGAACTGACGATTCTACCCGGGAGCTGCTCAAAATGAGTCAGAGAAGGATTTTCATGGTTTGATTTACAAGAATAAAGAGGTTGAATTTAATGTGAGATGAAAAATAAGGGGCACAGTTGTGTAGCTGGGTGTACGGATTAGAATCACTTAGTGTTGGGTGGTATGAAGGTATATACCATGTGACGGTATAAAAGCGTCTACCGGTAAAAATTTTGCTATACCGTTTATACCGGAGAGAGAGAGCAGATGTCTGCTGCATCTCTCTGAGTCAGTGTGTAGTTGTTTGCGCTCGCTAACAGGAAAGCCAGGGCGCATTAGTTTCCGTATATTCACCAGCGTATCGTGTGGAATTTGTTCGCTCCGTTTGATTGGCTAGGTTTGGGTGCGCTCCCTCTAATCACCAGCATGTCCAGCAGACTGCTTGGCAGAGTTTCGACAAAGAAGAAACAGCTTCACTGGTGGTCATGGCAGACGTGGAGATTAGTGGCAGTACCAAGCAAACGGAGGCAGCCTATCCCACCAAACACGAGGAAGAGGAGGAGGAACTCGTTCGGAAAAAGGGCGCGTGTCGCAACATTGGTTGTCTGGAGATTCTTCAGATTTAGAAAAATCCAACAATGATCAAAAAACAATACTATGCAAGGAGTGTCATGTGGCTGTCGTTGCTGGAAGTGGAAACATCAGCAACCTCTTCCACTACCTAAAGATGAAACACGCAAAGCTCTATTATGAGAGGCAAAAGGTGCGTGGCGCACCCGCTGCACCAAAAACTTAAGTTGCAGCAGCTCCTCTCAGAGTCTTTTGCCAAAGGTACGCCATGTGATAAAAAATTGCCAGACTGGTCTGACATTTTGTTTGCATTTGTTTACAAATCCGAGTTTAAAAATAAAAGGAAAATGAACAAATGCGACAGTATGTTTATTTTTAAGCCATTAATTGAATTTACAGGGGGGAAAACATACCTTGATATATACTGTTACTGTGAAATGAAATTACTCATACCGTGAAATAAGATTTGTTCTTACTGCCTGTGTAAAGTGTTGTCCATGTCTTTTTCAAAAAATATTCTCTAAAATGTCATCACGGAAAATGTTGGTTAAATCTCAATATTTTTAGATATTTCTGGAATAGTGATTTTCATGTTGTCATGACAGCTGTCACTAGAATAAGATTCTCTCTTTTGGAAAAGTACCAGAATGTTCCAGATTACTGGAAATGAGCCACCATTGTGGCCTGTCTCTGAAACCTGCATTTAGGAGTCTAGCTGCCACTTGGAGCTGTGATAGCCACTTGCACACCCAAGCAATTTCAAACCAGATGAAACATCTGACAAGTGCAACAGTGACTTTGTGAGGTCCTGCCCAGATTAGGCAAACCAAGCCAGTGCGGCAATGAGGTTTTCAAAATAACCTTCGCTCCCAACTCCCATGTGCCTCCTATTTAGCGGGTGATTTCTGACGTCAAGTTAGGTAGACCTGCGCAAAGGCCACACAAGTCTATAATGAGAAAGGCAAAATACAGACTTTTTATATTTACAGCGAGTGTGCGATTTGCATATTTTGTAACTATTGTGTTCTTTAGCTGAGAAAGTGTTTGTGTTGGTGAATACAGCACATTGAAAGTGTGTTGGAGTCTCAGCTCGACTCATAAACTCATTTCACCTCTGGTTTCATTTAACATGCATTGATTTAATCGTACAGGACCATGCAGACACAAAATTGTTTAATCTAGTTTAATTGTATGGCTAACAACACTGAATAGCTCATTTATCTTTGTATTACTGAGCACAAAGGCGCTGCTCAGAGGACAAGGCACAGGTCTGGGATCCTTACACTTCAAGAGAAACCTGTTGGCCTAAGACCTGAGAAAAAGCTTGATGGCAGTTAACTTCACAGTCAGGAGCTAATTCAATAAAGATCTTTTTTCACCCAGTACGCCGCTACAGCAGAGCCTAAACTGAGAGAGGGTTGAAGAACGTAACTCAAGCACCATGAAAGAGTGCATGAGTTGCCACATTAAAGGCAAGCTCAGGGTGCTGTCAAGCAGCATTAAGTGCAGCTCACATAAACTTGTGTCACAGATAGAACTATGGACTGACTGTGAATAAACTGCACCCTAACCCCTGAGTGACCCCTATTTGTGAACTGTAACTCAGAGGGCAAGGACAGTTACAGATAAGAGTGATTGGTGTTCTTTCATATATGTCTATTGAATCACACATTTTCCCATCTTAAATAGCTGTTACAACAATGTAGACCAAAACCACAAACACCACTTGACAGCAAAGTAAGACATTCAGGATTAGCGTTGGAAATCATGGCCACCAAGGCAAGCTGGAGTGTGGTAGTGACTAGAACAGCCTTGATAAACAGCAGGTGCTTCCTTCTTCAGTCAGCTTGCTGCCCGAGTTGTTGTATGTGAAAGCAGACAAAATTCATGATAGACGGCGTCAGGGATCACCCCACACTTAAGGATTTCTGACTGTAAATATGAACATGTTTAATTTACAATTTCAAGTCAGGGAGACTACACTCCTCATCTGTGTGGATCGGAGTGTTGAAAAATCAATCTTAACATACCTCACACCACAGGATAACATGACAAGATCATTTTTAGAACCATCTTTTGTAGTGTGCACTCCACTGAAGAGCTGGGATGGTATGACCCGAGACCATTTCCACACAGCCTTCATCCAATCAGGTCCTGACCCTCGCTTTAAAACATGCTGGAGCATGTTGCTTTTTCATATGAGATGCTTTCTTTGGTAATTCCTTTGTTTCAGACAAGAAGTGGCTCCTGGGTAGAAGTACTCTTCTGTAAAAGTGGCTGATATAACATTGGTAACAGCACAACATGTAGAAGGACATATCTATGAACTCTGGAGTGGAAACAATATACAGACAAATGAAGAATGTAGGAAACAGTACTTGAAACGCTGTCATCAACATAATCAAATGCTAATTTTGAGCAACTGAGCCAGTGTACTCACATATCTCTTCAGCTGGACCTTTAAATATCTTGGTTTTAAGAGGTTTGACAGAGGTTTAACACTCCCTCAACATACTAAAAACAAAGTGTGTTGTTGACCAGATTTGGTACAGCACAGATCCAGAATGAATACACGCAAAATTTGGATAGATAGTAAGTTAATCTGTGGGCGTGTTTGTGACTGTGCTTTTATTCTACTGTCAGAAAAAGTGCCACTTAGAGATCCATTATAGTTCAAACATTGCATTTGCTTTGGCTTTATCGTCTTATTGTAAGTACGATATTTTGCTGTAAGGGACTGAGGCCTGTCTCTGCTATAGCCAGGCCAAGCGCCTAAACCAGGCTTTTACAGTAGGAAGGAGTGAAGCACACCAAGGTTTACCACCACACTGGGATCACCAGCTTAATGAAGGCTCGCCCTATTCCACATTCAAACCCTGCATCTCTTGGCACCTATCCGTCAGCTTGGGCATACCGGGAGCGTTCCCATGGAAAAGCTGTTAAAAGTGGTGGCCACAGTAGCGAGAATGAGGACAAGTTTCCATCATGTTCCGGCCAGCTGAAGAGAGATTTACATATCGCACTGCCCTATAGAATTATCAACATTAAGAGATGAAGTTGGTTCTGGTTGGCAGTCAGGGGAGCTCCACTTTGTCTCAGTCTTTTTCCATTCTGGCAGCTACAGGTGTATGCATATTCAGGTCTGTTTCCTCTTCATCCTTTAGGTGATCTATGAAGGGTCTGCACTTGTTTTTGCATTTTCTCTTTGTTGCTTAGCAGACTGACTTTTCCGCTGGTTAGGTCTTACCAGTCACCCTTAAAAACAAGCCTGGTTCTGATTGTTGGGAAATCATTGGACGGAATCAAATCAGGGACTGCAAAGTCTGTGACTGAGGCGTCATACTAAAGGGCGTGGGCCCACCTCACATTTCCCAATCAGCATTTCCTTTCTCCCCTTTTATGAACACATTTGTCAGCCTTTATTCATTACCAGCTAATCTTGAGGATTTGTAACTAAAACAACAAACAGACAAAAGGTATACATCAATCGGGGGGAGAGTAGTGTTCTATGAATCAACAGCATGTTTATAGTTGGCCAACTCATACATCATGCGAGTTCTTCCATGAGTCGACCCTACGCTTTGCAATAGTTCAAACCCAATAATGTTCGACAACAGATGCTGTGATTATTCTGCCTTATCTGGAGTCCTAGTTTACCGATTTTGAAGCATGACAAATGGGTTTGCATTCACTTTTTCCCTGATGATAACCGTGAGAGCTTCAAAAATGATCTGTATTAACTATGAGGCAGCATGTTAGACCACTTAAGTATTTAAACAGTAGCTACCATATCACTGACTTTTTCCTGTTGCAGTTCTTTGGTTGGTTTTATCCTCATTTACCCTCTTCTGTGGGCATGTGAACACTGAATTAGTGTTTGCCCAAAAATGAATTATCAAAAAGAGCCAGAATTTAATTTTGAATTGTTTCCAGATTATTACTTATGAAATGTTGGATGAAATGTTGGAAGCCCTTTTGTTATCATTAGTTTTAATATTTTTTTCCCGTCACTGAAAGGCCCTAAGGCTTTGAAATTATATTGTGGCATTTTGCTGGCACCGTGTTAACAGGTAGATATCAATCTTGTTTTTCTAAAAATGTATCCACACTCCTTCGCTTGGCTTTTGATGTGTGAGATCTGCACCGTAATGATCACCTCGTTGCTCAACGGCTGTCAATCTAGTTTTGGCTTTCACACATTGTGACTTGCAGAAAACTCATGGAAATCACTGATACGATCTCTGTTTATTTGGTTATTGCTGTGTCAGTTTCTCCTCTGGTTTACAGACCTTCAATACTTGAGCTGAAAACTGTCATTCTTCGGGACCCTCCTTGAATTAAAACTATTCATAAAACGATAACTGCAAAGTATGATCGTAGATTAGTTTTATGAGATCTTCACATACATCATAACTTGTACGTCATAACGTGGAAAACAATGAAACAAGTAATCTCGAGTATGTTCAAGTTGTGGCCTAGACCTTCCTCCCATCACCCCCTGTGCAAAAACATGTAATAGATTGAACCACATGACACTCTGTATTCTTGCAATATGATTGGATGTCTGCCAGGTCAGAGGCAGATTCATTTCTAATTTTTTTGACTGTGTTGTAACAAGTTGTGGTATTTATTCAGATTTATTGGTTTTTACCCTTACTACTATGACATTTGGAGATTTTGTACTTTCTGTTCCCCACAGAAAAAGACAAACCAAGAAACGCTAAAACTGTTGGATGGCCAACTGCTAGAACTAAAATTGATATCATTTGTAGGACAGTGATTTTGAATAGATGCCATTGGAATAACGGTGTGTCCAAACATATTTGTGGCACCACGTTAATAAAAATCTAGACATGTTCCTGGCCATTGCTGATGGTATATGCTTTCAATAAATAATTTCAATGTATTAAATGGGTCAACTGTGTTTTTGATAAACCTCTCACTTTTCCATATACACGCATGTAAGAACCATTTTTTATTAGGTGTAAGGACAGATCATGTCCCCACTTACTATTTCTTCTTGGGCTACAGATTATAAAGACATTATTTCATTCCCTTCAAACACACACGCCTGCATTGTTTTTACTCCTCCACTTCGCTGACAGTGAACTCTAATTCTGAGAAGTGTGTCTTTCTCATCACCGAGATGTGGTATTAATGTTAAGTGACCGCATGCATTGTAAAAGAAATCTTTTTGCATGTTAATCTGCTCCATGAGTCACAATGATTTTTCGGAGTCTGACGTTCTCGTTTTAATATGAAAATCTAAAAAACACTCCACTTAATTCAGAGCATGTTAACATGTGGTGAGCAGTCATACGCAGAGTGACTCTCAGTGACTGACTGAGTGGTTTTAGCCTCTTGCTGAAGGGCTGCTGGCCAGGATGTACGGCTGTTACTGCAATTGAACCCTTGTCCTTTACATGATGGGACGGTCACTGTAACCACAAGGCCACCCTACCGCCCTGAATAATCGTTATTAGCTTCTCCAAATAAGAAATATACTTGTGGAGCGGAAGGGAAACCTTTCGTTGGACGTTGAGTGGGTGGTTGTAAAAGCAAGACCTTAGGCTGCCCTCACATTTGGGAGGAGCTTTTTCCCAAATGATTGCCATCATTTGTCGCTGCACTAGAAGCTGGCAGCAAGTCCTGGACGGAGACGTTTGTTTCCTCAAACACTGCAACACTGAATGGTGGTGTTAAACAGTCAGGTTCTTTTTGCAGGTAATTAGCAATAAATGGAGCAGTAATGTGGCAGTATGGCTCCTTTGTCATTCTAGGCTAATATTAGCTTTCTTGACCCCTACAGCAAACTTTGACTGAGTTCACATTTGCATAAAGGTAGTTGGTGGACACAATGGAGAGCATGCACAAAGCTCCTTTCTGTAGAACCTACTTAACTTGTTTCTAGTGTCTTTTGTTATTCTTATACGTTATGATAAATCCTCTACTTTGACAAGATCTGAGCATTCATCATAAAGCTTGGCCATCCAAAGTAAATGACCCAGTATCTAAAAAAACAAACTGCAAAACAGCCATAGCTTCTGCCCTGCAGCTTTGAATGTTGCAATCACTATCTGAAAAAATATTATCTCTCAAGGGCTTGTGGAAACTTTTCAACATGTCGGATGTGATTTTTAACGGCCCATTTAAAACTCATGTCCAGATTGTCACCTCAGTGATAGATTGTGTTAAACCCAAGTATTTACAATACTCTCCTTTTAATTCAAGGTTTGATTCTTTCAGGGATATTTAATGGGCTAGTAAAATAAAGATCTGGAAAATCTGAGGACTCTTCCTTGCTGTGTACATCACAATGTGAGTGTCTGGGTGAACCCAGGTCACAGCACAGCAAGTAATCCCTGGTGTTCTTGCAAACGCACACAGAGTCTACAGTGGAGAAAACATTACTGTCATTATAAATACTACCCATTGACAAGCTGCAGTCTGTGATGTTTTAGTTCATAATACAGTTACTTGAGAGTCCCATTAACGAACACACACACAGGATAAAACTGTCAGACTTCAAACTGTTTTCTGACACTCGAATAATCAATCTCTCAGTCCTGTCTTATCATGCCCACTGATGGCTGCTGTAGTTCTTTGAGGTGATGATAAACTTAAGTGTGCAACAAGTGTATGTGTGTGCATGTCTCTGTATCCTTTATGCAAGTTTTTGTAGGAGGCTGTCAATGCCAAAATGGAAAACTTGGTTTGCATCCAGCTATAAAGCATTTGAGCTGGAATCCCTGAGGAGTCGCTCACCAAGTGCAGTAGATCATTTCCATGAGGTAATAATCATCATAATAATCAATTTGCCCTGCAGACGCAGTAGTTCTTCTGCCTTAGTATCGTGGCCTGATTGCATTTCCATGAAGTGATTATCATAAATTTTCTTCCTTGAGCTGTGAAACTCCACTGCACTCGCTGATCGGCTCGTCAGGGCTCACTCGACAAACAAGCGGCTGCTAGAGGAAAGTGGGTGAGTTTTGATTGGTCTCTTTGAAGAAATTAGGCAAAGTTAGAAAGATGCTTGATGGCTAGTACTAGGGCTGGGACCCTATATGTACTGCTGATGAAGTTGGGTGCTGTTCTGAGCATTATTTGTGGCTATAGAGTGGCTTTTTGGTTGAGGTTTGCGCGTGGAGATGTAGACAGCTGTGTATTGCCATCGTGTGGTCATAACTAAAGTTGGTATAACTAGAGAAGCAAGCAGTCGGAAACATTCATCTCTCAAGAGGGTGTCTAACTTGGTGTCATGGTGTGTTTGACCCTAACTTAATTTTACGCTGGAACATCTCTTTAAGGTAATGGTAATCCTTTCTATTAATAATCCATACTAAAAGTCCTTCTCAGTAATATGTTCAGAACCGAGCGTTTCTTCACATCTGTCTCAGGGAGGGTCAAGGTACACATTGTGTTTTGGCATAGAAGACACAGAGTTGTGAGTGCAATACATAAAAGTCCTAACAAGATCACATGTTGGGGTGTGCACTGTGTGTTTCTGTGTGGTCTGTCTAATACTGTTTGGTCTGGCATGGATTGTGTTTATACGGCAGCATGCCTTGTGTTTGCATGGTGCTTTAAAAGCTTAATATAGACTTCTCAAGTGTGTACATATTGGCTTTGTAAAAGTACTGTCATGTCTGACTGCATCCAGTATTAATGTGTGTGCTCTGTTTACATGCGTGAGGCAGACGGAGCTTGTTTCAGCACAAAGCCCTGTAAGCCTTAACCAAAGAAATCTTGTGCGGCGGCTGCTGCAGTGAAGTGCTGTGTCAGCCGAGGTCCGCCAAACTGCTCCTGGAAGTCTGCCATGTTCTTCGAGGGTTGCTGCTGCTTTTGCCATGTTGTCTCCTGCCCTGCTGTATCCTCCCTGAGGGAGATTCTCCTGCTCTTCCTCAGTGCTCCTCTTCTCTTTCTGCCTCTTCTTTTGACTGACAGACCTTTTGGGCTGAGCTGTAGTGCACAATCACTTCTGTTCAGACAAGAGTGTCAGTTTTACAGTACAGGCATTTTTATATTTTCTCATTTGCTGAGTCAAGGCTCATTTGGTGAACCGAGGAACCTCAAATTTTCTGGCTAAGTAATGACAGATTGGCGTTTGGAGGGAATGAATGGGGTAGGGAGGGAGCCTGTGGCTTCAGCTGAAAAAGATACAGTGTTTTGACAGTTTAGCTAGTTAGCATCAACATTTGAAGTTTTTAGCATCAGAAATAAGCGATGGGAAACTCAGTCATTCATGTTTTTCATTCACTAAAACATCCTTGCCTTTTATCTGCGCCTGTAGTGGTTTTGAAGTGAAACCCAGCCCAAGAGATAACCTCTGTTTTCATTCATTTTGTATATAAGTCAGTTGGTCAAATGACCAGACAGGAAACACACAGCAAAGGGAACTTTTTATCTGCCTTCAATCTGCTGAACACTTGGTGTGAAGAGGTTCTGCAGAGGGCTTGCAAAGGTTATAGGAAACACGGTTGGAGACCTGGGCTCATCCTGTGTGATCTGTTTTGAGAGTCATCTGAGGTAGACCATTTGTTCTGGGTGGGGATGTTGATTTGAACTATATTAAGGGATGGAAACCCAACAGCGGTGCCTCAAGTAGGAAGAAACACCCGAAAGGCGTCTGTCTGGTGCAATTTGGCAGAGAATAAAAGGCCTGGTGTCATTAAGAGTGAGACCATTAGTTTAGATAACACATTTCTGGATGACTCCCGACAAACATGAAACTAAAGGGCATTGTTGAAGAGGAGGTCATCACTGTCAGAGTCTGTGATGATATCAGAACGTAGTGGATGACTCAGTTTGACAGATGAATAGAACCATTGTATGAGTCAAAAACATGCCACAGATATTTCACCTGTTGAGGTGCAGAAAGGTATCAAGATCAACCACCAGGGTTCAAGACCACATGATCAGATTGGAAAGGATTAGTATACATTCAATGCATGCCTTTACAGATAAACGTATTTAATATAAACACAAATTCAAGGAAAAGGGGGTGAGGAAAGGAGAAAGGATCGAGTCCAAGTTCAGCAGTGAGATACAAAAGTTCACCTGAACTGTTCGTTTTATCCTCAAAGACTTTGGCACTCAGCTCCTGTTGTTTGAAAATGAGTCACTGAAAATCTGGTTGTCTTTAATGAGGGTGACACCTTTTCCTGTTTTCTCCACATTCTGGCAATTTGGAAAATTTCCACTCCTTTTGAGTGAGAAGAAATAAACATTTGAGGAAAAGAGGAAGGAAAATATCCCAGCTTTCTCCGTCTCTTTTGGGCAATATTTATATTTGATGCACGGAGATGGTAGTCTGTGGTGTTTTATAATGAAGAGGGATTTCTTTTGGACAGCAATCACTGACACCGAGATTCATTTCTGTGGATTTGAACCTGTCCAAATTTGTAGTGCAGAGGTAGGACCCAAATGCAGATGGGAACAGGTAGGCTGGAATATATTGTGAATAAGATGACCTACAGGTAATTATGATTAGAAAAACATGCTGACAAACTGATGATGAAAAAAGAGACAGGACGGTCAGATTTCAGAGAGAGGACCCAAGACGAATGACAAAAACTAAGACAACAATGATGCAACAAGGCAGAACAATGACGATGAGTTGGAGACAATAAACAGGTAAGATCTGGATACTTCTAAAATGGACAAGAAGTGAGGAGAAACAGGGAAACCCACTGAAGCCTTTTTCTTTTCAGTTCAAGGCACCTGTGTAACACTGCTGATCTCTATAAAAGTACACAGGCATGATGGTTGCAAGGCTTTGTTGTACGGCGCACTTGCAGACTTGCATTACAGAAAGGGTTTGCGATACAGCCCCATTAAAGGGGCAGATAGCAGATGTCCCTGTAGAGTTTTTAGGGACACCAAGCAGGATGTGTAGGAGGGACCAATAACTATGTTTCAGGAATAAGGTGGTTGAGACTGCCAAGGGTTTCAGTTGGGCTCCTGCCATCTGGAGCAGAGCAGGATCCCTGGGGCAAGCTACCTGGAGCCAGGACAGAGGTGGAGCAGGAGCGTCTAGGCTTGGAAGATCTGGCTCAAGATTGAAGCAGGGTGCAGAGTAAGTTTGGACACTCAGAGTTGAACCTCTGGACCCACAAAGACAGAAAGCTGTTGTAGAACTGTCTCATGAGTTAAATGCAGCTCAGAAATTGGACTCCTGCAGCAGATTCACTCAGACAGGTGACTTTTGCAAAAGCTGTGCAAGAACATTCCTACTTGCCTGACCCATCAGGATATAGAGAGTGCTCGCCATGGACCACCAGATTGTGTAACAGTGCTGGTTTAGGGTTTAAAAGTTCCACCTGTAAGGTAGTAGAAGCATCCGAGAGGGCTCAATATGGAGCACAAGGGGGACAGTGGCTATAAGAAGGCAAAGGGAGCATGAGTAAAGATCTGCAGTCTTGACTGATGGGACAGGGTTGTCATCCTGGAGTTCACTGGTTCTGAGTAGAGGGGAAACTTCTAGGTTACACATGTAGTACAAATAAATAATAAAAAGTTATATGACCCCTCTTAAAGTGCTCCAAAGGCCCAAAGAGACTTAATTGTGCAGGATCTTGCCATGCTTCAAAATATTTTTGAAAAACCTGTAGACTTAATGTATGTGAAAATCTAGTCTTTGCTCGTAATCGTTTTTCTTGCCCTGACTAAAATTGATTGGGGAGGAAAGTGGTGAGTATTTCTCCTCAAGAGCAAGGCTGTATTGTGACAGGAAATGTTAGTGCTTCTCTGCAAATCAGCACGTATTCAGCCCTGCTCTCATGGATTAATATGTCAGCCTGCATCACTTCAATTGACTCAGTGCCTGTCGCAAAGAAATCAAACTCTCTGGTCCCACCCTCTTTGGTTAGCCACAACCTTCAGACAGGAAAATAGACAGCAGGAAAAAGCTCATCAAACTGCACAAAAATCTTTGGAAATTGTTACTCAGACAATGATATTACACTAATCCAACTCAACCGCTATCCAGCACGTAACCAAACAGATTAGCAGAAGGCTTCTGCGCTGGTTCTGAGAAGACATTGCTGTGTTAGGTTCACATCATCTGCTTTGACACTAACCATACTTGGCACCATGACTTCAGTGAAACTAGTGTGACTACCACAATGTCTGGCCACAAGAGGCTAGCCGGACTGGCATGAGCTTAATCGCTACCACATGTGTGTGATCACAAAACGTGAAGCTGTGCTCTGGTTTTATGAGTGTATGGTTATGGCAGAGATGATAATATAACATGCTGAAAGAAATGTACTTCACTTGGGTTTTGTGTCTGTTTATGCTCAAATGGTAAAAGTTCAAGAGGTAGTCCACAAAATCCTTATTTTGTCATGCTGGAACATCGTTGGTGTGAAGGGTTCATAGCTGTGGTTTTCCTGTGCTGTATTTCTCGATGTTCATTTGTCAATCAACCGTTGCAGCTTGGGCTGTGATGGTTTTTCCTTTAATATGTCTGTTAATACCAAATGGAGTAGCTTTTGCTCAGTGGACTGCAGTTCAAACATTAATGTACACTCTTGTTCACTAAAAATTAAAAATTAAAAAAAAACTTGGCTGCCGGAACAGTGTCATCTTTTACGAATAAGGACTTCCTAAATACTTGGTGTATAGGCAAGGAAGTCTTGTAAACAAAGATTTGGGGTGCAGGTTGCAAAATGAAGGTGCATTCCCCATCCCTTAATTGCATTTAAATTTGCAACAACTGAAATGAACAACTCCTTGCACTGTCAGCTTCAAGTCTTTACTCAAAAAAGATTTTCCTCTGCATCCCAACCAGAAATGATCATGTAGTGTTCCACTACCTTTCACCTGTGATAAAGTGACAGTATTAACTGTAAGCACTCTCACTGTCCAAGAGTCATGTGACCCCAAACTCTACCTATGAACATTAAACTGGATAATACTTTATATCATGGCATGCTACATCTTACCTTAGCTGGTGAGAACAGGATAAAAACCACAGACTGTATATACTATGGACAACTTGGTTCCGCCTTCCACAAGTATACAGATTTGAGGCGGGAGAGAGTCGCTGTGATGACGCTCGGCTCAAACAGCGCAACCCTTGTATGCCTATAGGCTGTATCAGGTGTCACTCATAGAAAACATGAACCCCCTAATAACTTTTAAAAATGGACCTGTACAGAAAAAAAGAGGACTTGAGCACAAATCAGTCTCACAATAACTACATGTCAACATTGCAACAAGGGGGAAGAAAAATTTATGTTCAGTGTAATAAATTTCTAAAGTTTGTCCACAGCTCCATATAAACTTTGCTGACGGGGGCAGGATTTACGACCTATACTGCAGCCTGTCACCAGAGGGTGCTGTTCTCGGAGTGGTTTCACCCAGCGAGGAGGCAGACGGCGTCTATTCTATATTCTACAGTCTATGATAAAAACACTTCAGTAAGGCATGATTCAATGTTTAAATTTAAACACTGCTGGTTGCATGTCTGTGTCTGTGATCACCTGCTGTCCAGGAATGACCTGAGGGTTGAAGCCAGCTGGATGCTTTTTAAGGGATGACATATTGTAAGGAAAAAAATGACAAAATATGATTATTGTTTAGCAATGATAAGGCCCTGATTTCACATAAATCAATCAGTTGCGTAGTATCTATCCACCCATGCTGGTTTTAGCAATCATAGCAACTAAGATAGAAGATCCAAGTTGCAGTGTTGATAGATTAGGTTATATAGAACTTTATTATTCCTTTTGGGAAGGTTTCTCTGAGGAGGGTAAACATAATAAATATATAGAAGTTTGCAATTGTGAAGTAAGTATCAGTTTTGTATCGTTTTCAGAAACTGTAATTAGTTTTTGAATTTTCCTGCTTCCTTTTTGCCTGCCTTTCAGTGAGAGCATGTCCCATTTCGTAAGAGTTTGTAGCGTCCAAAACAAAGAAGACGCAATCAAGATTACCCAAGCACAACACAGACAGATATGTTAATGCATCTGTTTGGGGTATTGTAACCACATAAATGTTGTGCAGACAGTTTGACTTTTTTGTTTTGTTTTCCAGAGTCAACTTGGATAAATGAAGCTGACAAAGCATTGCTAGAAGTCACAGATCTTTGTTCTACACAGTGGGGTCTTTGATTCTGATCCGAAAACGCTTGTTTCTAACATCTCACAATTAAACGATGAAGCCCTAAATGATGGATGTGCACACTGGTTGTTCTTAGGAAATGATTATCCCTGTTCTAGCATATCCATCTTCCTTTTAAAAGCCAACACCAACTGAGAGTCAAACCATGTTGATTTACGTGGCGACACTACACACACCCTTTGGGCAAAGAAAACTAAAAGATCACTCAGTCACCATTTCTCTTGTCACATTAAAACCACTGAGTCAAGATGGATTTTTTGTTTTTCTCCTTGCGTGCTGTAACACTCCCTCAGTGAAAGGAAGCACAAAAATCCTCTCGCATATTGGCTCAAAATCTCAAATTTCTCCCTCTTGGGTTCTGCGGGCCTGTATCGCGGTGGTCCCCAGTCTAGTTAGGAGACCCTCGTCCCACCCCCTCGCCCCTCCTTGTTTTTGAGTTCGGACGTCTCTGTTTTGTATCAGCTTGGTTTTCCATAAACCTGTTTTTGTGCAGCTGTGTTGCCCTCTGTGGAACCTGGTACACTGTGGGCTCTGTGCTAATGTGCTTCAGAGGACTGTGCTCAACTCCAATTATGCTTGTGTTTAACCCCTACACACCCAGCTTCACAAACACACACACACACACACACACACGCATTGGAAGATTGGCCTTGCTGGGGTTATGGTGGGTGAAATACGCACATGCCCGATAGTCATGAAATGCGATATATTCGATATCAATCATGTGACCTCTCACTACCTCTTTGTTGTCTGGGATAATCTATTAAAAACATCTGATTGGGTCAAAATTTGACGAGTGACTTATGAGATGAGTGGGTGGTTTCTCACTGGGAGTGGTAAGAATTTGATTCCAGAAACAGCGGACATGAGCTGTATCCCCGTTAGAGGGAAGGCGAAGGTTTGAGGTGGAGAGAGTTCGCAGTATGAGCAGCTTCCTTTACAGTAAACCTACACACTTTATCATCAGACTCATTCAATCCAAGGATGTGATTGTTTAGTTAAAAAGGAGACACCTGCGTCTGAAAGAAAGCCACTGCCTACTCTTCTATGTTAAGACCACATCTCAGACCCAATGTGATCTCAATTTTATTGTCTTGAAAGCTGCTGGAAATAGTGTTTAGTGTCTGCCCGTAATTTACAATCCAATTTGACAGCAAGGTCGTCAACTCTTTTTAGGAATTACGATGAGTCACAGTGCCACTAGACTTGTGGTCGAAATGTCTTGAGCACATCCTGAGTAAAAGCGAATTGTTTGAGTTTCCCTCCTTAGAAGATACAGGACAGGAAGAACTCCTTAGACATCAGGAACCTAAACAATGGTTCACTTGTGCTGAAACATGAACCTCTCTGATAGCTTGGGCACCAAAGAGTGGCTTTTACTGTCATTTTGCTTGGACTTATTTTACTTCCTTTGCTGCCTCCTGAGATAACTTTCTCTTGACTGGCTTGGCTGATGTCTCTCAAATTTTGTGGTCATAGAAGAAAGTCTCAGGGCTGTTATATAATATCTCTCAATCTAAAAAAAAATAACATCCGAGTTCACAACATGCTTTCATTTGCCTTTTATGTACAAGGAGGATAGTCTGATTTCTCTTGTCTCCATGCATCATGACCTGCTGTCTGTATGTTGCTGATCTTTTGAGGCCTGCAGATGAGGACTCTTCACCGTTTGCTTTTCATCAGCTGAGCCCTATGTGGTCAAAGAACTACAGCATTGTGATCATCCTATCTCTTAAAACAACCTGTCAACACCTATTGTGTGTCACTTGGCCAAACACGCCCTGATTAATTCCCAGTTATGTATTATTAAATGCACTTCAGGGTTGTTTAAAGTCAGTTTCATCTCCAAATTATGTCCCTATAATACCAAGGACCACAGGGGTTTTCAGTGGAAGACTAGACATATATTTCAGTTTATCAAAAATGGTTTAACTAAGACTTGAATGAAACATTCCTAACAGCAAACCTTAGGTTTACAAGTTTTACTAAAAGAGTCATTTGGTCTGAAACTCCAACAGATCCTGAAAAACATTTTCATGAAGTCTTTAAAGGATAAAAAAACATATACTTAGTGGATCCAAAAGTACTATGCAGCTCTTGTTTCATGGTCAAAATACCCAAATGCCATCGCTTTGTCACACCAGGCAGTGCCTCAAACAGACACAGAAGGTATCATTTACCTCTGTATGAGATGCACCTGGCTTTTAACTTACTCCATTGTAAAACCATTTGGTGGCACTATTAGACGCTCTGAACAACTCCTCAACCATCCAGCATAGAAGAAGTCAAATGAAATGGTATAAAGACTCAAAGTGCCTGAGAAAGCTGCGATATTTGATGACCCTGGAACAAGAAAAGAACAAGAAAAGGTTAAAAACTCTGTAAAGTTTACAGCTTACAATTAGTGACAGAAACCACAAGAATTTGTTAACTGTGACAGCCTTTGCTTCACATTTTCCCTGGTTGCTTTGTCATGTCAGAGTCAAGTTAATCCTATCAAAATAAACTTTGGAGTGTGCTGACTTATACAGCACCTGACGTATTGAGGGTATAACAGTCATTCCTGATGAGCACCACCTATGCGCAGGGTGCTTGTCTACATATTTACATGTCAAATCATTGAAAAGTTATACAAATCGTCGTATACACAAAACACTCTGGAGAAGAAATACAAACCATATCAACACTTTCTCCATTACAGAATGTTGCACGGAAAAAATGGAGCCAAACACTGTGTGAGTGGCTCAGCCTTGAGGGGAAGAAGTACACAACCGCAGTTTGAAACAGTATGACACAGCATAACAAAAGGCCAACAGGCTTTAAAATACCAGCAAGCCATAAAAACAAAGCACTTGTCATTAAAACAAATAGCCTGCACAGATATAGTCTATAAAAATCTGAATAGTAATTTTATTGGACATGCAGTTGGAATTCAACCTGTGGGTTTGTGTCATAATAGATGAACGTTGTTATGTCCGGTTGCCACATGTGGAAATGGGTGCAGGCAATGGAATAACGAACCGGACAATTCAAGATAGAATCTGTCTAAGAGATGAGATATTTTAATGGAATCTCAGGGAGGAGTGCAGCTCTAACTAACCTGCCTGTGGTGATTTTAGGCTCCGTGGGATAAGCCAAGGAGACATAATGTTTTTCCTCCCCTACCAATGCATGCAGCATAATGGCCAATATTCACTTGGAGGCAGTTTGACTTCTTCCTTATGACAACTGAATATTGGAAAAGCAATGAAATGGAGGGTTTGCAAATCGCATCACATTGTGGCCATTACGTGATCTAAGTAGCAGATGATAGATACTTTTTTTAACACAATAAAATGAAAAAATCAGATTTAAAACAACTCTTATGCTGTTACAAGATATATGCTGATTTTAGGAATTTAAAGATAGAAAAATAAGTGGACATCTACTCCCTTCCAGTCCCAGTTTAAGGCATCAAAAATAACAATATAAAAATGATTAGTCTTGCCATTGATGGTCTTGTTTGTTTTTGTAAATCATAAAAAGGCACCATTTGAATTACAGTCCATTTTATTAATTTAAGGACTGGAGGAACCGGACTGCCTGGATAAGGCCATGAAAGTCTTGCTCAGCACTGGGTCAGAGACATCTACAGTATCTCTGATGAAAAAAATTACACTGTACAATCAGTGACATTGTCTTCTTCCTTTACAACAAAGGGTTTCAGAGGACAGTTGAAGGGGGGGGGGGGTGTAAGCAGACGAGGGAATTAGCTGGAAATTTCTATTGCTTTCTTTGGCGTGAAACGACTTCCTCCAGCAGCGTGAGTGCTGTCCCAGGTGTGCTGTTCTCGACCTCAGAGCTCCGTTTTAAAACACATGCAGCAGACCACACTGAGTGACAGATACCAGCCACTTCAAACTTACATCAGACTCACTGCTATTTGATTTTCTCCTCACCGTTTGTTCTTTTGCTTGTTTCCTTTGATTTGCACTGTCTTCGGATGGGTCTTTTTGACTTCATTGATATAATGTAGATCTCCAGCTTTGGTGATAAGGTTGTCTCACCAGTTATTGTAATTGTGTCTGATCCGGAAAAAAAGGTTAACAGGGGTGCTGATAAAACCTGATATATGTGCAAAAAGTTTATGTATTTAACATTTATTCGTTATAAGGTTTTATTTTAGCCTCTGCAATTAAATATAAAAATACGAACCCCATGGATGGTTTAGTGCTTATTATGCAACTAATCAAAGCTGAAGACCACATTTTCCATTTTGGGAGGCATGTGCTTTGGCTCTCCAGCTTTTTCCTCGAGAGACATGGACATAAGACTGTTGCCATCAGTGGGCACTCTCCTTGTTATTCCAAATCTGGATTGTAGTTTTACAAAGGGGAATTTAATCCGTATTGTCCCCAGCCACAGGAAATCAAGCTTTGCCTTGCATATCAGCGTACAATTATTTATTGAACTACAAATGTGTCTGTGGTGTTTTATTAGACTTGCTGCAAAGTAGCAGCTAAGGAACAAAATTTAGTAGTCAGATAAACAAATTTGATCGTCTGATAAAAATGAAAATCTCAGAAGTCACCTGAAAACTTATCATAGCCACAAACATGTTGGTGGGAATATGAAGCAGCATTAGCCCAATCGGCAGAGGCTTTTGATAACTGCAGAGAGTTTTCACACACATTCGCACTTTGATCGGCAACAACACAGCTGACCGGAAATATGGATGTATGTTTAGTTTGACCACCCAGAGAGTGGATAAAGACTTCAGCATGAAAAGAGCATTATATATTGTATAAATACATTATATATTGCTCCAGTTTTGAGACAGCAGCAACAACCTTTTAAACTATACAAAGGAGAAGGTCCACTTTGTGCTTGGAGACAATGCTCTTAATGTGGCTTAGTCTTCTGAGGAGTGTGGTGTTAAAAGCTTTGGCTGAATGACCTACACTTCAAATAACAGCTGAAGAGTTGGAATCGTATTGTGTTTTTACCTGCACAACAATGACCACAGTTATTATAAACCTTTACATGTTTAATTTTTTTGGTACCAGCTGGTAATAATAGCTGTCAACTCAAAAACTAGAGATGCAACTGTGCAGCTCTAGTGACAAAGTTATAGCAATTTGAAGTGTGAGGTAAGTTTTACATTGTGTTTAAACGGCGATATGTATCCACTTGCTTTGTGGGGGCAATATGCCTAAAAAATCTTACTTTCCACTTTTTCATGAAAACATACAGACAAATGTCAAAACCAACTGTTTCAACACGCTATTGTTATTAGGGGCGTCGATGAAAGAACACACTGCGCCAACACAACACGTCTCTGTTTATGGTTACCATTACTGAGTGACTATTATGTCACAAATGTGGCTCGAGACATTATGTATTTCTAACATAAACTCATTAGATAATCAAAGACCCAGCCTACCGTGGAACCAATGAAGGTCTGGTATTGGGTAGATCTACCGCTAGTCATTTGTCTCATCTTCCCTTGGCTGAAAAAGGCAGATACTCTTAATGTAAAACAGACCGAGGCTCTCCTCTTGATGACCTTTCTAGGATTTCCCCTTAGAGCCTCTGTTCCTGTCACTTATTGATGGTACGATGGGTAAAGGAGAAATGGCCAGCTGCCTGGGTATCACAAGGAGGCAAAGTTCCTGCTCATGGAGTGCTTTGGTTTTCGCATTAGGCCACTGCAATAAAGTTAATCTGGGGCTGCCCGGAGTTCTTATCTTGGGGTTTAAGGTCTGCTGTTGGCCCGGCCAACAGGAAGGGAACAGTGACACAAATTCCCTGTTCGTACTCCCATGACGACAGTCTCTGCGCTTGCCATTGGGCGAACACTGCCCGTTTCCTTCCCCACAAAACTGGAAGAAAGGTTGAAGAGCTATTTTTACTTTAAGTCTCAGCGCTTCAGCTCAGCTCTGAACGGGCCACATCTTTCAGTGTCCCACAGTCATTAAAAAAGGAAGTGTGTGTGAGAGTGCGGTTAAGGAACACTTTATCACAGCTTATTCAGTGGTATGCATGATGACCAGTAAACCAAGCCCTCAAACTGTAGGGCATTCAGCATTTGATGACAGAGTGACCTCAGATGCCTCTAAATGTGAGCCAGAGAGATGGCCGCAGACTTACGGTGCAACCAGGCATCCTGTTGGCTGCAGTACAGTATAAGCACCTGCTATATTATTAGCAAGGCATTAATTTAAAAAGCTGTCACATTAGAGCGTGAGATCAGTTTTCTTGAAGTATGACAACAGCAGAACTTTCTTCCAGCTCTGCTTCTTAAAGCTCACCAGTAAGAAAGCAATGACTGTTATTACGTTTCTGCTCTACTTATCACAGCAGACAGGCGCAGCTCTGTGACGTATTAACTCCCAAAGTGTCGGCGGTGATTCTCACAGAAGAAACGACAGTAGACGACAGGTGTAATAATTATGTCAGATTAATAAATCAAGGTTTATGTTGGTCAAAGTCCTAAAAAAAGGACTCAAATCAAGCAGATCGATATGTTTGGGATAACCTTATCTCAGCTTTAAGTCCACATGTAACAAAAAGTGAAATCTTGCATCTGGAACTAATAAAAATCCCCTATGGTGGCGACAGGTGTTTTCAGGGTCACTCTGACCTCTGTTTGATAAGGCGCAATAAAAAGACAATTCACGTGTTACTTTGAAAAAATGATAAGCAATAAAAATGATTTGCAATCCTCTAAACATATTTCTTTTTATTACGATAAATCTGTGTGGCAATGAAGTGAAGGATTCTCATTTCTGACAAAAAGTTTCCACTGAAATGTAAAAAGCGAGACACTTTATTACTCCGATGCTTCGTTTCGTGGCCCATAAAGCTTGAGGAGACTATGACAAGGTAACTAAGTGAAAGTGGGGAAAAAAATCAGTTTGAAGGAAATCAGACATCCAGACATAGTTGAGCTTCTGCTCCGGACACACAGGATGCCAAGTGCAGTTGTTTCCCGTCCACTTGTTTGTTGAATATTTCTTGTCTCATTCAGGAAGTACAAATGTGCTAACAGTATTATGTCTGGGTCACTTTATTATGTATTCTGCCAAGGCATGAAAACAAGTTGGAAACACTTAGTGTTGTAAAATCACCACAGCTGATGGTGTCCATAAGAATACATATGTTACCAAGATGGAAAATATAGCCCCAATATTGGCAAAAAAAGACTACAAACATATTAAGAAGATTGGAAAACACCTCACTGAACCGTAGTTTAAAGGTCGGACTGGATTTAAGCCGCGTGTAAAAGATCCTGAACAGAAATGAGACTAAAATTTCAATCGAGAATCACTCAAAAGCTGATCTCTTCATGTTAATAGCCAATAGTTAGAATCATCTGCAGATAAACTAGCCTCATAAGAAATAAACCGTCAGTCAACCGTCATCAAGTATGATACCATCTTTAACCGCCTGACCTCTTGATGATAATGCCTTTCTAAAGTATTGGAAGTGTGATAGGGCACTTTGACATTAAAAAAGCCCAGTAATTACTTCCATACCCTCCTTTTTCTCTCCATGTTGTCAGTCGGGGGCTGACGCTCGACACTACACTCTAAAAGTAGACGGTTTAACTGGGTTCCTATAACCAGAATTTCCTTTAAGTACCACAGAATTTCACGCCAGAAATCTCCAGCACTCAGGTAGTGTTTCTGAAGAGTTTCTTCCCTAGTAATGTGGCTCTCTAAATCCCCATTTGAGCCGACTTTCACTTGAAATTTGAAGATCACAAAGTCGTCTTCTCTTGTCTTCATTTTTTAGAGTGTGGTGATCAGGGCTCTCAAGTACTAAGAGTTCAGAGTAAATTACAGGCTAGATAAAAAGAGAACAAGTCTGGCAGGGGTCTTTTCCCACTAGATTAAGGTAACAAGACCTCTTGGCTCTGAGCAAGCCCCTCCAGGTTGAAGGATGATTACATCAAAACTACGCTCTCATAAGGATCCGTTGGCAGCAGGCCTCGTATTGTTTCAACCTATGGTGTGCTTTGATGCCCTTTTTCAAGTGTGAGAGACTTCTTCGGGGTTGTTCTGAAGACCGACTTTACTTTTTGTTTTGCTACTGACTCGGCACTTCTCAGGCAATTAGTGTTCAGTGGAGGAAAGGACTGCAGGGAGCTATCACTGAACAACATGTACACAGCATAAGGCCACTCAGCAGGGGAAGGCGCAACCATGAGTGAAAGGGTTGCACTGCTTGAATATCTTATGTGACGAGTGCTTAATGCTAAATCAGTGCAAGATCCTTTCATTCCCAGTCTGAACTAAGAACTAAGAAAGGCGGGATGTATAAGTAGTCAGAAGTCATTTATTTATTGATCGATTTTATTGTTTCTTTGGTGTGGACATCATAATCACATTAGACAAACTAGATGAAATGTTTAAGTTTTTTCGCAACACTTAAAAGTGTTTTGAAACTCTTGTAACTATGTGAAATAATCGAGATGATAGAACTAATGTTGATTTTTGCGCTCTCAAAATAATTTTAGAGCTGTATTAGAAATATCCTCATGCTGTGATTGGACAGCAGATAAAATCATTGACCTTAAGTTCAGTGAGAATCTGCATAAAAATCTCAGATCTCGAGCTACATATCAAAGGTTTTCTACCAGGATTCAACGTCTCCAGTTGAATGACTGATTATTTTCTTCAACCTTTGACTCTCCACCAAAGAAAAACAAACAAAACATCTGGATTAAGTCTTCCTACATTTATGTAGAGTTTGATCTAAAGTTGAACCATCACTGTTGTGAGATAAAAAAAGGCATAAAAAATGGTTTGAAACAAGCTTTTATGCAGGTAGACATGAAATGCACTGTACATGTGAGGTTGAGGTTTTATTTCAGCTTGCTGCATGTTTGCTGCCCTGGATTAAGTTTTTATTTTTTTTCAACTTAGTTTTTAAAGATTAATAATCAATAGAATTGAGGCTGGACATAGACAATGATTATGAATTAACATATATTCACCATTTAATTCCCACTGTGGTTCGGCGTCTACCCTTTTCACCTCAGGCCAGGATATGATGACTCTGCTTATTGTTTCTAAGGATAATTATCCCGTCACTTTCTCAGCTCTCAGTCAAAAGACTGTTGTCTTATCCTTCCATCCTAGCAACCCTGTCCAAACACTTTCAACATCCTCTGTATTTATCACTGAGTTGATGGTCATAGAGAGGATAAAAATGTAGCCCGGTCTGTCAACTGAACCCCGGCGGATTTACAAGCTTTCACACTCCAACATGTCCCATCCCTCCCTTTGGAAAGAAGAATAGAGAAGTGTCTTTTTGTCTGTGTTGAAAGAAGGTAGAAACAAATATGACATGAACTGTAAAAAGGAAGTATGACATAACAGTGCCCCTTTGGATATAACGACAACTAAACAGCATTTGTGTTGGTAGGTCTCTTAGCACTTCTGCTGCGTTGCGCCACCTTTTTTAGGTAAGAGTCTAATCCTCAAGCTTTGGCTTGTCTTTTTAATATGGAGGTCGTTCATCAATTGAAATGGGCGACAAGAATAATCTGTTTGTCTATGTGCAATAATTCTTTTCCATTGTTTCTCGTCGAGACATTCAAAGCTTACAATAAATCCGCCATTGATGCCATCATAAGTCAAGAAACCTGGCAGAGGTATTTCAGACACTGAGCACCAAGGTCTGCTGAGCAGCTGGCATGCTCTCATTCACTGATCTAAACACCTTGAGTGAGTTGGAGGCCCAGTAAGGAGCTCTATCTTCCTGTAAGGAGTGTTTGTAAGTAATATCATTAGGCTAAACGACAGCAGGTAATTAGGTACAATGTGGCTAATTACTCTAATTACCTGATTTGAAAAACGATTGTCTCGAAGACATGCGAGTATCGAGCTGTGGAACGAGGCGCAGCTGCCGGTGACTGGAGCTGTACAAGAGATAGGCCTAATTGCAGAGTAATTCACACAAATTACTGTCCATCTCATGCACATGCAGCCGTGAGAGGGGAGGAAATTCTGAAAAGCAGAGGATGACGTGTGAGGATCTGACCACGTGGAAAATCATCACAGCTGATAAAAGGGAAAATCAAACGGTGTCGACTAACCTTAGTTTACCTGGGTCAGTGACAGGCAGCTTATCTTTGGCTATGATGCCTGTTCCTCAAACTTTATTAGAAAATGTGAAAAAAAAATGTAAGAAAAATAAGCTTTCGATTCAAAATTTTGTTTTAATAAAGCTGCAAAATCCATGACGATTAAATTGGCTGTAATAATTGAAAACTGTCCGATATATAACCTTAAAAAAGTCTGACACCTTCTTACAGAACCCCATGATTGCTTTCACATCTCTTAACAGCAGCTGTTCCACCTGCGGCTGTAAACACTTTTCTGATCACTTCTTTTCGCCTGAAAACCTGTGAAACTGCCGACCATTTTCTGTCGCAAACTTGTACATTTGCCTTTGGCTGACTGAGATCAATGCATTTCAATTTGGAGTTGGAAGCATGGGCCTGCCTTTAATTCTTTTAAGGATGTGACCTCAGACACCAAAACATTGGAGGCATGTTGAGCCACTTACCACGAGGGAACTTCAGTAAGACTGGACTATTAGTAGTGAGCACATTATTAGTGCTGATAGGAAAATTAGAGCTGATTCACTGAGATTTCCTTAAGGACTCGTGCGTAGATGACTCATTCAAAAAGGACTGCCTCTGTTTGTTTTATCTGTTGGTGTGTTTGTGTGTTCCTTTTTTATTTCACCAGAGGTACAAAGGGAACATGAACACAGGTCAGTCCTTTATGGTCCAAGAACCTCATCAGGTTAAGGAGTCTCAGAATATCTTTGGGATCTGCAGACATTACAGGGCGCAGTAATTTGTTCCGCGCAACCTTCAAGTTGGAAATTTCTTGTCGAGCTCACAATCTGCCTTCACTTAATTCACAGGTAGTGCTCCCTGTTGCTGCAAACAGGCTTTAAACAAGTCTTCTGGGTGTGCGTTTATGTGTGTTTAACTTTGATGAAGACACAGAAGAAGTTATTAAAAATGTAAGCGATAAAACTGAGCTATAATTTCTATGACACACTGATATTTCATCACTGAGTAAAAGTTAACACATTTGAAACTTTTAAGATATATCAGTCTCATCATATCTTTGGCACTTATATTTCAAAATGTTAAGATAATATTATGGACGGATGGATATTTCCTAACTTATTGTGAGCAAAGCGACAAATCACCCACAAGCACACAGAAACTTTATAGTTATTTTAGCAGTTTCAAGCCTGTGTCCTTATTCCTATCGTCTGAAATGACCTGTGTGCAGCCTCAGAAAATGTCTCCAAGAGGTTTTATATCCAGTATTTTATCACTTGTAAATTGTTCTCCAGGAGAAGGTATAATTCCTTTAGCTTTAAACATGTGGCCGAGTCTTGATCCCTCTGGCCTGATTAAACTGAAGTCCATTTCAAAATTTCAGTTTTAGAGATTTTCTTTTCAAGACAATTTTGGTTAACATCTACAGGACCAATGAGGGGTCACAGTAACATAAAAGCAGTTATTGGAATTTTAAAACCTTTTTTTTTTTTTACTCTAAAACTAAAATGAAAAAAAAAAAAAACTATTCAATATACATTCCTGTCATATTAAAGGATATAAAATGAATTAATTGACATGTGTTTTGTTAAGCTATTTTAAAGTGCATGCTAACCGAGACTCTGTGGTATGATTTACACTGATTGTGTTAATATTACAGCCTCATTCTGTGGCTTCATTAACATGAAATTACAGTTTCAGATGTTGCTTTATACAAATCATTTCAGCTGAGGATCTAAACTGCCCACAGAGAATATCATCATGGTGTTATTACTGAGTGAACAGTGCTCTTTTTTTAGCCTATTTAAATCTGAAACTCTGGTTATAACCAGTCTGGCTTTGGTGAATTGGACAGGTTAAGAGAGCTAGCTTTGTGACACTAAAAACTTTGACTTAAAGTCAACAGATTTCATAACTTTGAGCTTTCCCAAGCGGATACAATCACAAGCAGAGAGGTTTTCATGTTGATAGGAGTATCTCTCCCCCTAAAAGAAAGTAATTAATATACAATTCCCAATCGGTTCTAATGATTCAATTTTGATTAAATTATTATGGCTATTTGAGATTTCAGAAACACCACAAGCTTTTAAGCCCATTATTGTTAATGCATTGTAAACTAACATGATGTTTGCCTCCAGTGTTTGCTATAGCGCCTCCTCTGTTCCAATATGTCCGCCCACTTAAGTGAAATTAAATACAAGACAAAAAAGTCAGTATTTTTTCTGTCTGTAAATGTTTCTGATATAATAAATGCATCTATAAAAGTGTAGCAGGATTTAAATTTTTTTACGCTGTTTAACAAAGTAGCATTCAACATTCAACAGTGAGCATTCTCTATTTGAACGACTGCTCCTACAGTCTGACCAGTGTGATTATTTCTTCTGACCCTGAGGCACAAATTCTTGAGTGAAGTGTATTAAACTAACATGGCACATATGTGAAATCTATTTCCTTCACATATGGAATTGGCATGTTTCTCAACATGTAATTCATCCATGCTCGGGTAACAAGCCTATTTTAAGGCCCAATCATAATCACACCCGGGCTTTCCTTTTGTCACCTGCCCTTAGCACTTTATCGTGAGAAAATATGACACAACTTCTGTTGCAGAAACAATGACAAAAGGGACTTAATTATAATAAAAACTGTATACTCTAGATATGGGTACTAAAAGGTGATGACATGTCGAGGTGATGTCTTCATATTGGGTTCCTTCTGTGGTAAGATGTGAGGTTTTACCCCCAAGCTTGGCAGTATGTAGGTTACATTTGGTCTCCATAGTCATGAAAAGGTTCTTTCTTTCCGTGGCTGTCTTTCACTTGAACTCAGAATGTAACTGTTTTTGATTCTTGTCCATGTCTTTGGTTGGTTTGGTGTATGGCATATATGTAGTGGCTGCAGTCTTGTATTTGCAATACTTTCAACTTATTGCTTTCTGTTCGCCAACAGTGCGTCTGGATACTTTTCTTTAGTCGTGCCATTGCCGGACTAGCATCCTATGAAACACTCCTGCCCTGAAAGCACTGGGGGATTTCCTCCCATTATAACATGTTTCCAGCAGCCCCCCAAAATACACAACAACCGCTCTTTGCTCATTATGTTTCTGACAAGGGGTGCCCCCTTGCAGGATTTTCCACTTTAAGAGCCTAAAAAACCTCCTCTGAAACTCCTTCGATACTCTGAGAGAAAGGGAGAATGTACTTCCAGATCTGGTGGCATTTGAGAGGCTTCCACTGCTCTCTGTTTACATGTTCCAGTGGCACTTACTTGAGATACTTAATTTAGGGAAGACTGGGGTGAAAAAGAAAAACACACACTGCAAGTTGTTAAATGTTAGAATTCTTTCCAAGCACTTTCATGCAATGTTTGGCCCTTACCTGCCAATTTTTTTTTTTTAATCATGGAGTCAGCAGTTTACAGGGGATTCCATTTTCCTCCCTGAAAATGGTTCCTGTTTTACTGTGTTTTTGCACTTTAGACAGTTGCTGTTATTCAGTCCAGCAAGGGGTTGCCCATGATTCACATGCATTGAATAGAAATTTGCATGCATCAAATTGCCCAGAAACTGAGCCATGAGTGTTTTCCTCTAATAGCTACCAGAAAATGCTCACTTTACAGTGTTCATGCAAACTCGGTGACCTTCCTGTGGTGGTGTACGCGTCTCGTTTAAAAGATTATAAGTCGTAAAAGTCGCTTCATGTAGTCCAACCATGTACTGACGCTCTCTCTTCTCCTGTCTGAATGCCTTCTCTTGGACTCAGTATAGCCTGTCTTGTGTTTCCTTGTCAGCAGTGAATAATACATACATAATGGCTATCAAACTTGACAGGCTTTGATAGATCTTTCAGCGAGACTCAACTGGAGGTGCTCTGTGCTGCGAAGAGGAGGCTATGCTTTCAGACATACCCTCTGTTTATCAGTTTGCTTTGTGCCAGCTGTGGAGGCTTCTTTGTCTCCATCCCTGTCTTTAATGGGTAACAGTGGCATTAACAGTGGGAAATAATGATTCATGCTTTTAATTGATGTCTTTTATGGCAGACTTCAGAAATGCGTGTCTTTATTGGTTCATTGGTTACGGCACACGGAAGAAGCTGTATACTGCTGCTGCCCGTGTGGGGAAATGTGCCAGGGTGTACGTGGGCTGATTTGCCCTTTTACCCAACACCCATTATTTAGAAATACAACAAATTTCGACACTTTCAGGTTTATGTAGCTTACTATAGACATGACATATTTTAACAGCATAAAGAAAGGGCATGACTATCAAGTCCCCCATGCTTAGTCGCTACATCAAAGCACATTCCCCTTGGTGTGAAGTCTGTAGTGTTTTTTAATTGATACCAGCACTTTTCTGTCTAACCCATCTGAGATTAGAGCCAGCGCTAATGGAATCCCCCTTTGGCTTCCATGGGAAAGAATTTGTTGGGTTGAAATCTGTTTTTGATATGTGAAGACAAATAATCAAGTCATTAAGGGTAACCATAAAGTGTGTAGGAAATTTGAGAAAAACACATGGAAAAAGCAGATTGTTGTGAGACAGGAGAAGGCTGTGTGGCAAAGAGGCTCTTGAACAAACGTAGCTGCTATAAATAGTCCAACACCAAACTACAAAAAGAAGCAGTTAGTAAACAGTATACCTGATATTTAAACATAGTATTAAGTGTATGACCACCACTTGCAATGCTTCTGGTTATTTTTAGGCCTTTTTTTTTTAACAGGGGTGATTAACATACAGCAGTGAAGGGGTTTGGTTTCTCCAGCCCTTTGATAAGTGTATCTTTAAGATTGCAGCATGGCAGGTCATGATAAGGCGAAGAATCAGCTGATCCGACCTCACGCTCATTATCCAAGTCAGAAGGTCCTGGGTGTGAACGCTCTGGAGTGGAGGACAAAGCTTTCAGAGCGGCAGGGTTGTTATCTGTTCACTACACTTCCTTGACACTCACAGGGTCTTTTGTTGTATTTCTTTCAGCGTCTATATCTTACCTAAAGGGGTGTGTTGACTGAGAATCAGCATATGTCCA